TCTCCCCTCCACCCCCCCCTCGATGCTGTCCACGTTGACAATCATCCCGCAGCCTGTGTCGACGGCCACATGCAATACACGCTTGATAACTTCCTCCAACACGTGGAACCACACTTGTTTGCAGCGTGATATGATCTTCCACTGACCTATTGGCCCAAAGTGCTCTTGCCTCTTCGCGTTCTTCGCATGTTCGACTGTTGTGCCCCTTAACCTTACACCTACCACATTTTCGCAGTTTTTCAGGGTTGATCTCGCCTCTTGAGCGGATGCGCTTTGTTTTCCTCCGCCCTGGCCTTTTCTTGTACTTCGGAGGGAGCGTAATTCTGTCCGGAATGCACGACGAAGGATCCACCGGAACCAACTCCTCTGAATACATTGCCTTCAGCGTCTCCACCTTGTAGACGCGGTGAACCATGTCAAACGGCAGCCGACCCTCTCCGGAAGCAGCACAGATGTGGACACAGGGAAGCCCGTACTCCCTGTTGTGTTGAAGAGTGTGTGAATGGCATTGTTAATGAACACTATGCATGTGTAGATGCAGCAACTGACATTACCAGATAAAAAACATACACTATGTTGATGAACGTTAGAAGATTAGTGACGGCAATACTTGTGCACATACAATGTGCGTACCTGCTGTAGTTGCACGTGCACGTCTTGGCTTGCAAGTCCACAATTCGCTCTTCATTACGCTCCTCATGCTCGGCCAGCCAGCGGTGTGACGCTTGATTAAGCTGGCGCACAGAGTAGCTAGAAGAATCATTGAAGTTGCCTCGCACAACCTCAGTGGCAGTTGTGCACCACTCCCCCACGGTGTTGGAGTATGCCGTAAGCCGATCACTCCGAATGAGAGCAAGTTTCAGCGCCCAACGCAAAATGACATAGCCAATTGCCTTGTTTCGCAGCTGTGACATTGAGGCATGCTGCGACTCAACAGGATTTGACGTGAGGCAACCAAACCGAGCACCAGGAAACTTTGCAGTTGCCCATCGCGTGGCCAGCTGGCCGTCTTCCCCTTCCAAATATAATCGGCCACCGGGACATTGCTCATTGAGATTGTTCATCCGAAACTCATACAGTTGCTCCGTCAATGTCTCTGAGGCGTCTCGGATGAGCTGGCTCAAGTCCATGCCGAACTTGGCCCTGAAATTGCGTGTCAGGTGTGTCACGCAATAAGAGACACGTGCATTGGGGAGCACGTCTCGACATGCAGCATCCCATCCTTTTGCACGGTCGTGTTTCACTGTCCATGCCGGTGTGTTCAGCTCTGGGAAGACACGAAGTAGCTCCTTCAATGGTAAAGAGCAGCCCTCTTTACTCTCAAACTCAACAAAAGCAATGCCAACTGACACGTAGTGACCCTCTCCGTCAAGCACTACCAGATTGATAGTGTGACCTCCCCACACTGTCTTATTGTGGCAGCCATCCACAATCAAGATAGGTATGGCGTTCAGCATGGTGGATCTCGCCACACTCGGAATCACAGAGGCACTAAAAAACCGACCTGCATGCTTGCTAAGGGTAACCAAAGTTCCAGGGTTGTTATCCACTAGTCTCTCCATGATGCTCTTGACAAACTGATATGATTTCTCAGTTTGCAAAGGGTCATTCTCCTTCAGGTCGTTCAAGGCACGCCACGCTGTGGCATACGAAGTCTTTGCCCCAAGACGATGCAAGGCTTCATTTTGTAAAACCTTTGGGGTGATGCCAACTGTTGGCAGTGACATTGCTAGTGCGATGAGGCTTTTCCTACGTGCAGGGCGAGGGCGAGCGGTACAACGGGTATGGTGTTCTAAGTGAGTGTTACAAACACGCAGGTCGCCCTCGCTTGTGGCCCGAATGTTAATCTTGAAAGGGCAGCGAATGTCATTCTGGACACTCCCCCTCTGCGACCGCTTAAAAGCAGACGGGCACTTGACATCCAACCTTTTCGGACCATTGACAGCGAAGATGTGTGGCACCTTTGCACGATGGCATTGGCGCTCAATGTCATCTCGAGCCTCAATGGCGTCTCGGTAACGCTTACCGATTTCAAAATCCAATGTGCGTTTACCACCACTAGCCATCTGCAAGAGCATTGGGATGGAAGGAGGGTGGAGGAGGGAATACACACAGGTAAGAAAAAAGAGGAATGCACATACTCAGAGGATGAACGGTCGCACACTGGCGGTCACTCTTTAGTTGCTCATTGATTATGAGTCCATTACCCTAAACAGAAATTTCGAGTTTAAACCATCTGGAGACTTGATCTTTGTTGAATCAACAATCTATCACACCTGATCCTGAATCGTGGCTTCGTTAAGTTGATGCCAGCGGCCTAACGTGCCGGCATTACTGAGTCACGAGACGGTGGGAGTGTCACGTTCCTAGAGAATTTTATTACTAGCTAATTAAGCAAGAAGGAAATTACCATAGACAGTAACGCTGGCGAGTCCTTTATGATAGCGCACCGCAAATGTTGGAAACCAGCTGAGTCAGACTATTAGTAACTGTCATCGTGAACTGTATCTAACTTTGGACTTAGTAGTGTAAGTTCCTGCTATGAGCCTCTAAGGAGGGGTCCCTTACGTGTAAGATCTCGTAACGTAGGATTAGGGTTTCCGTGTTGTGTTCTGGTAACATCAGGGCCCAGCACTTGTTGGATAGAAGGGAGAAGAGGGTGGGGGAGGGGGGGGTGGGGAAAGGAACTTGCGCGTAGATTTTGCGCATGCATCCCTCCCTTGGGGGTGGCTGCGACTGGTGTGGTTGGACGACGAGTTCGTGCGAGAGCTGGGCCTGTTGGTGTAAGTCGCGTGGGTTGCATCCCCTGACAGAACAGTGTTTTTAGTGGCGGATGGGTACAAACAGTGGCAACAAGGGGAGAATCACGACGCGATAGCATGCACCTGAGAAGCCTTTCCCTACAGTGCGGCATGCACCTGAAAATGGCCGAGCTAAAAAGGATTTGCATGTGCTTATAAACAAGATCTGTAACCTAGTTTGACTTCAGTCTCTTCTGCTTGACTTCGGTCTGTACCTAGTTTGACTTTGGTCTGTTCGTTACTATTGGTTGATAACCACGCGACGTGCATAAGGCTGGGGAAACGACCTCGGGTGCAGCGTATCCATCCGGCGCAAGGCAAATTCGCGTGCATGGGGTGAGCATCAGCTGTACTGAATATGCATGCGTGGAAAGGGATGCTTCGGTTCGGTTCGCCGCGTGCCATGACGACGTAAAGCCAGCTTCTGACGCACGACAAGTGCACCTCACCATGCACCCTTGAATATTCTTCACCAACCACCATGTTGTTTTCCAAACCCGAACCTCAATTCCAGGCCTTCCTCCCAAGCCACTTGTGTTCCAGATTTACTGTAGCACGGTGGATGCTTGTTGGTCGGGGCTGCGCAAAAGGCTTCGCGATGCGACGCGACGCGAATGAAGAATCCCCCTCCACATATTTTGACACGCTCCCAGCCTTTGCGACCCAAATGGTAACTACGAGCTTTTCGTGATCAATCACGCGAGTCGGGTGACCCTTGATGCGACACATGAGCCATTTCCCCGCCATGTGTGACACGACGCCAAGTCGTCCTGTCACCAAACTCAGCCAAGGCTCGGCCGAGGCCTTGTCGCTGTCAACACGTTGGCTCGGCACCGCAATCAAGGCAGCAACTCAGGAAACCGATAGGTTCGGCAAGGCGATGTCAAGGTCTAACGGCTACTTCATCGAATTTCTCACTCTCACCTCGGCTTACTTACCCCTTCATTTTCCCTTGATCACTTCCCGAGGGATTGGTAGGCAGTGACTAGCACACACCACACCACACCAACAACACCAGCTCTTTAATTGCAAGCAGGCAAACTATCTTTTTCATCATTCGAACTCTCATTCAAGCTCTAGTATCCGATTTGCGTTTCCCAGCTTCCTCGCCAGCTGCTGTTGACTCCGCTCAAGCGCTATCCTCGTGGTGCTTGGACTTGCTGCCTGTGTCTCTCAATATATTTCAGTTACTGCAAAATTATGGCTAGCGAGACGGTCATTGCCGCTGTCCTCTACATCCACGTTCCGTGCTTCGCGGAGGGATAGCGAACCTTTTGAAAATAACCGTCGTCGCTGTCGGTTGCGTTGTTCCTGCTGGGCCGTTTTTAGAGATATCTTACCTAAGCGTTTCGTCCGCTTCCGACGGCGAAAGAATTCGTAAGAAACGACTGATCGGCGCGTAAGCAATTCAGCGACCGGGTTGGTCTATTCTCGTTCAAGTCGGGATCAGTCTTGCATATGGTGTCTTACACCGCATCATGGCACTCACCAGCAACGAATTACGGATTAGCAGCGAGGCATGGAAAAGGCAACCCATCAGTCTATTCAGGCATACCCGGGACTCCAACGGAAGCTCGTCAATACGCCTCTTCTAAATTAGCCATTTGCATAGATCCCAGCGTCATATCTCATTCGTCTTCTTTATACGGCGGACATACTGTAGCTTACCAGCTTTCTTCATACCCTTCTCGCCGCTATCAAGTTCAGATTCCTAAGGCTAGCTCATATTTTTCTCGATTCTCTGGTTTTCCAAGGAACCTTTCTGGTACTTTTAGCTCATCTAGGTTCGGCTTTCCCTTTGTCACTGACGAACCAAGATTATTAGGTTCGACGCATGCCAGCTACACAAGGCTCGGAAACAACGGCGGTCATTCTAGGCTCGGAAGCAACGGCAAAATTCGCGGCAAGCCCAGGACCAGCAGGCGCATCAGGTATGGCGAGAATCTCGCTAAGGCATGGAGAGGCAGCAGGAGCGGGAAGGGCTCCGTGGTGTGTGAGACGGCGGACGGCAGCAGCCCGCGCGATTGGGCTCTGGGCGACGATAAGGGACCCGGGAGGGGCGGCACGGGAGGCTCCACGTGGGAGTTGGAGGAATCCGAGCAGGCTCGCGCCAATTGCAAGCCGCGACGGGAGGAGGCTCTCCCGATCCCTGGCAGCCGTCGATTGGTGGGCGATCGGACGGATCACGGGGGGCACGGGATGATAAACGGCAGCCCGAAGGGCCGTCCTAACGGTCAGGCTTATGAAAACGGCTGGCAGAATGGCCAGGTGAATGGCTATGTGAACGGTAAAGTAAATGGCCATGTTAATGGCTACGCGAACCGGAACGTGAATGGTCAGGTGAACGGCCAGGTGAACGGCAAGTTTAACGGCCAGGTGAACGGCAAGGTCAACGGCCAAGTTAACGGCAAGGTCAACGGTCAGGTGAACGGCAAGGTCAACGGCCAGGTGAACGGCAAGGTCAACGGCCAAGTCAACGGCAAGCCAAACGGCCAAGTCAGCGGTCAAGTCAACGACCAGGGGCCTGCGGTGGGGCCGTACGAGTACCCGTTTCCGGACGTGATGTCATGGGCGTGGGACGCGGACAGCAGCGCGTGGAGTCACTACGAAGACGAACGTGCTCCGTCCGGCCAGCAGCGTCCGATCGACGGCGAGAACGGATATGTTCATGCGCACGAGACAAAGCATGGTGAGACCGGCGCCAGCCCCGACGGGCGCGGAGCGGCTGCTGCTGCTGCTGCGGAAGCGGGGAACATGGAAGGGGCGCTTGAGCGCGCGGTTGCGGTAGTGGCGGTGCTGCGATCCGCCTTGCCGTATGGCAGCTGGTGGCGCATGGAAGAGGATGCGGGGAAGGCGCAGGGGCAGGGGAAAGCGGCTGGGAAGGGCATTGGAAACGAGGCGGCGGCCAGTGAGGGGAAGGGGGAAGGCGGAGCGGAGGCGGCGGAAGCTGAGGGGGTGGGGAGCCTGGCGGATGCGGGTCGCAAGCTGTGGCGATTCTGCGCGCCGGATAAGGCGCTGGTGGTGTTGGCGTTCGTCTTCCTGTCGCTTGCTGCGGTGAGTGGCTGTGGAGGGGATGATATGAGATGCGGGAATGAGATAAAGGGCATGAGGAATATGGAATGGGGAATGGGGAATTGTGCAAATCATGAGTGTATGTTGTAGTGTCTGCCTAAGATTTGTAACAGCTTCGGGCGTAGCTCTGTTTGACTCGCATTGACCACGCGACTCTCTCTCGGTGTGCCACGTGGCAGATATCGGAGGTGACGATCCCGCATCTGCTGGCGTCGACCATCTTCGCGGCGTCCAACAACATGGGCGCGCAGTTCGCGCACAACGCCAAGCTGCTCGTCGCGCTCACGCTCGCCTGCGGGGCCTTCAGGTGCGTGGCTGCGAGATATTCGGAACAACCAGGTGCATTCCCTTACACTCGAATTGGAGCATGGGGCATGCACGTGGTGTTGTACCTTCTGTTTCACAGTTCCCACCATGTGCATGGTGTTGCAATGCAAGCTCACTCGCGCCCTCCCATCCCTCGCTCTCCTCCTCTCATCCTCCTTTCCCCCTCCCCTCTGTCATATTTCTCTCTCCCCCACGCACGGTGGGCTGCGCTCTTTCTGCTTCACGGTGCACACCATGCGCATGGTGTGTCGCATGCTCACTCACTCACTACCTCCCTCTCTTTCCTCTTATCCTCTCCTCCCTCTCCGCTCTCTCTCTCTCTCTCTCTCTCTCTCTCTCTCTCTCTCTCTCTCTCTCTCTCTCTCTCTCTCTCTCTCTCTCTCTCTCTCTCTCTCTCTCTCTCTCTCTCTCTCTCTCTGCACGCAGTGGGCTGCGCTCCTTCTGTTTCACGGTGCTCAACATGCGCATGGTGTGCCGCATGCGAGAGGCGCTCTTCTCAACCATCATGCACCAGGTATGCCTGTCGTCCCATCCCCTCCCGGCAGCGCCTTCGGCCTCCCCTTCCTCTGGTGCGCGCTTTTCTCCAACGCCCTCCCCCTCCGCCTTTCCTGGCACATGCCTCATCTTTCCCACTGGCCTTCACTGGTGCCTAAGTGCGTGCGTACCTCTCCCCACCGCTCCCCACCGGTTCCCCAACCCCACGCTCCCCCCCCGCCCCTCCCTCCCCCTCAGGACGTGAGTTTCTTTGACAAGGAGTCGGTGGGCGACCTGAGCTCGCGCCTGGGCGCGGACTGCCAGCAGGTGGCGCAGAGCACAGCGGGGGACGTCAACGTCATGCTGCGCACCCTGCTCCCCGCTCCTCCCCCTCCGCCTTTCCTTGCACATACCCCACCATTCCCACAGGCTTTCACTGGTGCTGCTGCCTTAACGCTTGCGTACCTCTCCTCACCCCTCCTCTTGTCTCCCCACCGCTCCCCACCGCTTCCCACACCCTCAGGACGTGAGTTTCTTTGACAAGGAATCAGTAGGCGATCTGACCTCGCGGCTGGGCGCGGACTGCCAGCAGGTGGCGCAGAGCACAGCGGGGGACGTCAACGTCATGCTGCGCAACGCGCTGCAGGGGGCGGGCGCCATGTGCTTCCTGCTGCGCCTCTCCTGGCGCATGGCGCTCATCTCCGCGGGCCTCTGCGCCCTCATGTGGTGCTGCCTCGTCGCCTATGGCAGGTACAGCTGCTTGATAGCCTGGGCCGGTTAGCTCATGGGCTTGGCAGCTGGGTTTGGCAGGTAGAGTTTGCTCCCTTGTTGTGCATGTATGGGTGTAGGCGTGGGGGGGTTATGGGCGCTGCAGGGGGCGGGCGCCATGTGCCTCCACTGTGTCCTAACTTCTCCTCTAGCAATGGAAGGGTTGCTGCACCTATCTGGGTATTCCGTGCTGATGTGCTCTGTGCGTGTGGAAGTGCATTGATGTATGTTCTTGTGCATTGTGTGCATTGTGCCCATTGATGTGAGTGTGCAGGTTCCAGAGGGAAAGTGCCCGCCTTATCCAAGACACTGTCGCATCGGCCAATGAGGTGAGAGCATGGCTTTACAAACACTGTTTCACTGCGCGCTCTGCCATCTCTCTGCCTTACCGCCTCACCTTGCCTTACTGCCTCCCTGCCATACCGTCTCGCTTTGTCTAACTGCCTCGCCATGCCTAACCCCCTTTCCCACTAATATTGCAGGTGGCAGAGGAAACCATCTCACTGGCTCGTGTGGTTCTCACTTTTGGCACGGAACAACAGGAAGTCAACAGGTGGGGTACTGCTGGGTGCTGCTTGGTTCAAACAGGTGTTGTTGGGTGCTGCTAAGTGCTGCTGCAGTGCTTTTTTGCTCGGCTAAAAATTTGTTATTTCTGTCTCGCCTACCCCACCAGGTACAAGGTGCCGCTGCAGCGTCTGCAGCGTGTGGGTCTGAGGCGCTCTGTGGCATATGGCATGTGGAACTTTGGCGGCAACACCATCTACAATGCCACACAGGTCTGTTTCATGTCATTCTGTCTGTGCCATGCCATGCCATGCCCGCTGCGCCATGCTGTGCTGTTCCGTGCCGTGGCGTGCAGTCCGTGCTACATGGATCAACTTGAAGGACCCCTCGTTCTCACATCAGCTAACAAAGCCGAGCAAAATGCTGGCCCATACAGGTCTCGAACCTGTGACCTTCGCGTTATTAGCACGACGCTCTAACCAGCTGAGCTAATAGGCCATATCCTTGCTTTTCCCTGCCATGCTGTGACTGGCCATGCCGTGCCATGTCATGCTATGCCATATCATGTGTCTGATCCTCCTTCACTCGCTTTCTACCTGCAGTGCGCATCCCATGTCCATGCAGTGAACAGCACTGCACACCACTGGCCACTGACCCTCTTTCCCTTGTTTCTGTCACCCCCTATACCCCCTTCCCCCTTCCTCTCTCGTTCTCGTACGGCAGGTCCTTGCTATAATCATGGGCGGCAGTGCAGTGATGTCAGGGGCCATCACAGCGGAGCAGCTGACGCAGTTTATTCTCTATGCCGAGTGGGTCGTGCACGCCACCTGGTGGGTGGGCGACCACTGGGCGTCCCTAATGGATTCGCTGGGCGCCTGCAGCCGCGTCTTTCAACTGTTAGACCTGCCACCTTCAGCACAGCTCGCGCAGACCAAGGGTGAGTCGCATAGCATGTCAGGTCAGATGCTTAGGTTTCATGTGCACGCCACGCCATGCCATGCCACGCCACCTGGTGGGTGGGCGACCACTGGGCGTCCCTCATGGACTCGCTGGGCGCCTGCAGCCGTGTTTTTCAACTGTTAGACCTGCCACCTTCAGCACAGCTCGCGCAGACCAAGGGTGTGACACACACATAGAGGGTGGGGTGTGTGTCCTTGCGTTAATGCTTTCATGTGTTTAAGCGTTGACGCCACAATCTCATGTCTGTGTGCGCTAATTTTGATGTCTTCCCCCCCCCCATGCATGCTGCCAGGCTTACAGATGCCATGGCTGCAAGGCAAGATCGAGTTTCGGGATGTGTTCTTCCGATACCCGACCCGTCCTGAGGTGCGTCCTTTCCTTCAATCTGGTGAAGAGTATTGTTGAAGAGTAAAACCGAGCAAACTTCATGGTGTTTTTGTTGTGAAGAATTTTTTTTTTGGGTATTATTATTCTACAATGTGTTTGGATAGTAAATTCGAGTCTACCCTCAAAAGTGGCTACATGAGATGGACAAAACGAAGACTGTCTGTTGCCGAAACCCCTGCTGCAGGCTTCTGTGCTGTCCCACGTGAGTCTGACAATCAACCCCGGCGAGCTGGTGGCGCTGGTGGGGCTGAGCGGCAAAGAGATGACCGCTCCTCACCCCTTGCTTTTGTCCGCCCTTCCATTCTCCCCTTGACCCTCCTGCAGGCTTCTGTGCTGTCCCACGTGAATCTGACAATCAACCCCGGCGAGCTGGTGGCGCTGGTGGGGCTGAGTGGCAGTGGCAAGAGCACTCTCGTGGGACTGCTGCAGCAGCACTACGAGCCCACACAGGGAGAGGTGAGAAGATTATCTGAGAGGTTTCAAGAGGTTAAGAGGGGTTCTGAGGAATCAGCAACCTCTGTTTCCTTTATTCCATCTCCTTTCCCCTACCCCTGTTTCTTCCCCACTTTTCACCCAACGCCATTGCCACTCCTGCTTTCTAACCCCCTTTCTTCCAAGTCATGTTTCACACTCACCTGTTCCCACCTCCTCTTTCTCCTCTCTTGTCCAGATTCTTTTGGACGGTGTTCCTATAAAGGAGTTTGACACCAAATGGCTGCGCGGGCAGATGGGGGTAGTCAGCCAGGAGCCTCGCCTCTTCAGCACAGACGTGGCAGCAAACATTTCCTACGGCTCGGGCAGCCGAAAAAAGAGCCACGAGGAGATCACGCGCGCGGCCTGCGCGGCTAACGCGCACGATTTCGTTTCGGAGCTGCCCGAGGGGTACGCGACAGTGGTGGACAACTCGCGGCTGAGCGGCGGGCAGAAGCAAAGAATCGCGATTGCCCGGGCATTGGTTCGGGACCCAAAGATTTTGATTCTGGACGAGGCGACGAGTGCGCTGGATGTGGAGAGTGAGAGGAATGTGCAAGGGGCATTGGATGAGGCGATGAAGAGGGGGAAGAATGGCCGGCGCGATCATACGGTTATTGTGATTGCTCACAGGTGAGCGTGGGTGGAGTGGGTTTTGAGGCAACGAGTGCGCTGGATGTGGAGAGTGAGAGGAACGTGCAGGGCGCACTGGATGAGGCGATGAAGAGGGGGAAGAACGGCCGGCGCGATCGTACGGTCATTGTGACTGCACACGGTCATTGTGACTGCACACAGGTGAGTGTGATTGCACACGGTGAGTGTGTTTGCACACAGGTGAGTGTGTTTTCACACAGGTGAGTGTGTTTGCACACAGGTGAGTGTGATTGCACACAGGTGAGTGTGATTGCACACAGGTGAGTGTGATTGCACACAGGTGAGTGTGATAGCACACAGGTGAGTGTGATTGCACACATGTGAGTGTGATTGCACACAGGTGAGTGTGATTGCACACAGGTGAGTGTGATTGCACACATCACTGTGGGTTGGAAACGGTTGTGACTGGTCTTGTTTGGTTGACTGGCCGCATTGGCTGTGTTTGCGTATGCTGCCTCCCCCTTTTGGTTTAACAATGCCATGCATGCGCCAGTGGTGCACTCGTTCCGATTGTTGATGGATGGGCTCCCTTCATACCCACCAAACCTCATTGACCCCTTATTCTGTGTATACGTCTTGACATTTCCTGTGTATACGTCCTGTGTATAGGTCCTGTCTTGGCATTTCCTGTGTATAGGTCCTGTCTTGGCATTTCCTGTGTATACGTCTATGAATAAATCCTTATTCGTGCTCCATCTATGAACCCCGTTCTCTCTTGTAATTTGCATCAGGCTGTCAACGATCCAGGCAGCAGGCCGCATTGTGGTGATGGCTCATGGCAGGATAACGGAGGTGAGTGCTGTGCAAGTATCTATGTACGCACATTGAGTATTATTTTCTTTTATTTTATCCGGTTCTTTCGACGGCATCTTCGTATGTTGACCAAGAATCCGACATGTTGCTGCCCTTTCATTGTTGACATGGCGATCTTGTCATTTCCTAATCGTTTGAGCTCTTTTTTGATGGATGTTGTTATACCAGGTGGGCACGCATGCACAGCTCATGGCCAAGGGTGGTGAATATGCCAGGCTGGTGAATATGCAAGATCATACACCAGCATTCGCGATGCCTTAGGCCACTTCCGAATATGTCATGCATTAGTTGGATTCAAGGCTCCCAACGTTTTCACTTGTGTATATAGACTGGGGAATTGTGGTGAGTCTGATGTGAGATATTCTCGCTGTTTAGTTCATGAGTTCATAGGCTGGGATGGTAAAATAGCTGTATGAGATGGAATTTCAATAAGTACTTAGCTGCATTCAGGAGTTACATTTGCCATAATGGCAATCGAACCCGCCTGCAATAGAAAAACTCACAATAGAGTCGTTTCCGTCACATCTATATCCCGCCAGTCATCTCTTCACAACAGCCCCCCACATTCTCCCCCGCCCATTCCCCGACATTATCCCCTCGTTATCTCTCCCCCCTCCCCCTTACCCCCACCAAACCTTCCCCCCTTCTTTCAACATGCGCCCGCCGCTTCCCCTCCGCCAACCCGCGCTCGTTACGCTACACTGTTCCGCCAGCGCCATCCAACCCCGCCAGCGCGGACCACCCCGCCAGCGCCATCCAAACCATCCATCCCTTTCCTTACCTGTCCAGCCAAAGCTGTCTGCTGCTAGGTAGAAAAGAACATCCATGGCTCCTCCTAGCCCTAGCACATCGGTTCTACCTTTTTCGTGCATTCCTAGGGTGGCCAGCTCTTAATGCTGTCTGGCTTCACAGCGGAGAGCTACCTCGTGTCTCGCCACGTGGTGCTAGTATGTTCTTAGTCTCGCGTAGGTTTCGCGGGTGGAGCCAGTCTGACGTGTCAGGCCTTGAGGCCACGTGGTCTTTATCTGAAGGTCAAATACCTAGAGCCTTCAGGCGAACCTAGACCTCCTCCATGCCAAGCTAACATGGAGTCACGCGCTTCCACCACGCACTTGCTCTCTGCGTTGTTTCAGGACACCGGATTAATTCTATAGTATAATGGTTCTGGCGCTATGAAGTCTATCCGACGCCCACGACGCGTGTTCCTGGCTCGAGCTGTTCATACCCTGACCAGAACCTAGTCATCAACTCACGCACATGTCGAGACGTCCGTTTCATGGTTTTCCAGCTGAACGTCTGCCGACCGTGTACCCTCTGGCGAGAGCCCTTCTCCTGCCGATCGAATGAAGCCGTATTTCCTCATTAAATGAATGGCCCTCGACGCTCTTCAATTCCTGGTTGCAGTCTCCGACCAGTCCGCTCCAGTCCCGTCCAGCTCGGTTCAGTTCGGTTCTGGCCGACCACGATCATCCACCCTCTAGCATTTCGCCTCACTCCATTCTTGCGCGCTCGTCCCTCGTTGCGAGGAGATTACGTCACGTGCAGACCGGTCATTGCTCGCCTACCAGCAAGTTTCGAATTACTTCCCCGCCGGAATAGGTTTTCCGTCTCCCGCCGGCCTTCCGCTGCCCTTTTCCGCCTTTCCCAGCCTTCCCAATTTTGTTCATGAGTTAGGCTCGGTACCGAACCAGCGAGTTAGACTCGGTGCTCATCGAAGGTACTAGAGTAGGGCTAGGTTTCGCCAGCGACGCCCACCAGCGAATTGAGAAGCCTCTGGCGACGCGCGCTGGCGAAGAAGAGGGTTACTGGCAGCGATCGAGCTACGGCGCTAACGACATTCGCGAGCGATCATGTTCTGCTGTTTCGCGCGGCCCAAGGCGGGCGACGACGACAATGTCAACGACGACTATGCGACGCCTGCGCCGCCCGCGCGGAACACGCCGCGGAAGCCCGCACCTTCCGCATCTTCCCCCGTCGGCGACGCCGGCGTGCGCGAATACGCCAGTAAAATGGCGGCCGCCGACGACCGCGTCGCCATGTCGTCAGTCGCCGTGTTACACGCCGCCCAAATTCGCAGCATTCGCTCGGAAAATGCCACCGGGATCAGCGGTGGCGGCGGCGGCGGCGCCGGCGGAGGAGGCAGCAGCGGAGGCGTTGGCGGAGTCGGCGGCGGAAGCGGCATCACCTCAGCGCATGGCGGCGGCGGAGGTGGATCGGGTCGGGGGGCTTCGCGGGATGCTTCGTCGAAACCTCCTATAGCGACAGATAGAGGCAAGAGCCATATGGGACCGGTAATCATGGCGGCTGGCCCGGGGCTAGGGTTTGGCCCATCGGGTATAGACATCAGACCAGGCAGCGGCGCAGGTGGCGGCGGGGGAGGTTTGGACGACCGGCCTAGCAGCGCGGGACCGACGACGATACAGCAGCACATGCAGCACCATCAGCAGCTGCACCAGCACCAGCAGCACTATGCCGCAGCCGTGGGATCGCGCGCAGTGAACAGTGCCGGATCCGTATCGTATCTCAACGCCATGCCTGGGCGGCAGCGCATCGTGGCTTGGCTGGAAGAATCAGATCAGTCGTTTGCGACGGTTGACGAAACCACGAACGAACCCGTGCGACTCAAGTCTCCGGGGGGTAAGCAGGCGGAAGGGGAGGGGGACGGGGAAGGGGGAGGGGAGGGGGAAAGCGGGCGGGACGGGAGCGCAGACGCAGCGGCTCTGGAACGTCTCGGGTTGTTTCTTTCGAGCCTGCCCGCCGGGCAGTATGAAGACCGCGGCAGCCCCACAGCAGCGCCTCCGTCCGCCTCGGGGGAGTCCAGCGGCGGAGCTGGGGGACCCAGCGGAGCATGGAGCGCGGGAGGCGGAGGGGGGGGGGGCGGGGGAGGCAGCAGCAGCACGGGGACGCACGCGCAGTCGGGTTATTCCGCCATGGCCACCGCGGGTTCAGGTGTTACCGGTCCGAGTTACACCAGTCAGGGCATTCCAGGGGGGGGGTTTACTGGTGCAGGCTTATCTGGTGCGCGCAGGGCTTCCCCGAATAACTCCAAGCGGGACTTGCTGCCGCCCCCTGCGGGGGGCCATAGCGGAGGGGCGGGGGGCAGAGGTGGTAGTGGGGGGAATCCACTGGGGGGGAACCCGATGGCGCGGACGCGGTCAAGCCAGGAGCCCGTGCGCCTGGTGCCGCAGATGGGCAGCGCGGAGGAGAGCGCGCAGGCGGGCGCTGCGCCTTCTCCCCTCCCCGCTGCAGCAGGCGCGCTGGGGGCGGGATCCAGTGGGGCGGGGGGAGCCAGAGGCGCAGGTGTGTTGGCGCCGTCGTTGAGCTTTGCCAATGGGGTTGGTTCAGGCACGGGGGCAGGGGCGGCTAGTGGCGCAGGGGTAGGGGCTGGGACAGGATTGGGACCGGGGGCATCCGCAGGGGTTGGGGGTGGCACTGGCTCGGGTGCTGGTGCTGCTGGTGCTGCTGGTGGTGCTGGTGGGGCGAAGGAGAAGGAGAGCCTTCGCGTGCAGGCACTGAGTAACGCCATTCGGCACAGCAGTCACGGCGGGGAGAAGGACAGAGACAGCCACAGAGAGAAAGAGCCGCTAGGCCGATCCACCACGCAGTACTCAGAAGAGGGAGGGTCAGCAGCGGCAGTAGCTGGGTCAGCTGTTGCTGCCACTGCTGGGTTTGGTGGGAGCGCGAGAGGCTTGGGAGGGGGCTTTGCTTCAGACACTGCTTCGGATACGGCTGCAGGGCACGTGCATTTGAGGGATGGAAGCTTCCCCCCCTCCCCTGCTCCGGATAAGTCGTGGTATGCTGTGTCACCATTGGTGGATTTTCACCCGGGGTCCAGTCCGCCGCCCCCTTTCATTCCCGGGCAGAGTCCACTGAGAGATAGTGGTTTTAAGCTGCCCTTGCCTGCTGTGGGAGGGAATGGGGCAGGCAATTCCGGGCATGAAGGATTAGGGGAGATACAGAGTGATGGTGCCCGGATAGGGGCTGAGGGGAAGGGGGATGTTGAATCGTCTGTTGATGGTGGAAAGGGAGGTGCAGCTGAGGTTTCTTCTCACGAGGAAGCTAGTATGAGTTAGGGGGCTGTATTGCATGCCTTTGGATGTGTGGAAAATTGTTGTGATAAAGGCCGTGGGTGCAGCGGAGGGCGGCTTTTGCAAGTGGGATTGGTCTGTGCTAGAAGGAATGAAATTTTATGATGATTATATCAATGATGTGAGCAGGTTAGGTTGGTATGGTATCTGTCATTCCTAGCGTGATCTATTATGACATTCCTAGGGTGATACATGTCATTTCACAGCTACTGCATTGGGGTGTAGCACAGGTACCTAGGTGTACAGTACTGTGAAATGTTTGGTTGGAACGAACAACCACACCACAAAGCCCAACCAACCGAAATGAAGAACCATTCAGCGAATTTGCCAATTTGCTCGCAGCATTCACCATCACACTGAAGGGCGGGAGGACGGGGGTACACATGTTGCTCAACCGCTGCGCTCGAATTTGCCCTGCACGCGCCAGATACTCTGCACGCGTGTATTTATTGCCAGCCAGTTGCACCCCACTTACAAGCGCCTCGAGCAAGTTGCAGCGATTTGAACCAATTCAAACCACAGAAAACGAAGCTTGACCAAAGAGACTGAAGTCAAAAGGTCAACGGCGAGTTACAAAGTTTTTTATAAGCCCTTTTTGCAAGAATCACTTAAGAGCCCCCTTCACAAGGCAACCTTGGGTTAGTCAAACGAGCATCATTTGTACTGTTGGAAAATCGGGGCAGGATTTGAAGGAAAGTCGTCCTTTCGTCTCCACGCACGGGAGGGCTGTCGCTTGCGGGCTGAGGTGTCCTGAATTCAGCCCTTATTACCGGGTCGAGTCAGATTTCAACACCTAGATCCAGGGCTACACATCTTTCTGCACTTGAGCGTAAACGCATTGTGAAGGTAGATGATGTTCAAATACACCTGAGGGCTGCGGTACATAGCAGATCTAGCATGCAACAAGGGTAGGGTGGTGGGTGAGGGCTCTGAGTCTGAGCGTATACGTGAAATTTGGGTTAGGCTCTAAACCAGCCCGTAGGGACGGGCTGGCCTCAAGGCCCTGTTCGGTAGCCTCCCAGTCGCACTGGGCCCACTCGAACTGGAGAAGCGTCCGAAATTTTGCTTAGCCTCGGGCTTCCACTCACACTGGAAAGAAGTTTCGAGTTCAGTTTGCAATAATTTCCTTGAAATATGCTGTAAATTTCTCGATACGATTGTGGTTCTTTACCAGACTGACCCCAAAAGAAAACGTACTTGCCCGTCGCACGGTTACCCTGCTAAAAACAGAAGAAAAAAAAAAGGATCACTTTCTGTGCGCCACCTCTTTTTGGTTCAAGAAGGTAAGAGCACATTTTCTGGCCCGAATTTGTCTAAGCTAAAGTTAACCAAAAAATGTGCCACTTAGAGTGGCCCTCGCGGAGTGTAACTGAAACCCGAAACTGGGAGCCACTTCCACTGCGAGTCCAGTTTGCCCGGGAAGGACAATTTCCGTGCAGTCTCGACGCCCGCAGTCAGATTTGGCTTTTGAAGCGTTCGGTAGCCAAGTCACACTGGCCAGGTTCGGTGTTCCAATATCGAGTTAGTGGGCTTTAATAATATTTTCGGAACCTGCCATCCACCTACCGCAGTATGACTCGGACGTCTACCGAACAGGGCCCAAAGCCAGCCCTTGAATTCTCTGAGTTGGGCCCGAACCGGCACTTGAATTCAAGGGCAAAAAGGGTAAATGCCTTTGTAGCGACAGGCCCGGGACCGTCAATGGGGCACTGCTGCAGCCTCTTGCGACGTGAAGTTGACTGCATGGCCGTCGCACTGTTGGTGGGGTGGGTGTGCCTTGAATTTTTCTTTCTATCGTCCTGCCATTTCAAGGGGGCCATTTTCAGGTGTAATCCACACGTGCCGGGAAATATACTCATGTGTAATCCAGGTTGCTGTGCAGATACGAACATCATATTCATTGTAAGGAATTGCTGTCGATTCTCCCATTTTCCCCGAGATCCGATTCAAAATAACACAAACAGTCTGAATCAAAAGCGATTTCGGATCACGCCAAGCGAATCTTAATGGTCGCTGTCATATTTGCCCAATTTTGACGACAATTTATGCTTCGCATCAGGAGTTTTATGAAAGAAATCTTATTAGAGATTAGCTGTACTGTTGACGCAGGTGACGGAAGCTGCGCAGGGGAGTCGGCACTCCCTTCTTGGGTGTGCACCCCGAAACACGATAAAACTGCCCGGGTGATAACAGAGTTAACCCTCATCGTAATAAATTCCAGGATGTTATTTTGAGTCGGATCTCGGGGAAAAGGGGAAAATCGACAGCAAGTCCTTACAATGAATATGGTGTTCGTATCTGCACAGTAACCTGGATTTACACATGAGTATATTTCCTGGCACGTGTGGATTACACCTGAAAATGGCCCATTTCAGGGTTACGATAGTGTGGCGCCTCCCCATGAGAGGTGGCGCGAGAAAATTGCAGCCAAGCAGGAAGGATTCTTGCTATCTGTACTGTATGTTTTATAGGCCATAGTTATCCATGCTGGCATGCTGGCCGATGCATGGCTGCTAAAACCAAGGTGGGCTTGGTGATTTCGGCCGAAGACAGTGATGGAAGTGGTATCGGCCGGGTGAACATCATCAATCTTGGATGTGGCAGAGTCGAGCTCTTTGAAGCCGGAAAAGGAATTACCGATCCGTTTATAGGGAGCTAAGCTTAGAGAACACCCAGCCTTTCAGGGTAACACTGTACAATAACATCAGCCGTTCTGCCCCCTCGCTAGGCAGGCAGCGGTGACCGGACTCTGTCCTCTAGTGCCCGCCAAACGCCATTTCAAGAAGACGGAAGAAACGAACCGAGAATGTCAAACATCCACACCTCGCACTGAGCCTCGCTTCGAGGCTGGGCACAGGCATGAGAAGATGCGTTTCCGGCTAGGTAGTTACCTTCGGGTATCCCCTCGCCCCCTTTCGCCAAGCAGGAGCTCCCCTCCCCTGCCTCGGGGTTGCAAGCAGGAAAACAAAATATCTCCTCCCCTCTGTGCTGCCTCTCTTGTCCTTGGCCTTGGTTTTGCCGCGAAGCGAACCTGCCCTGGCCTTGGGTTGTTCGGGGCGGCCCTTGGTACGGACGGAGTTCCCTGGGGCAGGCCACGCACTGTTTCCGCAGACCTACAGGCAGAGCCAGGCCAGTGTGGAACAGTGCAGTGCTTTTTCTTCGCGCCGAAAACAGCACTTCGAAATCACGGAACAAGCTGTTGCTTTCGTTATGTTAAAAAGTGGTGCAGAATTAAACCGTAGCTTAACTCCTTTTAAAGTTACTGCACCGCGCTCTTCTCCCTTGCAAGGTCAGTGAGAGTGACTAGTGTGATCTCAACCACCCCGCTTGCTTCAGAGTGGGACTGGCTGGATAATCTTCTTGCTTGGCGTAGGTCTTTCTTACCCTGCCTTAGTATCCAGGGCCTGGCCATTCTTAGTATTTAGCCTTTTCTTTCTTTGTAATTATTTTTGCGTATTTATGACCTGCGCTGTTCAGTGTCAGATTAGTGGTGGTACAGTATATATCAAGGGACTGTTGATATAATTATCCTTCAATTACTAGCGGATGCTGGACTGAGCCAAGAGCGGGCGTCAAGAATTCATCGCTTCAATTAGAGGAGAGAGTTTCGATCTTGTTCAAAAGTCGCGACGTCTCAGTTACGAAAGCTTAATTTGACGATCCTCCAGCGTCCCTTCTTTTCTGACATGTTAACAGCTTGGAGCAAAACCGAATATCTCCGTTCCAGAAGAAGTTTTGACGGCGTCATAGTGCGAGTCGGACTCCTGCTCCGTGGCACGCACCCCGTGTCTACCAGCCATAGTGAAACCCTGACAGACACTTAACAATTGATACACGTTTACCCTACCCTGACTAAGACGCTAGACAACCTGGTGTGCGCTTCTTAATTACTGATATGGACACTGTACAATGACTCACACTTACCCTGGCTATGACATTAGACTACCGGGTGCGAGCTTCTGATCTACCGATGCGGACACTGTACAATGTCTCACAATCACCTTGACGATGACATTAGTCTACCCGGTACAGACACTCTACAATGACTCACACTTACACTGACGATGACATTAGCCCGTCCAGAGTGCTCAACCGGGTGTGTAAGTCGGAGCCGCGAATCACGGTGCAACCGCCGTCCGTTCTAATGCTACACTCTAAAATCCTGCAGCAGCAGCAGCAGCAACAACAACAACAACAACCGCTATCAGAAGACGATTGCGAGCCGAGGTATTACCAGTCTCCAGACAGTCTGCCAGATGGCATGTCGTCCGTACGATCTATGATGAATCCAGGAATCGACGGTTCTGGGAGAAGCGGGGCAGCAGGGGGAGGACTAGCAGGGGTCGGCGGATCGGGCCAGCGAAGTCCAGGTATTCCGCGATCGTCGCGCTCCGTTGGCGGAGTTGGAATCGCCGCCTTTGGCGGGGGAAAGGGTGGACGGATCGGCGGAGCAGCGGGAATGACCGCTGCCGGTTCTGACGAAGCGCGACTATATGATCCATACGGAGGCGCAGACACGGGTTTCGGAAAAGAGTGGGAAACCGCCGAACCTGGCAAAGCGTCTCGGCGAGCAGCTTCGGACGGCGATTCATCCGGTTTTATCTCCAAACCTTCGAGTTTGATTCGGTCCCGAACCTTAGACGCAGATGCATTGTGTGGGGAGGACGAGGACGACCCTAATAACACAGGCTCGGGATCCTCCCCAAGCAGACCGTCAGGTCAGGATGGGCCGGTTGGGAATCCACGCCGCCGAGCCGAGCGTTCAGGTGCGGGAAACAGACCTGGAACAGGATCGTACCTGCCGATATACCGACAGATTGGCGTTCCCCGCAGCTCGTCGCACGACCCAGCGAGTCAGTTCGCGCAGAAGCAGCATCACGCCGGGTTCACCGGGCAGGAGTGGGAAGAAGCCCTTAAAGACGGCAGCGGCGGGGACAGCAGCGGACCGCCGAGCGGCGGAACGGGCTTCGGACGGAGCAACAGCGGAGGGGGGAGCGGGGGAGGGGGAGGAAGAGGGGGAGGGGGCGCAGGCGCGCGCGGAGGCGGCGGAGCCTCGGGAATGCCGAGATCGGCTCTAAGCGGAGCTGGTGCGTCGCCGTTTGCCATTCAGGGGAAGGCGGTATCTGGGGCAGGGCGATCTATGATGATGCCTCCTCGCAACTCGTCCGTCCCCGCATCGTTGCCCACGCACAAAGGCACCGCCACGGGTCTGCTAGACTCCGCGCGCGTAGGCGGCGGAGCTGGCGGAAGGCAGCTCCGCGCGTTCGCGTCCGCCGCGCCAGGGCGCATGGACGGCCCCGCCGCCCTGGGGTCGGAGCTGGGCCGGCGCGACTCGTACAACCTGATTCTGGACCAGTTTCTGTCAGCTGACGGAAACGCTAGCGGCCCTGATTCGCCCAGCACGGGAATGGGGACGGAGGAAAGGAGGGGAGCGGCGGAAATTGGTGGGGGGTTGGAGTTACGGAGGGTTGTAACGGCGGGGAGGGCACAGAGAGCGGAAAGGGGTGGAGCGGATATTTTGGTGGTAGAGAGCGGTGGAGATGGTGGGAGCGCGGACGGGAGTGTGCACGGCGGGGGTAGGATGCATGGAGGGATTCGCCTGCATGGGAGTAATAGTTTCCATGGGAACCCGAGTAATGGTGGTGCTGCTGGTGGGGGTTTCGATAACACTAGCAGCACAACAGCACCCACTGCCCCTGCTGCTGCTGGTGGTGTTGCTGCTGGTACGGCTGGTGGTGTTGCGTCAGCAATAAGCCACTCCCCCCACCCCGCGCACCACCCAGCCTACAGGCAATTCCCCCGTTCCTCCAGTGATAGCGGGCGGAATTCTCCTAGCCGTCGGAGCCCTAGCAGCAGCCCCAGCCGCGGCGTGGGGGGCATAGGCGGAAGCAACCTTGCGCCTTCCCCGCTCGTCTCCCACCAGCATCAGTTGGAGGGGGGCCCGGGGCTGGGTTTGGGCGCGCATAGCGCCGCCAGCAGCTGGACTGGCGGAGGGATGGGCGGAGGCGTTGTGGGGGGATTCGGGGGAGCAGCAGCAGCAGCAGCAGCAGGGGAGCAGGGCCAGCAGGGGCAGGAAACGGTGCTCTGGTAGGGTTTGAGAAGCCAAGAGGGGTGTCACCAACGAGAGGAGCCGGGTCTATGCTTGTAGCGTCGTCGTCAGGCAGTCCCTTGCGCAATGCCTCTCCCTCCCGCCGAAGCCTCTCGACAGGTGGCGCGTCGGGAGTGGCTAGCTGGAAAGGCAGCAGCAGCAGCGGTTCCAGCATGGGACACAGCAATAGCGGTGGTGGTGGCAGCAGCGGTGGCAGCGGCAGCAGCGGAGGGTCGGGGCTCGGACGAGGCACCAGCACAGGTGGCAGCCACAGTGCCACTTTCCCTATAAGGCAATCCTCTGGCAGCCCTCCGTTATCATCACAATCACAACAGTCACAATCACAGCAGCAGCCGCTGCAGCAGCAGCTGATGCGTCAGCCGCCCTTACAGCCGCTGCCACAGCCGCAGTTTCCGCGGTTGGCAGGGGCAGGGGCAGGGGCAGGGGGGGGAGTATGGCCGGAGGAGGGGCCGCAGGGACATCTCACAGGAGAGGGAAGAGCGAATACGCCCTAAGTTCATCGCAGAGATTGTCGCGGCAGAGCTCAGGATCCGTGGGGGATGGTGTGGATTACAGCAGTAGTTTTGAGAGTTACTCCACTGCTGCTGGCGCTGACGTGGCACGAGATGGAACGGATGGCGACTCGGACCACGGGCAGGTGAACGGGCAGCGGAAAATTCGGGGGCAGGCGCAGGGAGGGAGTGGGAACGGGCGGCAGAAGCACAGGCGTGCGGTTAGCGATAACGAGTGTGCCCAACCAGGGGGGGTGGAGTCTGGGGAAGGGGAGGAGAGGGGGAGGGGGATGTGGGAGAGGGATGGGCGGATGGACTGGGGGAGAGCGGCAGGGAAGGGAGAATAGTGGGACGAGAGGGTGGGGCGACGCGTGGGGGCGGTTGGGGGAAGGGGGTGGAAGAAGGCGGGGCAGATGTTGGGGAGATTTCGTTTGGGCGGCAGCACTCAGTGGCGGAGATAGGGGGGAGTTGCAGAGGCATGGGGGGAAGGGAAGGGGAAAGGGCGGGGGGAGGGGGAGGAGAAGAAGACGGGGAAGGAGAGGAGGAAGAGAGTGATTCGGGGAGTGTGGTGGAGTGGGCTTTAGCGGGCTCGCCCCAGAGCATTTCGGCTGTAGCAGGGGCGGCAGAGGGGGGAAGAGGAGGCGGAGGAGGGGGCAGGGAGGCGGAAGGAAGCTTCCTGCGCAGAGGCAGTGGCAGTAGAGCAGTAGCAGCATCAGAGGGGGGAGCAGGGGGAACAGGGGTCGCAGGTGGAGCAGTGGGAGCAGGGGGGGCAGGGGGAGCAGGAGGAGGAGCAGGGGGAGGAGCCGAGAGGGGCATGGGTAGAGCGACAGGGGGAGGAACAGGTGGGGGCGGTTCAGCTGCAGGAGAGGGGGAGGGCGTATCTGGAGCAGGCTCTTCTGGAACTCATCCCGGTTGGGGCGGCTTTCCGCGTCTTAACCTGGAGATCGCGAGTCTACAGTCGTTCTCAGATGAGGAAAACCCCAGTAACCGGAGTGTGGGATCGCTGCAGGGCATGGGCAGCGGGCGGGGCGGGGGCAGCGAACAAGGCATGGATAGCGCTCAGAGCAGCTTACTGAACAGCAGCTTGGGAAAAGGGGAGGGCAGAGGGGTTGGAGAGGGTGCGAGGCGGTGGGTAAGGGGTGGGAGAGAGGGAGGGGTAGAGGTAGGGCGGGGAAGAGGGAGGGAGAGGCGGGGGAAGGGGAAGAAAGGAGTGAGATTCTACTCTGAATTGAGGTCTCCGTTGGGTAGGCGAGGGTCGGTGAGTGGGAGAGTGGAGACGCCGCGAGGGATGGTGGGGAGAGGCGGGAGGGAGAGGAGGAGCAGAGGAGTGTATAGGTGCAGGCATTGCCGGGAGGCGGAGGAGGAAGAGGAGGGGGATGAGGATGGGGAGGGGGAGGAGGAGGATGAGGAGGAGGGATGTGAGGAGGGCTGTGTGTATGAGGAAGGGGGTAGGGGCAGCAGGGAAGGGGGGCGGAGGAAGAAAGATGAGGGGAGAGTGTTCCATGGGAGGGTGTTTAATGTGTTGCGGCGGCCCATGAGGGCAGTGGGCAAGCAGTACGCGTTGACTGCGGTTGACTGGCTTGACTATGACCCCCCTGGAGATGCTCTGTTGAGAAGATGCGTGCACCGCGCTACTGGCACCCCTCTCACATGCCGCACCATCTCCAAGCAGAGCATTCGGGTAAGTGAGAGTGAACGTTCATTTATTACAGGTGGGCAAGCAGAATGCGTTGACTGCGGTTGACTGGCTTGACTACGACCCCCCTGGAGACGCGCTGCTCAGAAGATGCGTGCACCGGGCGACTGGCAGTCTGTTGATGTGCCGCACCATCTCCAAGCAGAGCATTTGGGTAAGGCGTGAGTAACCAGGTGGGTGAGCGGTTGACTGGCTTGACTACGACCCCCCTGGGGATGCTCTGCGTGCACCGCGCGACTGGCAGTCTGTTGATGTGCCGCACCATCTCCAAGCAGAGCATTCGGGTGAGTGGACGAGCAGGTGGGGTGGGGGATTCAGGCACAGTGGTGGGTTCATACGATACAATACAATCCAGCAGGGGGCCTGGGTCTGGTAGTCTCCGCACCATCCCCAAGCAGAGCATTTGGGTGAGGATGGATGAGCACAAACAATGGTGAGGGTGTCAAAGTGTCAAGCACAATGGCGGGCTCAAACAATCCTTTTGAGTCGACTCAAAAGTCAAAGTGTCAAGCACAATGGCGGGCTCAAACAATCCTGCGTGGACTTGCGTCAGGCAGTCTGCTCACATGCCACGCAATCTCACTCTTACGATCAGAAGCATGTCATGGGTCTGTCGCCAGTCTGCTCACATGCTGTGCGTCTTGCCCACCCTTCCACCCTCCAGTCACAGCAGCAGGCGGAAGCTATTGGGGTGCTGGAGGTGCTGGAGGTGTTGCAGCCGAGGGGACTGTCAATGCGCACCTTTGACACTTACTCTTGCTCTCTCACACCCGCCCCTCTCCCCCTCACCAGTCACAGCAGCAGGCGGAAGCTATTGGGGTGGAAGTGGCAGTGCTGGAGGTGCTGCAGCCGCATGCACACATCATTGGGCTCAAAGACAAGTTTGAGAGCCTCACGGTGAGCCATATTGCCCCATGGTGTGACCAGTAGAGGTTCTTACCTTAGCCTTTGCTTCCTCACATGCCTCTGCCTGATTTCCCCACCCTCCCCGTCTCCCTCACCCGTCCAACCTCCATCCGTACCATCGTTCACCATCCTCTCTTCTCCCCCAACAACTCGTGCATCCCGTTCTGAACCCCATTTTGCACCTCTCTCTGCACGGCCGCTGCATCACGGCTCTTAACCTGAGCCAACGACCCCTCCTTCCTCTTCCCCCACACTCCCCTCCCCTCCCCCCACCCTCTCCATCACACCCCTCCCTCCCCCCCGGTCTGTGCATCTGATTCTAGACCCCGTATCGCGCCTCTCACAGCACAACCACATGCGCTGCCACTGCTGTGGACAGGTTTTAATCTGCACGGCTCCTACCCTCCTCTCCGCCCACCCTTCCCATCCCCGCCCACCCTTCCCATCCCTGCCCACCAGTCGGTGCATCTCATTCTAGACCCCGTATCGCGCCTCTCGCTGCACGACATGTTATTTGAGAATTCTCAAAAAACATACCCTCCTCTCCGCCCACCCTTCCCATCCCCGCCCACCCTTCCCATCCCCCCACCAGTCGGTGCATCTCATTCTTGACCCCGTATCGCGCCTCTCACTGCACGACCGCATGCGGCAGCACGGCCCCATCCCTCAGCACCACGCTGCACCGCTCTGCCTCGCGCTGCTGCACGCGCTGCACCACTGCCACTCGCAGGGCGTGGCCCACCGCAATCTCACGCCCCACGCTGTCGTGTTCCCAAGTGATGACAGCCCGCTGGGGGATGCAAGGCTGAGTGGATTCGAGTGTGCAGCGTTCGTAACCCCAGGTAAGGTGGTCTGCCTTGTCTTGTCAGTAGCAGCAGGGCGTGGCCCACTGCAACCTCACGCCCCATGCTGTTGTCTTTCCAGCTGACGACAGCCCGCTGGGGGACGCCAGGCTGAGCGGATTCGAGTGTGCTGCGTTTGTTACCCCAGGTACGTTAGCGCAGGGGGGGGATGGCCCACTGCAACCTCACGCCTCATGCTGTCGTGTTCCCTGCTGACGACAGTCCCCTGGGGGATGCCTGGCTGAGTGGATTTGAGTGCGCTGCGTTCGTCACTCCAGGTATGCCCCGTTCACATCAGGCCAGTCTCTGTGTGTAGCAGCAGCATTCCAATCACTGTCCATAGAGGGAGGTGGACGTGGCCCACCGCAACCTCAAGCCCCACGCTGTCGTGTTCCCTGCTGACGACAGTCCCCTGGGGGATGCCAGGCTGAGCGGCTTCGAGTGTGCTGCGTTTGTTACCCCAGGTACGTTCTTTTTTCTCCACGTCGGTAGCAGCAGTCCTGCCAGTCTGTAGCAGCACAAGGGGGGCGAGGGGTGGCCCACCGCAACCTCACGCCCCATGCTGTCGTGTTCCCCACCGATGACAGTCCGCTGGGGGATGCCAGGCTGAGTGGATTCAAATGCGCAGTGTTTGTAACCCCAGGTTTGTATTGTTGCATGCCTGTGGCCCTCTATGGCAGCAGCATTCCAGATACTGTTAGCAGTAGGGGGGGGGGGGGACGCTCACAGGAATATCATGCCCCACGTGGTCGCGTTCCCAGCTGACGACAGCCCGAGGGGGGATGCCAGGCTGAGCGGGTTCGAGTGCGCTGTGTTCGTCACCCCAGGTATGTTCTGCTTGCCCGCGCCAGTCCCTACCCCCTCCTCTGTGGACTTCTCTGCAACCATCCCATGCACACTGCTCTCCCCGTCCCCTCCCCCTCACCCTCCCCCTCCGCCGCTCCCTCCCGCTCCCCCTTTCTGCTCCCCCTTCCCCCTCCCCTTCCCCCTTCCTCCTTCTTCCCCAGGAGTGCCCTTCTCAGACCCAGTGACGCCCCCCTTGTTCGCAGCACCGGAGGTGCACGCGGGAATGTACGGCACACAGGCAGACCTCTGGTCTCTGAGCGTCCTCTTCCTCCTCCTCTCCTTGTCCCCCCGCCTCCCCCTCCCGCTCCCCCTACCCCTGCCGCTCCTCCTACCGCTGCGCTTCCCTCCCTCTCCCCTTCCCCAGGAGTGCCCTTTTCAGACCCTGTGACGCCCCCCTTGTTCGCAGCACCGGAGGTGCATGCGGGAATGTACGGCACACAGGCCGACCTCTGGTCTCTGGGGGTCCTGCTCTTCCTCCTTCTCTCCCTGTCCCCCCCCTTCCAACCTTCCCCTCCGCCTTCCTCTCTGCGCTTCCCTCCCTCTCCCCTTTTTACAGGAGTCCGCTTTTCAGACCCAGTGACGCCCCCTTTATTCGCAGCACCGGAGGTGCACGCGGGGATGTACGGCACACAGGCCGACCTCTGGTCCCTCGGGGTCCTGCTCTTCCTCCTCTGATCTGCTGGGTACCCTGTTACCCATGCACATTGCTCTGCCCGTCCCCTCCAACTCACCCGTCCCCTCCACCTTCCCCTTCCCCCTCCCCTTCCCCCTCCACATCACCTTCCCCAGGAGTGCCCTTTTCAGATCCAGTGACACCGCCATTGTTCGCAGCGCCAGAGGTGCACGCGGGAATGTACGGCACACAGGCCGACCTCTGGTCCCTGGGGGTCCTGCTCTTCCTCCTGCTCTGCGGAGGGCCGCCCTTCTGGTCGGCCACGGCTGGTGGCATTCGGCGCGCAGTGCAGCAGCAGCAGGTGGCGTTTTTGTCTCCCCGGTGGAAGGATGTTTCGGATGAGATGAAGCAGCTGCTGTTGCTGCTGCTCGAGAAGAATCCTGCAGAAAGGCTCACAGCTTCTGATGCTCTAGGTGAGTGAGTGTGTCTGAGGAGGTCTGCCTGTGTTCTCTGGGGGGGGCGCAGAACGCAGCAGCAGCAGCAGCAGGTGGCGTTCCTGTCGCCCCGGTGGAAGGACGTTTCTGATGAGATGAAGCAGCTGCTTTACAGCAGCCGAGGCTCTAGGCCTCTAGGTGAGCATGTCTGAGACTCTGAGGCGACCTCTCTGTGCTCCCAAGGTGACGCAGCTTCTGCTGGAGAAGCATCCGGCAGACCGGCTCATAGCAGCCGAGGCTAGGCCGCTAGGTGAGTGTGTCTGAGACCCTGAGGTGGCCATGTGCTCCCAAGGTGACGCAGCAGCAGCTGAGGCACCACAACTACCGTACTGTACCTTTTTTTTTGGTTGATACTGGCCGGGGCTTTGTTTATGTTAACTTGTTTCTTCTGGGTGTCTTTTTTTTTGCTGAAGTTGCTTCTTGTCTTTATGCAACTGTTCTGCAGAGCATCCCCTGTTCACAAGGGTGGCGGCATCAGAAGAGGGTACACCATGATTCATGATGAGTAATGATGAGCAATGATAATGGCTCGTTTATGAGCCGTCGACTCCACACATCACCTGGAGTGTATTGTCACTGCAACTACGAGGTCTGCTTATGCAACTAACATAACACAGAGCCTTATAACTAATACCCCACGGTGGGTAGAACTGTGCATCGTTGTAATATATTGATGTGTGCATTGCCGGTATGCAGCGAACGGGTGCCTGGATCATGTTGGGGATATAACAACTGGAGGAGGGCTTTTTAACTGGTTCTAGATGTCAAGTTATGTTATATCCTGCTTACGCTAGTTACTGTAGTTACTACTATGAACTGTTGGTGGTACACCTTTGCATGCTGTGTTTCCTATTTGTACCTTCCTCAATAGTGAACTACCCTCTTTGCCCAATTCCCCCTCCCGCTACTCTCGGCTATCACCTAGGCTAGGGTTTCACCTAAGCCTAGGTTACTCCATTATTCTTGACATGGTGTCAGAGCTGGTTCTTTCCTAGAACCTTCTCTTTTTTTTTAAGTAACATGGGCCCGCCTTTCCTGCAGCGCGAAATGCGCTACTTTTTTCTTCGTCCCGTCGCGCTCTTCGGCAGTCGCGTCCGTCGTCCCGCGGCCTCCGTTCCGTCGCCCCGCGGCCCCCCCGTTTCGTCGCCCCGCGGCCCCCCGTTCCCGTCGCCCGCGGCCCCCCGTTTCGTCGCCCCGCGGCCCCCCGTTCCCATCGCCCGCGGCCCCCCGTTCCCGTCGCCCGCGGCCCCCCGTTCCCGTCGCCCGCGGCCCCCCCGTTTCGTCACCCCGCGGCCCCCCGTTCCCGTCGCCCGCGGCCCCCCGTTTCGTCGCCCCGCGGCCCCCCGTTCCCATCGCCCGCGGCCCCCCGTTCCCGTCGCCCGCGGCCCCCCGTTCCCGTCGCCCGCGGCCCCCCGTTCCCGTCGCCCGCGGCCCCCCGTTCCCGTCGCCCGCGGCCCCCCGTTCCCGTCGCCCGCGGCCCCCCGTTTCGTCGCCAGCGCGGCCCACCAGCGCGGACGCCAGCGCCGTGGCCAGCCGCCTGCGCCACAGTCAGCGCCAGCAGCAGCTACCGCCGCCCCGCCCCCCCCCCCCCGCCCTCCCTTCCGCGGCTTCCGTCGTGGGGGGGGGGGGGGAGAAGGAGATGTGGGGGTGGCGGGTGTGAGCTGCCTGCAGCCCGTCCCTCCCCTCTCTCTTCCTGCAGAGATGTCGCTGTGGAGAAAAGGGGGGGGGGGGGAAGAAGTGGAGAAGGGTGAGGGGGTGGCGAAAGTAGAAAGGTGCGGAGGGTGTGAGGTTCAAGGGGTTGAGTGACAAGGGGGGTGAGGACTTGGAGGTTATTAACGGGGGGGGATCGCTATGAGCTTGCGCGCTCATGCCCACCTAGCCCACCTCCTCTCCTCATCGGGACTTGGGGGTTATTAACGGGGGGGGGATCGCTATGAGCTTGCGCGCTCATGCCCACCTAGCCCACCTCCTCTCCCTTTCCTCTCTCACCTCCCCTTCGTAAATGGAGGTTCGTAAGCGGGTCCGCCGGCACTGGCCCCCCACCTCCTCTCCTCTTCTCTCCTCTCGCCTCCACGTCCTTCCTCACCTCTCTGCCTTCTTCCACAGTGCTTTGTTTACTCTTTCAGGGGGTGCCGACTGCACCAGTTCCTACCGCAAGCAGGCTAAGGGGGTGTGTCAAGTTATGTTATATCCTGCTTACGCTAGTTACTGTAGTTACTACTATGAACTGTTGGTGGTACACCTTTGCATGCTGTGTTTCCTATTTGTACCTTCCTCAATAGTGAACTACCCTCTTTGCCCAATTCCCCCTCCCGCTACTCTCGGCTATCACCTAGGCTAGGGTTTCACCTAAGCCTAGGTTACTCCATTATTCTTGACACTAGATTCTTGGTTCTTCGATACCAGAGGAGAGGAACGTCTTGGCGTGAATTATGTTGGGGATACCTTATGACAAATGGATGAGGACTTGTGGACTGGCTTTTGGTTTTTGGAAATCAGATCAGAGAAAGGACAAGTACGGTACTGGAACCAGGAAAGCACTTTCATTCTCATTACAGCAACATCTCACAAAGTCCTCTGAACAGCATAGACCAGCTTAATTTCTGACCTACACATCCATTCGCCTTGTTCTGCACTATCCTTACGGTCAGGTGAGGCGGTTGGCACGCGCGTTGCTGATCCTGCTAGCCTTGCTAGCCCTGCTGGCACGGCTGGCACGGCTGGCAGTGCTGCTGTTGCTGTGAGCGCTGAGCTTGCTGTTGATGAAGCCGATGCCATGAATGAGGCCCACATGTGGCCCATTGCCATTGCCGTTGCCGTTGCCGTTGCCATTTCCGTTGCAGCAGCAGCCATTTCCATTCTCATTCCCATTCCCATTCCCGTTGCCATTGCCGTTGCCGTTGCAGCAGCAGCAGAAGCAGCAGCCATTGCCGTTGCCGTTGCCATTGCCGCAGCAGCAGCAGCCATTGCCATTCCCATTCCCATTCCCGTTGCCATTGCCATTGCCATTGCCATTGCCGTTGCAGCAGCAGCAGAAGCAGCAGCCATTGCCATTGCCATTCCCGTTGCCATTCCCGTAGCCGTTGCCATTGCCATTCCCGTTGCCATTCCCGTTGCCATTGCCGTTGCCATTGCCGTTGCAGCAGCAGCAGCAGCAGCAGCCATTGCCGTTGCCATTGCCATTCCCATTCCCATTGCCGTTGTCATTGCCATTGCAGCAGCAGCAGCAGCAGCCATTTCCATTCCCGTTGCCGTTGCCGTTGCCATTCCCATTCCCATTCCCATTCCCGTTGCCATTGCCGTTGCAGCAGCAGCACCAGCAGCAGCAACCATTGCCATTGCCACTCCCATTGCCGTTGCTATTGCCATTCCCGTTGCCATTCCCGTTGCCATTCCCGTTCCCGTTGCCATTCCCGTTCCCGTTGCCATTCCCGTTCCCGTTGCCATTGCCGTTGCCATTGCCATTGCAGCAGCAGCCATTGCCATTCCCGTTGCCATTCCCATTCCCATTCCCATTGCCGTTGCCGTTGCCGTTGCCATTCCCGTTACCGTTGCCATTGCCATTGCAGCAGCAGCAGCAGCAGCAGCCATTGCCATTCCCGTTGCCATTCCCATTCCCGTTGCTGTTGCCATTCCCGTTGCCATTGCCGTGTCGTAATAGTAAGCACGATGAGGAGCCATAGCTAGGGTTGACCTAGCTAGGCAAGAGAGAATGAAGCAAAGGAGAGGGTTGCACTAGCAACAATGGTGGTACAAATAGCTAACCCTAGAAGGGTTGTACTCGCTATAGAGCACCCCACTGCAGGCTAGAGCATAATATTCTGACACACCCCCATAGCCAAAGTGGGGTGTAATCAGCAGAGCTAGCAAAGCAGTACAAGCTCAGGGTGGATCACGATGTCACCACACATTCTGAGCACAAGTTCAAGAAGGAATAGTTTAAAGTTCACAATTATGAGTAAAGCTAGAGGCAGTCACAGAGGGTAAGTGAGGAGGAGGAGGGCTGGCGAGAGGAGAGTAGATTAGGAGGCGACGACTGAAGCTGCAGACACACGGGCAACAGACGGCTCTGGTGCGACACAGTGGCTACCGGGAATGAGTGCCCCGGAGTACAGGAGTAACAGGCTCCGCGGCTAATACGCGCGACAGGAGCAACGGACCCACAGGCGACGGCGCAACCGGCTCTCTGAGCTACCGGGAATGAGTGCCCCGGAGTACAGGCGCTGCGTACGACACGACGGCAACCTCCGCTCAACCTCCCCCAACAGTCCCACACCCCTCGACACACACCCCCTGCTTCAAACCCTAGCTCCACTCCCACGGTACCCCCCTTAAACCCCAAACCCTAGGCTCCCACACACCACCCCCCTCAGCGGCAGCTGTAGCAGAGGGAGACGAGGGAGGAGGAGGAGCAGGAGGAGTAACTCACAACCGACACCCCCATAGCCGCCACCCCCACACTCCTCACCCCCAAACCCTAAAACGGGCGGAACGGGGGAAGGAGCGCGGGGGACGGCGAGGGGGACGGCGCGCGGCCCCCAGGACGCCACCACGGGGCAGCGAGGGGCCGCGCGCGGCTCCTTAGGGCGCCGCGAAGGGGCAGCGGGGGGTCGCGAGTGACGGGAACGGGGGGGCCGCGAGCGACGGGAACGGGGGGCCGCGGGCGACGGGAACGGGGGGCCGCGGGCGACGGGAACGGGGGGCCGCGGGCGACGGGAAATCGGGGCAGCGGGGGGGTCGCGCGCGGTTCCCCAGGGCAGCGGGACGGGAAATCGGGGGCGCGCGGGGGTCCCCCACGGTAGGAAACCGCCGCGCGTCCGGGGCGCACGGCGGGTAGGAAAACCGCCGCACGCCCCGTGCGCGCGGCGGGATGAAAAATCCGTCGCACGCCACGGGGCGTGCGACACAAACAGTAGTAGGAGCAGCGGAAGACTGAGGTGGTGGGGCCCACCCACAGGATCGACCCAACAGGATCGTCCTGCTCTGATAGCATGTCGTGATAGTAAGCACGATGAGGAGCCATAGCTAGGGTTGACCTAGCTAGGCAAGAGAGAATGAAGCAAAGGAGAGGGTTGCACTAGCAACAATGGTGGTACAAATAGCTAACCCTAGAAGGGTTGTACTCGCTATAGAGCACCCCACTGCAGGCTAGAGCATAATATTCTGACATGCCGTTGCCATTGCCATTGCCATTGCAGCAGCAGCAGCAGCCGTTGCCATTGCCATTCCCGTTGCCATTCCCGTTGCCGTTACCGTTGCCGTTGCCATTGCCATTCCCATTGCCGTTGCCGTTGCCGTTGCCATTGCCATTGCCATTGCCATTGCCATTGCCGTTACAGCAGCAGCAGCAGCAGCAGCAGCAGCCATTGCCGTTGCCATTGCCATTCCCGTTGCCACTCCCATTCCCATTGCCGTTGCCATTTCCGTTGCCGTTGCCATTACCGCAGCAGCAGCAGCAGCCGCAGCCATTGCCGTTGCCGTTCCCATTGCCGTTGCCGTCCCCATTGCCATTGTCGTTGCTATTGCTGTTGATGTTGACTCTGGCAATGGCACTGCCGTTTCCGTTGCCATTGCCATTCCCATTGCCGTTCCCGCAGCAGCAACAGCAGCAGCAGCAGTCGTTGCCATTGCCATTACCGTCCCCACCATCATCGCCATTGCCCCCATCACCGCCTAGAATGTGAAGCCACGAGGCCACCTGTTCCCAGATGCCACCAACACTGCTGCCAGTGCCGCCACCATTGGACCCATCCCCACCATCCCCGCCGTCAGTCCCACCAAAGCTGGTGGCAGTGGGCAGAGAAGCGAGGGGATCAACAGACAAGGGCTGCGGGGGGGTGGAGCTGATCAGGCTGGTGGTGGCAGTCTGAAGAGGCAAGAGAATCAACGGGCAAGGGCACGGGCTGTGGTGGGGTGTTGGAGCTGAGCAGGCTGCGATGCCTGAAAATGAGCGACTGCGTTCCCATAACTTCGCTTGCTGCTTCAGACACTGCGGCTTCACTTGTTGTTGCAGGTGTACCCGCCGGCTTGTCATGAGATGCCACCGCCAGAGATGTGCCTGGTAGAGACGCGGAGGGGGAGAAGAAGTGTTCAGGTGAGTTAGATGCAAGTGAGAAAAGCATATATGCTATGATGACCAGGAAACGGATTAAAAAGGCTAGAAGCACGTGAGATTAAGCGACAGAAGGTAAACGGATTTCGATTTTGACAATACTCCGAGGCGACGCATTTGGTAGGTAAGCTGAACGGAACGAGACTCACCGAAGAGAATAAGCGCGAAGAAGACCGTTGGAAACAGCCAGGCGAGGCGCAGACGCAGGCTGAGCAATGCAGCGGTAGCCATGGCTATGAATCCAAGAGCTCACCCTGGATGATGTTAAAACCCAGGGTCCACACGTTTCAAAGGTAGGAAGGATGGTTGGACTTTGTGACAAAACCAAAGGTAGGAAGGTTGGTTGGACTTTGTAACTCAACCAAAGGTAGGAAGGATGAGGCAACTTCGGGAAACTTGAGACCCCGGTTTTAAGCTCGAATTTCAAGCTTACGCAGGTTGCTCTTTGGCTCGAATGCAAGCTGAGCTGATCTGAACTTGAGAATGACGCATTCGTCTATTTGTAGTACTTGAGAGACGCGCTCCAGATCAGCAGGCTTTCTCGTTCGGAAATCCCCATAGCGCGGCTCCGTGACAGGAGCAGGGGATTCAGAGGACAAGCAGAACGGCACGGCCCGTCACGTCATCCTAAGAAATCTGGTCGTGAGATTACGCTTGATGGGACGCTATGGCGGATATCCAGAGACATCATGGCGTTCCGAAGATCGATCCAAAAAAATTGATATGGATTGATGCGACAAGCTGCGTGCTACTTTCGTCGCTCTCGCTCTACTTGCGAGCAACTGTCCCGTCATCCTGGAATCTGGCTCGAAAACGCCAGGTTGTGCTATCATCGCGAAACCACTGGCGATCGAGAGGCAATCCTTTCTGGCCTCGTAAGCGATACGTACGAAGTCTGTGTCTTGGATATGGCCTGGTTCAGTTTTCAGTCACGTCAATCAGCTTGGTACACCTGATGCTTGTTTGAGCCCCTCCCGGTTGCCTTATGAAGGGGGCGTATAAGCTGTCACGAGCATTTCGCATAAGTTTCGTCAATTCGCAGCTAGCTAAAAAGGATTCGCATGTGCTTATAAACAAGATCTGTAACCTAGTTTGACTTCAGTCTCTTCTGCTTGACTTCGGTCTGTACCTAGTTTGACTTCGGTCTGTTCGTTACTATTGGTTGATAACCACGCGACGCGCTTGTAATGTAGGTGCATAAGGCTGGGGAAACAACCTCGGGTGCAGCGTATCCATCCGGCGCAAGGCAAATTCGCGTGCATGGGGTGAGCATCAGCTGTACCTCCCAGACATGCCTATGAACAATGCAGCAGGCAGGTTAGGAGAATGAGCAGAGGAGTGGGGGAGGGGTCAGGTGAGGATAAGGTGAGGAAGGTGTTGGGTATGGAGGATATCTGAAATATAAATAAGGATTGTAAGGGATTGGGATCAATCAGGAAGGGTTGGAGATTAGACTTTGCAGCAGAATCGATTTGCCGTTGCAGGGATCCAGATCAGGCCTGTCGATTCACGGACATTTGTCCATTTTACCTGAACATTCAGGGTTAGATTAACCTCATCTCAGAGATTTTGAGTGTTTGTGATCCATTGGCCCGGATTCCTGACGGACAGAATTGGTCGAATTTTCCAGACGAGTCGAAACAGTCATTCTGCAACCAGCTGATACGAAATTCATTTGTAAAGTGCAGACTGGGAAAGGGGGGTTTCCCTGACAGGGGCTGAAAAAAAAAGAAGAATTGAAGGTTGTGAAAGACCTTCCGATGTACGACGAACCGTCATTAAATTACCTCGTTAAAGCTTTGTTTTTCACAGTGGAGCCTTCACATAATGGAGTCGTTTACAAGATTACCCGTCACGTACTTGTACCCGTTATATTACACCTCCTTTCAAAATCATAGCCTAACGTCATAGTGGGGTCTGGCTGTGATTCCGCTGCAAGCAGCACCGTGCCTGATCCACGAACCAATTCGTTTGTGAAGTGGTCGTCCATAAATTCGTCACTGAAGTGTGGGCAAACCCCGGCATGTAATTTCAATAGTAGAAACAATTTGAAGGGTGTGGATATTTTTTCAGATGTTCGACAAACATAATCTTTGAAATACCCCGTTATAGCTCAGTTATCGTCAGTAGAACCGTCGTATAACGAAGTCGTTTTGAAGATTACCTTTCACCTACTTCTACCCGCTAAAATACACCTTTTTTAAAAAGCGTAGCCCACCGTGATTATGGGGCATGGCTATGATTTCCGCTGTAAAACCACCGTGCCTGATCCACGAACCTGAAAATCGTTTGTAAAGTGCTCATCCGCAATTTTGCCACTGAAATGTGGGCAATTCCCGGGCGAGGCAGATTTTACTTGTAGAAACATTTTGAAGGGTATGGAAGATTTTTCAGAAGTTCGACAAACACCGTCACTGATATACCCCGTATATCTCAGTTCTCGTCAGCAAAACCTTCGTATACGGAGTCGTTTTGAAAAATACCTGTCACCTACTTCTACCCGTTAAATTACACCTTCTTTTAAAGCGTAACCCACCATGATTATGGACATGGCTATGATTCCGCTGCGAGTACCACCGTGCCCGACCCACGAACCTGAAAATCGTTTGTGAAGTGCTCGTCTACAAATTCGTCACTGAAGTGTGCACAAACCCCGGGAAAGGTAATTTCAATAGTAGAAACAATTTGAAGGACGTAGATATCTTTTCAGTTGTTCGACAAACACGGTCTTTGAAATACCTCGTTATAGCTCAGTTCTCATCAGTAGAACCTTCGTATAACGGAGTCGTTTCGAAGATTACCTGTCACCTACTTCTACCCATTAAAATAAACATTTTTTTAAAACGTAGCCCACCGTGATTATGGGGCATGGGCTATGATTTCCGCTGTGAAACCACCGTGCTCGTCCACAATTATGCCACTGAAGTGTGGACATTCCCGGGCGAGGCAAACTTTAATTGTAGAAACAATTTGAAGGCTATGGAAGATTTTTCAGAAGTTCGACAAACACCGTCATTGATATACCACGTTATAGCTCAATTCTCGCCAGTAGAACCTTCGTATAACGGAGTCGTTTCGAAAATTACTCGTCACCACTTGTACCCGTTAAATTACACCACCTTCTAAAGCATAGCCCACCGTTATTATGGGGCGTTGCTTTTTGAACAAGCGACAGCCCTAAACAAGCGATCAGGATTTTGGAATTGGCGGGAGAAACTCGAGGTTGGAGGGAGAAAACCACAGGCGAATCCCGAGTGTCCAAAGACGTACTGGCGAAGCGATGTGCGGTCAGCTCGGGATACAGTATCTCGCGAAGCACCTCTCGCGAGGACACGAATGTCAAGGACAGGAGCCTGGTCCGATAAGTGACCGGCGTACACCATATTTGAAGGCACTAGAGTTGGACTACACAAAACTTGGATAATTAAATTCGCTGTACTTACATAACCATTCTCCGCATAACCATATGGGCACCTCAATTCGCACAATTACAGCACAGAAGTATGCCAGACTATATAGGCTTCACTAGCCGCTTCCCTCACAACCGCCGTCACACCCATGAGCTCTTTGCTGCTTGTTGCCAGCACCACGGGCACGGAATAGGATTGCAAGCATGAAAACTCAACGAGTTGCAAGGCATGCTCGTTCAATTTCATGAACTTGTCACAACTCAGAAACGCTGCATATGCCGTCACCACACCCCAACCGCCCTTCAATCACGCCTGCACCACCCGTTGCTGGCGGCGCTGAGCGCGGAGGAAGAGAACGGCGAGCAGGAGAGCGAGGAGGGAGGCAATGTAGGCGTTGGTGTCGTCCCTCAGGACCGCCTTCAATGCTCCTGCTGTAGCCGGGCCAATCTCAGGGAGAACATCCAGTGCCTTGGACTGGAGGGAGGGGGGGGGAAGGGTCACATTAGAGGGAAAACACGGAGAGGACAGGGAAGGGAGACAGGGACAGGGAAGCAGACTCAACACAAGAGGGTAGTGCTGACACCACAACCCTTTATTGCACCAGATATATGTGCCTTACTTAGAATTTACAAGATATATGTGCCTTTATGTACCTTTAAATCAGACTCACCACAAGAGGGTAGTGGCCGTACTGCATGCGCAGCCAGAGGCCGAAGAGCGCGATTCTTACTGGTACCACTGCCCGAGGGAAGGCGTCTAGCACCTGCGGATGTGGGCATGGTGGGGGAAAGACATGGGGGGGTGGGAAGAGAGGGTTTTGAGGCGTCTCAAGAAGTGCCCATACTGCATGCGCAGCCAAAGGCCAAAGAGGGCGATTCTTAGGGGTACCACTGCCTGGGGAAAGGCGTCCAACACCTGTGGACGTGGGGAGATGGAAGAAAATATTTAATGATGAATGACGCTCACAGGCACCACTGCACCCTGAAACGAGGAGAGGAAAGGCTTCATGGGAAAGGATCTTTGGGAGAAGTCTGGCCATAGAATGTTCCCAGCATTCCATCACAGTATGTCTCACCCACACCATGTCCCCGTACACACCATGGCTCCATACAAACCTGGTCATAGAAGCGCTTGGCTAGATGCAGGTCTCTGAGCAGCCCCATGCCGTGCTCGTGCATGAAACCCAGGTTGAACATGGCGTGTGCATACATCCGCCACGTCCACCAACAACCCGCCCCACTTGCCACGTCACGCCCCCCCACCACGAGCCACGTCACCCCCCACCCACCTGAAACGTCTCGTGCCTGTCCACACCTTCCCACACCTGCTCACACCTGGTCATAGAATCGTTTGGCTAGATGCAGGTCCCTGGGTAAGCCCATGCCGTGCTCGTGCATGAAGCCCAGGTTGTATGCACTGCCCCTTATGCACCTCATGCTCCCACCCGCAATCACACCTGGTCATAGAATCGTTTCGCCAAATGGAGGTCTCTGGGTAGGCCCATGCCATGCTCGTGCATGAAGCCCAGGTTGAACATGGCGTGTGCACTGCCGCTTATGAGAGCCACCATGCTGCAAATCCCACCATGATCACACACACAATCATACCTGGTCATAAAATCGTTTGGCCAGATGAAGGTCTCTAGGCAGCCCCATGCCGTGCTCGTGCATGAATGCGCAGAGCTCCTTTCCTTGCTCCCAGCCACACCATGCACCATGGCACTGCCCCATACCTGGTCATAAAATCGCTTGGCTAGGTGCAGGTCCCTGGGTAGGCCCATGCCGTGCTCGTGCATGAAGCCCAGGTTGAACATGGCGTGTGCACTGCCCTTCTCCCGAGCCCTCCAATACGCCTCCGCCGCTCGCTGCAGGTCCCGTGGTTGGCCCTGAGGGATAGACAAGTGGGTGGGTGGGAGCGGCAGCTCACAATAAGACGCATGACTCATGACAGCGTGTGCGCTGGCCTTCCCCCTTCCCTCTCCCTGCCTCACCCTCTCACGTCACGCACCCTCCAGTACGCGGCCCTGCTCCGCTGCCAGCTGAGGCAGCTCCCGCTATGCTGGAGCTCCAAGTGTCAGCAAGAAAGCATATCAGAAGGAAAAACTCACCCGGTCATAGAAGAAAGCATCTCCCAGCAGCAATGCTGCCTGCACGCTGCCCTGCTCTGCTGCCAGCTCAGTCCCACCTCTCTCTGTACGTGAGCCGCAAGTGTGAGCAAGCAAGCGACCCTCTCCTGTCCATTCATTCGACTCACCCGGCCGTAGAAGAAAGCATCTCCCAGCAGCAATGCTGCCTGCACGCACGCTGCCCTGCGCTGCTGCAAGCTGAGGCAAGGTGTGAGCAACAAGCATGAGGGAGCGAGCAAGCGATCGTTTCACGTCACTGAGCAAACTCACCTGGCCATAGAAGAAGGCGTCCCCCAGCAGCAGCGCTGCCTGCACACTGCCCTGCTCGGCTGCCAGCTGAACAAGCTGCCTCTATTCATGAGCATCTGTGAGCGAGTAAGCAGAGCAGAAGGAGCAACTCACCCGGCCATAGAAGAAAGCATCCCCCAGCAGCAGCGCCGCCTGCACGCTGCCCTGTTGTGTTGCCATATAACAGAGAAGGTGGGGCAGCTGTCAAAGGCAGCAGCAGCAGGGACTCACCCGGCCATAGAAGAAAGCATCCCCCAGCAGCAGTGCCGCCTGCACGCTGCCCTGCTCGGCTGCAAGCTGCCACAGCCGGTGTGACCTCTCATGCCTCTCCGCCTCACTGCACCGCCTCCAACCCCTCCTGCTCGCTCCACTGCCACCAGCGCCGCCAGCACCGCCAGCACCGCCAGCGGCTATATTCTTGCCGCTCTCCTGCTGTTCCTGCTGCTCCTCCCCTCCGCCTCCCTCCCCTCCCACGCCACCACCTTCTGATTCATCCCCTTGAGACACTTCCCCACCTGCAGCAGCTTCCTCTGCACCTCTCGACCCCTCTCCACCACTTGCTGACCCCTCCCCACCCACTGCTTTATTCCCATCGCTTGCAGCCCCATCTGTAGCTTCCGTGTCCTTTTTAGCTTCCTCAGGTGATGCAGATGAAGGGGATGATGATGAAGCGGCAGTGCCGCGAGGAGCAACCACGCACGCATTGTCCAGCACTGAGTCACCCACCACCTGCATGCATTGACCCATGGTGCAAAGAAGGGGAAGAGGGAGAGGAGGTGAATGAGGTGATGTGGCAGCGGAAGTGGCTGACCTGACACTACGAGGAGCAACCACGCACGCATTGTCCAGCACTGAGTCACCCACCACCTGCATGCATTGACCCATGGTGCAAAGAAGGGGAAGAGGGAGAGGAGGTGAATGAGGTGATGTGGCAGCGGAAGTGGCTGACCTGAGACTACGAGGAGCAACCACGCACGCATTGTCCAGCACTGAGTCACCCACCACCTGCATGCATTGACCCATGGTGCAAAGAAGGGGAAGAGGGAGAGGAGGTGAATGAGGTGATGTGGCAGCGGAAGTGGCTGACCTGACACTACGAGGAGCAACCACGCACGCATTGTCCAGCACTGAGTCACCCACCACCTGCATGCATTGACCCATGGTGCAAAGAAGGGGAAGAGGGAGAGGAGGTGAATGAGGTGATGTGGCAGCGGAAGTGGCTGACCTGAGACTACGAGGAGCAACCACGCACGCATTGTCCAGCACTGAGTCACCCACCACCTGCATGCATTGACCCATGGTGCAAAGAAGGGGAAGAGGGAGAGGAGGTGAATGAGGTGATGTGGCAGCGGAAGTGGCTGACCTGACACTACGAGGAGCAACCACGCACGCATTGTCCAGCACTGAGTCACCCACCACCTGCATGCATTGACCCATGATGCAAAGAAGGGGAAGAGGGAGAGGAGGTGAATGAGGTGATGTGGCAGCAGAAGTGGCTGACCTGACACTACGAGGAGCAACCACGCACGCATTGTCCAGCACTGAGTCGCCCACCACCTGCATGCATTGACCCATGGTGCAAAGAAGGGGAAGAGGGAGAGGAGGTGAATGAGGTGATGTGGCAGCGGAAGTGGCTGACCTGACACTACGAGGAGCAACCACGCACGCATTGTCCAGCACTGAGTCACCCACCACCTGCATGCATTGACCCATGGTGCAAAGAAGGGGAAGAGGGAGAGGAGGTGAATGAGGTGATGTGGCAGCGGAAGTGGCTGACCAGACACTACGAGGAGCAACCACGCACGCATTGTCCAGCACTGAGTCACCCACCACCTGCACGCATTCATGGTGGAATAGAATGGGAGAGCAGAAATCGGGATGGTGGTACGGCAAGATGAAGGTCAATGAGGAGATGAACTGATGGTGGGGGTGCTGGTGGTGGTTGCCGCGAGGAGCAACCACGCACACATTGTCCAGCACTGAGTCACCCACCACCTGCATGCATTCATGGTGCAAAGTCGAGGTGAAGGAGGAGCAGAGGAAGCAGAAGAAGGAGAAGCAGAAGATGAAGTGGCAGTGTCGGTGGTGCTGCTGGTGCTACGACGTACACTCACACACGCATTGTCCAGCACAGAGTCTCCCACCCACCACCTGCATGCATTGATGAAGGATGGTTCCGGAGGTACCACAGACATCACATTTTTGAGACGTATCAAAAACTCTCTACTATAATAAAGAATGGTTCCGGAGGCAACACAGGCAACACTTTTGAGGGTAACTTTGAGGCATCTCACTCAACAGTTGATACCTCAGAAGTCCACAACTGTGGTGTCATCCACAACTGTGGTGTCATCCACAACTGTGGTGTCATCCACAACTGTGGTGTCATCCACAACTGTGGTGTCATCCACAACTGTGGTGTCATCCACAACTGTGGTGTCATCCACAACTGTGGTGTCATCCACAACTGTGGTGTCATCCACAACTGTGGTGTCATCCACAACTGTGGTGTCATCCACAACTGTGGTGTCATCCACAACTGTGGTGTCATCCACAACTGTGGTGTCATCCACAACTGTGGTGTCATCCACAACTGTGGTGTCATCCACAACTGTGGTGTCATCCACAACTGTGGTGTCATCCACAACTGTGGTGTCATCCACAACTGTGGTGTCATCCACAACTGTGGTGTCATCCACAACTGTGGTGTCATCCACAACTGTGGTGTCATCCACAACTGTGGTGTCATCCACAACTGTGGTGTCATCCACAACTGTGGTGTCATCCACAACTGTGGTGTCATCCACAACTGTGGTGTCATCCACAACTGTGGTGTCATCCACAACTGTGGTGTCATCCACAACTGTGGTGTCATCCACAACTGTGGTGTCATCCACAACTGTGGTGTCATCCACAACTGTGGTGTCATCCACAACTGTGGTGTCATCCACAACTGTGGTGTCATCCACAACTGTGGTGTCATCCACAACTGTGGTGTCATCCACAACTGTGGTGTCATCCACAACTGTGGTGTCATCCACAACTGTGGTGTCATCCACAACTGTGGTGTCATCCACAACTGTGGTGTCATCCACAACTGTGGTGTCATCCACAACTGTGGTGTCATCCACAACTGTGGTGTCATCCACAACTGTGGTGTCATCCACAACTGTGGTGTCATCCACAACTGTGGTGTCATCCACAACTGTGGTGTCATCCACAACTGTGGTGTCATCCACAACTGTGGTGTCATCCACAACTGTGGTGTCATCCACAACTGTGGTGTCATCCACAACTGTGGTGTCATCCACAACTGTGGTGTCATCCACAACTGTGGTGTCATCCACAACTGTGGTGTCATCCACAACTGTGGTGTCATCCACAACTGTGGTGTCATCCACAACTGTGGTGTCATCCACAACTGTGGTGTCATCCACAACTGTGGTGTCATCCACAACTGTGGTGTCATCCACAACTGTGGTGTCATCCACAACTGTGGTGTCATCCACAACTGTGGTGTCATCCACAACTGTGGTGTCATCCACAACTGTGGTGTCATCCACAACTGTGGTGTCATCCACAACTGTGGTGTCATCCACAACTGTGGTGTCATCCACAACTGTGGTGTCATCCACAACTGTGGTGTCATCCACAACTGTGGTGTCATCCACAACTGTGGTGTCATCCACAACTGTGGTGTCATCCACAACTCAGGGCGGCTGGTTCCTGAGGCATCACAGACATCTCCGCAGCATATTTGAAATTCTCAAAGTGACTCCAATATAACCAACGGTGTACATCCCGTGGTAGGTTTTGGGACGGTGCAAAGGGGAGGCGGAGGAGGGAGAGGGGGGGATCAGGGGGGAGGGAGGGGGTCGCACCTTATCCAGCAGCCATGCCGCGTTCCCCTGTGCCACTTCATACCCCAACTCCGCAGCTCTCGAGTAGAGCATCAGCGACGTTCCCACATCGCACGATGCAGGCCAGGACGACGGGGAGGAGGAGGACGAGGAGGAGGAGCGGAGGGAGGAGGGCGAGAGTGGGGAGGAGAGGGAGAAGGAGAAGGAGAGGGAGAAGGGCGAGGAGGAGGAGGCGGCGGAGCGGGAGAGGGACCAGAGGGAGGGGCCGTGGGTGGATGACATGAAGCATGCGTGCGCCCACCGCAGCATGACCCCCCATGGCCCCCTCTCCGCCACTGCCTTGAGTAGCCGCGCGGCCTGGACGAATGGAGAGGGAGAGGAAGGGAAGAACGGAAGAACAAAACACATTATGAACCGCAGAAACTCGTGACTTTTGAGACGTCTCAAAAGTCGTCGCCTGGACGAATGGAGAGGGAGAGGAAGGGAAAAGAACGGAAGAACACGTTATGCACTGCAGAAACCCGTGCAGAAACTTCCCTTTATAAGTATATCCTGGTGTAAGCATACCAGCGTCCTGTCATCTTACCATGACAACATTTTTGGGTACTCCAGTGCCAGTCAGATGCATCTTGCCCATCTGGTACATGGCGCCCACGTGCTGCCCCTCCACCGACTGTTGCAGGAACTGCAGCGCCTTGCTGGGGTTGCGCCTCACGCCCTGCCCCCTAAGGTGGCTCATTCCCAGGTTGTACAACGCGTCCACATCCCTGGTCTTCCTGGCGGCTGTGAGGAAGTTTTGCACGGCCTGCAGAGAGGGAGGTGATAGGGTGGTGCGGAGAGGAGAGGGGAAGGAGGAGAGGAAGGAAGGGATTGCAGCAGCAGCAGCAGCAGCAGTCACCCCTTCCTGCTGTTTCCCCCTCCACTGCCTGCTGTAGGAACTGCAGCGCCTTGCTGGGGTTGCGCCTCACGCCCTGCCCCCTCAGATGGCTCATTCCCAGATTGTATAGTGCGTCCACGCCCCTGGTCTTTCAGGCGGCTGTGAGGAAGTTTTGGACCGCCTGGGGGCAGGAGGAGAGACGAGAGAGGGGAGAAGGAAGGAAGGAAAACGGGAGGGGCGGTTAGGAGAGGGGTGTGAGAAGAGGAGGAGAGGAGAGGAGAGGAGGAGAGGAGAGGAGAGAGGTGAGGAGTGAGAGGACAAGGATGGGATGGGAGGGAAGAGGGCTGGTCCTTGTTCCCAATGCAAGGGGCGTTATGGCATGCCTGGCATGCCTGGCAGAGTGATTTTTTAGAATTCTCAACAATCACTTGCAAGGGGCGTTATGGCTTTCCTGGCATGCCTGGCATGCCCCACTCACAACACACCCACCTTGTGATCATCCTGCGGCACGCCCAGTCCCTTGGCGTGCAGATACCCCACTCCATTGAGCGCGCTCACGAGCCCATTCCCACCGCATCCCACCGCGTCACACACCCACCTTGTGATAATCCTGAGGCACGCCCAGGCCTTTAGCGTGCAGGTACTCCACTCCGTTCAGTGCGCTCACGAGCCCGCGTGCATAGGCCTTGTTGAACCACCCCATCGCCTCCACTGATTGGCATTTACAAGCCACACACACCCACCTTGTGATAATCCTGAGGCACACCCAGGCCTTTAGCGTGAAGGTACCCCACTCCATTCAGCGCGCTCACAAGACCGTGTGCATACGCCTTGTTAAACCAATGCATTGCCTCTGCTGTGACTGGTACTTGTCAGCAAGACACACTCTTCCCCTCAATACCTTGTGGTAGTCCTGAGGCACGCCCAACCCCTTGGCATGCAGGTACCCCACTCCGTTGAGTGCGCTCACGAGCCCGCGAGCATACGCCTTGTTAAACCACTGCATCGCCTCCACTGGGTTGGCCTTGCAACCCACGCCGTGTGTGAGCATCTCACCCAAAGTCAGCATGGCCTGTTGAGAGTGTGGGGTCACAGTGGGTTGGATCAAGAAAGGGTGGGTGAGAGGTGAGTCAAGGGCCAGAAGTGCGAGGGCCCGCGAGCATACGCCTTGCTGAACCACCCCATTGCCTCCACGGGGTTGGCCTTGCAACCCACGCCGTGTGTGAGCATCTCGCCCAGCGTCAGCATGGCCTGTGAGGGTGAGTGGCAGAGGGTTTGGTAAAGAGAGGGTGAATGAGAGCTCGAATGAAAAGGCGATCAAGGGAGCAGACGTGCATACGCCTTGTTGAACCACTACATCGCCTCCACGGGGTTGGCCTTGCACCCCACTCCGTGCGTGAGCATCTCACCCAGCGTTAGCATGGCCTGTGGTTGGTTTGGGCGAGTGGGTGGGTGAGAGGATTTGATCAAGAGAAACGGTTCATCCCCGGGCCAAAAGAAAGGTAAGACACTAGCAATATCTCTCTCCTGATGCCTCTCGATCCCCGCTCCACCACCCTCCATCTCTCTCCATCTCTCTCTACCGCTCACATGCGGGTCGTCCATCTCAGCTGCTTTCTTCATCAGCCCAAACGCCCTCACGTGGTCCCTCGGCATGCCCCGCGCCCCCCAGTAGTAGAGTGTTCCAAGGGTACGAATGGCCTCCACTGCTCCCCGTGAGGCTTGCAGCTCGATGAACTGCAGAAAGGGTGAGGAGAACACAGAAGACATAGGGGTTGGTGCAGGGGGCAATCACACGGCCTCGAGTCCATGGCATGAATGCCCCGCATCCCCCAGTAGTACAGCATTCCCAGCGTGCGGATAGCTTCCACTGCTCCCCGCAATGCTTGTAACTCGATGAACTGGAGAAAGGGGGAGGGAGGGAAGAGGACGAGAAGGAGGGGAAGCCATCTCTAAACTCTCTATCAGCGACGCGTCTGCCAACCCTAGCACACCCCACCAACCCCCACAGCCCCCACAATCCCCACAACGACTCAAACGTCACTGCCTTCCACTCACCTGAATGGTTTCATCTGCCTCTCCTCTGTGTCCTCTCGTCGCTTCCAAGCTCTCCTCCCCTCCCGCGCTCAGGTGCACCGTCTCTATCAGCGGCGCCTGCCAACCCCCTTAGCACACCCCAGTCTCACAATCACCACCACCTGTATTCCACTCACCTGAATAGTTTCATCTGCCTCCCCTCGATGTCCTCTCGTCGCTTCCAAGCTTTCCTCCCCTCCCGCGCTCAGGTGCACCGTCTCTATCAGCGGCGCCTGCCCGGGCAGGCTGTTGACCGCCATTGACTTGGCTGCCACGTCAGCGTAGAGCACCGCGGCGCGCTCAAACTCCTGCTGGCGGAGGTGCGAGAAGGCGAGGGCCATCTTGGAGTGGATGCTTCCGCCATTCGCGGCAAATGTATGGTGGAGGAATGCTTTGACCTGGAGGGGGGAAGTGGAGAAGGAGGGACGGAGAGGGTTGGGGACGGTTAGGGAGGTGCGAGAAGGCGAGCGCCATCTTGGAGTGGATGCTGCCTCCATTTGCCGCAAATGTATGGTGGAGAAACGCCTTCACCTGGAGGGGGCAGGGGGAGGGAGGAGGCAGGGGGAGGGAGGGGGCAAGGGGTGCGAGAAGGCGAGGGCCATCTTGGAGTGGATGCTGCCGCCATTCGCCGCGAAAGTGTGATGGAGGAAGGCTTTGACCTGGAGGGGTAGGGAGGGGTAGGGAGAGGTAGGGAGGGGTTGGGGACGGGTAAGGAGGTGCTAAGACACCCTATAAGGAACGCTTCGGACCCTCTCCTTCGTGGCATCTCCATCTATCCAAAGCCCAAGCTCAAACTCCTGCTGGCGGAGGTGCGAGAAGGCGAGCGCCATCTTGGAGTGCACGCTGCCTCCGTTGGCAGCGAACGTGTGGTGAAGGAATGCTTTTACCTGGAGGGGTAGGGAGGGGTAGGGGTGGGTAAGGAGGGGTTTGTAAGGGTGAAGCGGTGCTGAGTTGCTTCAGAGAGGACAATTCGGAACTTCTGTTTCATGCCATGCCATCTCGAGCCCAAGCTCAAGCTCTTGCTGGCGGAGGTGCGAGAAGGCGAGCGCCATCTTGGAGTGAATGGTGCCCCCATTCGCAGCAAATGTGTGGTGCAGAAACGACTTCACCTGATTGGCGGAGGGCGAGGGAAGGGTGGGAGGGATGGGGAGGGTTCGGGAGGGATGGGGAGGGATGGGGAAGAACGTGGAGGAATAAGGAGGTGCAGAGATACCCTAGAAGGAACAATTCCAACCCTGCTCCGCCGCCTTTCCCCCTTTTCCCCCTTTCTCCCCCACTCACTCCCCTCACCTTGTTGAGTGGAACGCCGTAACCGCTGGCATGAAGGGACCCCAGTGCGGAGTGCGCGTGGGGGAAGCCCTGATCCTCCTCCCTTCCCCTCCTCCCTTCCCCCACACCCACCCCTCCCCCACACCACCGGTACCTGGTTCAGCGGAACGCCGTATCCGCTCGCGTGGAGGAACCCCAGCGCGGAGTGCGCGTGGGGGAAGCCCTGTTCCGCGGAGCGCTCCAGCAGCAGCAGCGCCTTGGGAATATCCCGCGCCACTCCCCCGCGCCCCCCCGCGCCCACCAGCCGCTTCACCCCCAGCGCCCACAGCGCCTCCGCGTCCCCCTGCTCCGCGCGCCGGCGCACGTCCGCCAATGGCATCTTGACAGCTGTCCGCCACGATCCCGGATCCAACGGCTCCTGTTTGTACTTCTCCACCAGCGGATCGTCCGCCATTGCCGCCAGCGCCGCCGCCGCCGCCGCTTCCGCCGCTGCTGCTGCTGCCTCGGGCGATTTGACGGCTTTAATCGCCTCGCCTCGCTTCGGCTCGTTGCTATCCTTATTTGCCTTTTTAGAACCTGCAGCTGTTCCTGCTCCTGCCGAATCTGCTCCTTCTCCCTTCGGATCATCCTCACCGTCCGTTTCCTCGAGATCATCGTCGTCGTCGTCCCAATCGTCGTCGCCCGTTTTAATCACGTACGTCTTGCCGTTCTTCCTGATGAACGTGATCTTAGCGGAGCGAGCGACGGTCGCGAAGAGCAGGAGGAGCAGGAGAAGAAACAGCGCGAGCGACAAGGACGACGTGCTCCGTCTCGTTCGCGAAACGCTGGTAACCAGACTAGCCATCGCCGACTGTCTCTTTCCTGCAGCGGCGAACCGCGAATTCAGACACTGCGACTTGTCCTCAATCCCTGAATATTAATTCTTACAACGATAGACGCCTCGGAACACTCTCACTCCTGGGAACAACAAATATCGCACCCGCGAGCGCTTCGCTTCAGAACAATCCCTGCTCCCCTGCAGAAAACCACATAGTTTCCAACTAGGATACACAGAAAGCCATGGCACGGAGCAAGGCAGAAGGACAGATTGTGTAGGTTGGTGCTAAATTCGAACTTCAGAACGGTTTCACACGGTACGCTGAGTTTCAGTCAGCTTCTACTCTGTTGCATTGCAGTACGGTACAGTTCGAAATTGAACAGACATGGATCGCAAATTTTTGAGTGAGGCATTGGCTACACTGACCGGGAGGGCGAAGGGGGGAAGGTGAAGAGGTAGTTGCCGTCAAGCAGACGGTCAGCGGTTGGAGGAAGGATGTGGAAGGAGTACAATGATTGGCCTAAAGTTGACGATCACTTCGAGAGTGCGCTCCCGATTGGCTTGATGAGAGAAACAAAAAGCAATCATCCCAAACCTTCGGCATCTGCCGACAAAACAAAATATTTTGTCTGAACCCGGAATCGAACCGGAGACCTCCAGTGTGTGAGACTGGCGTGATAACCGACTACACCATCCAGACGTTTACAATATATTATACGCTATTTTTTGTTTTCGTGCGTCATAAACCCGATCAGTGTGTGCAACAGCTTGTCGCAGCAGTTCGTCGCAGCAATCATGGCTTCCCCCATGCGATCTCTCGCGTCAGCCTTCAGTCGCCGCCTCGTCGGCCCGCAAGCATCAGCCCTTTCGCTTCGAGGAGGCGCGGGAGCGCGTCTCGGCTTCGGACGTCCACCAGCTTCCGAGGCATGTTCTTCCGTTTTTCTACCCTGAAGTTGCCGCGACTTGCGCGCCTGCATTCTGCGTCTCCTCGAATCGGCGTGCTTGACGCCACTTTCTAGTCGTCCGAGAAGTCTCCTCTCTCTCACACCAACAATCGTCGTCACTACTATTACCCAGATCTTGTACTCGCGTTTCGTAACTTTGGTCGTCTGGATCCTCGCGTGTCGCGTGTCGAGATTGGCGTGTCCCGGTGTCGCGTGCAAATTATTTAGCTTTCCCGGCCTTTCGCACGAAAGCCTTTCCTTCGCAGGCCGCCTCATTCACTCTATGCGAGATCATTCTCTCAATCCCGTCGTCCCGCACCTCCCCACATCTTCGTGTTTCGTCGCTCAATACCTCCTTCGCCTCCATCTTCATCTTTCCCGCCCGCCTTCGTTCCCAGTGCGTCATTCCCGCCTTCGTATTCATTCCCGCCCGCCTCTTTCCCGGCGTCGTCGTCTTGCCCACCCGGCGTCTCTCTTTCCTGCCTCGCCCCAATCCTTGCAGCTTCCAGAGAGCGACGAGCTCACGTGGTATGACGGAACACTCAACCCCGAGCCCGCACTGTCCCCTGCGCCTTCTCTCAACAACTGCTCTTCGTCCCTGCCTCCCCATCCCTGCCTCTTCCCCCTCGCTCCATCCAGCTACCAGAGAGCGACGAGCTGACGTGGTACGACGGCACGCCCAACTCCAACCCCGAGCCCTGACGCTCGACCCTTCTCAGCACACTCTCCTCTTTCCCTGTCTGCCCCGTGCTTACCTCCTCCCCCCCACCCTTCCTTGCAGCTACCAGAGAGCGACGAGCGGACATGGTAGACGGCACGCCCAACCCTGAGCCCTCACGGCCCAATGCCTTCTCCCAATGCGCTCTCGCCCTTCCCTTCCTGCCCATTCCCCTCCTTGCCTCCCCCCTTCCCTTCCTTGCAGCTACCAGAGAGCGACGAGCTCACGTGGTATGATGGCACGCCCAACCCTGAGACGGCTACAGACACCATCCTGCCGAACCTGCCGTCTGTGAGTCGCCCCTGCCGTCTGTGAATCGCCCCTGCCGTCTGTGAGTCGCCCCTGCCGTCTGTGAGTCGCCCCTGCCGTCTGTGAGTCGCCCCTGCCGTCTGTGAGTCGCCCCTGCCGTCTGTGAGTCGCCCCTGCCGTCTGTGAGTCGGTCCTGCCGCCTGTTCGTGTTCCCTTCCCCAACTCCATCTTTTGAGCCGTCTTGGAAAACAGCACGCCAAACCCTGAGTCGGCTACAGACACCATCCTGCCGTCCCTGCCGTCTGTGATTAGCCGCTTCCCCAACCCCATCGTCTGTCAATGTTTGCCCGCGTGACGACCTTTTTGAACCATTGCCTTACTCTTCATCCCCCTTCCTCTCCCCTCCCTTCGGCTCTCCCATCCTCTCCCCTCTCCCCTTCTCTGTCCTCATCCCCATCCCAATCCCAATCAGACCACGGCATTGCAGTGGCTAGCAGCGGGCCTGTCAGTGTTCGCTCTGGTGGGTCTCGCTGCAGTGGTCAACGACAAGGCCGCTCGAATCCCCTGGGTACGTGCGCCCCTCTGTGTAACCACATTGCAGTAACAAGATTTGAGACGTTCTATCACTAGCAGCGGGCCTGTCAGTGTTTGCCCTGGTGGGTCTTGCTGCAGTGGTCAACGACAAGGCCTCGCGGATCCCCTGGGTATGTTCGTGCTCCCAAATTTCTCACTCCAAAACTCGTGCCCACATCGTGAACTTTTGCTTCTGAATTCCCTTCTTTTCCTCTTGTTATAATCTTCTGCTCCCTCCTCGTCCTCTTGCACCCACACACCCCACCCACAGGCCCCCCGTGAGTTCCCATACGACGATGGCCTTCCTGAGTGCACCAAAGACAAGCTGCCCGCTTGACTCACAACAGAACACCAACGCCTGCTATACCCTCCCAGCCATGCCTGCCAGTGCCAACCTGCCCACCGCTCCCTTTGGCTAGCCTTGCCCGCCAGCTTGTGAAATTGATGACTGCCGTTACTGGAGCAACTTTTCTCATTCAAATTGTATTGATACACCAGGATGCGTACTGTACTTGATTAGTTCGGCCACTGTAGCTATCCATACCGTATGTGTAGTCGCTTAATTCTCATCATTAGCAAACCTTTCAAACCTGTAAATGGACGTTACCTGCATTGGAAACATGTGCTGTGCTGTGTGCTCCCATCAAAATGCACAAGAATAAATGTGTCTAAACGACACCCTAAATAACACAACTACCAACAATCTTTAAGAGTGCTACCACAAGGCAAAACGGTGTTCGTATGCCATTTATCCCTCAAAAGGAGCAAAAACGACCACTGAGTTGTGACCTCCAAAGCCGAATGAGTTGGAGATGCCTGCAACACAGCAGAAAGAGAAGGGAGGTAGCAAGGGGAGGTAGCAAACAACAGAAAGCAAAGAAGGGAGAGGGAGGAAGTGGAAAGAGACGAAGGGAGTGGAGTTTGAGGTGAGGGGGAAAGGGGTATGGGTATTGCAGATGAATAAAGGAGACAAAACATACACAATAATTCTCGTCACCCTACATGTTGCCACTTGTTCCATCAGTGACACACGGTGGATCAACTAAATAAGCCAAGGTTTACCATGACAGATGTGTAGTGAACTCACCAACGTGCACTTTATGCTCCTTCTTGACATTCGCCACCGTGTCAAAGGTTACCGACTCCTCCGGGTCCTGTTACAAAAAAAATAAGCATAATCATGTGTATGTAAATTCACACATACACGGTAGAACAAAAAGAAACGAAAACAAAAGACAAGTCTTCATGCAGGACAAACTTATAACAATGATCAAGTCCAAGCAACTCACGAATTGGTAAATGGTGGGGTGCAGCAGCCCGTCTCAATGGCCTTGTAATTCTCAGGTCAATTTAAAAAGGGTGCGTGGCATGGTAACTCTCAAACCAGTCATCCGGTCGAAAGCACTGGCAGCACTGAAGCACTCACGAATTGGTTGACGGTAGGGTGCAGCCAGCCCGTGTCAATGGCCTTGTTATCTCTCAAGTCAACTCGAAAGGGTGCACAGTATGGTGAAACTGGCAGCACTCAGCAACTCACGAATTGGTTGATGGTGGGGTGCAGCCAGCCCGTCTCAATCGCCTTGATCACTGCAATCGCCTCCTGGCTCCAGCCCTCCAGCACAGTAATGTGGGTGCATGCATGCATGGTGACTCTCAGAGCAGCACACGCCAGGCAAGCAGCACTGAAGCACTCACGAATTGGTTGATGGTGGGGTGCAGCCATCCCGTCTCGATGGCCTTGATCACCGCAATCGCCTCCAGCCCTCCAGCAGCGCCCAGACAGTGACCAATCATGGACTGCCACGTGTACAGGGAAGATGACGTGGGAAGGACAAAAACAGTCGTTCATAGGTCAGCCTATCGGCCTTCCTTCAATACCTCGAAACAGTGCAAGTGTTTGCACCTAATAGGCTCCACAACGCATACTCGCTCTAGTTCGCTTCACTAACTGTACTCTCATTGACCTTGGTGCAATTGAGTTTGATCTTGCTGGTATCATGGCACACCTGCTTGATCGTATTCAACACCAGCTATGTCAGACTCGTTATGGAGTGCTCCACTAAACACACTCCCACTGACCTTGGTGCCATTGAGGTTGATCTCACTGCTCTCCTTGAACACCTTCTTCATCAGAGGACATGCACCATGTATGTTTATACTCGCTACAAACTGCTCCACCACTAACCTTGGTGCCGTTGAGCTTGATCTCGCTGGTATCCTTGAACACCTTCTTGATCGCGTTCACCTCTGCCACATCACCCACAATGGTGGAGGTAGCATGGCAGTTGATGTAGTTCACCTGGGAAGAAGAGCCGGAGGGGGGGGGGGGGGGGAAGGGGAAAGAAGAACACAAGAGGAGGTAGGAGATGGCCTTTGAACACCGGCTTGATCGCGTTCACCTCTGCAACATCACCTGGGCACAACGGTGGACGTGGCATGGCAGTTGATGTAGTTCACCTGGGTGGGTACAGGGATGAAGGGGAAGAAGAGGCATGGAGGAGATGGGGGAAAGGGGACGGATTCACGCGCATGACTTTTTTGAGACGATTATTGAGTCGATAAAAAAATCGTCTCATCTCAGATGGGGGAAACGGGAAGGGTTCACGCGCATGTTCTTTTGAGACGTCTCAAAAGCTTGCTCGTTGCACGCGAATGATTTGGGGGCCCTTCAATGCAACAAGGCCACAAAGGGGAGGTCAGCACAGCAAGACAGGTGAGGGGGGAGACAGGTCAAAAGGGACCTACCTCCTCTGGTGACACACCGCCGTCAGCAAGAGCGTTGAGAACACAGGTGGACACACCAAGGCCGTAAAGGGGAGATAGGCAGGAGGGGTCATACGACAGAGGGGGGGAGGAAGGGGATGGAGGGAAGCAAATGCCTTACCTCCTCTGGGGAGACCCCTCCGTCAGCCAGAGCGTTGAGAATGCAGGTGGACACGCCAAGGCCGTCCTCACGCGGGTCAGTCATGTGGTGCGCGTCACACGTCACTGCACCTCCAAGGTACTCTGCGTAGATGTGTGCTCCGCGCTTCTGTGCGCTCTCCAGGCTCTCCATCACCTGGTGGGGAGGACCGTGTGAAGGGGAGAAGGGGGAAGGGGGGGAAATGGGGTTGGTGTTGGTGCACACGACATGGGCCACTGCACCTCCCAGGTACTGCGCTTCTGGGCACTCTCTAGGCTCTCCATCACCTAGCAAATGGGAGGAACGGCGGAGTTGGGGGTCGAGGAGGGGAGGAAGACGGGATAAGTGTCACCGTTTTCCTGTGTACATGTGTGGGGCTGACTCACTCCCAGTGCCCTCCCAAGGTTACTTCGCGTGCATGTATGCTCTGTGCCCCTGGGCGCCCTCCAGGCTCCCCATCAGAGAGTCCCACATGCCCCACCACCCCGCCACACTCACAAGCCGCCACAATCCACCATCACACAACACCCACCAGCAGACCACACCAACCACACAGCACCCACCAGCACACCGGACCCCTCGCCCATGACGAAGCCCTCGCGCTGCTTGTCCCACGGCCGCGACGCCAAACCCACCAGAGAGCCCACCAGCATTCCGGAGAGCATACCAGCCCTCCAAACCCACGACCACCACACAGCACCCACCAGCACGCCGGAGCCCTCGCCCATGACGAAGCCCTCGCGCTGCTTGTCCCACGGCCGCGACGCCGTCTGCGGGGAGTCGTTGCGCTGGGAGAGCGCACGGCACGCCACAAAGCCGCCCAGTCCAATGGGAATGATGGCCGCTTCAGTCCCGCCCGCCACGATAATGTCCGCTTCGCCCCTGCGGAGAGAAGGGGGGGAGAAGGGTGGGGGGTAGGAAGGAGGGGGGGCAGAGGCAAAGAAGGGGAGCGAGAGGGGAGGGCGAAAGGAGGGAGGAGAAAAATTCGAAAATCAGCCAGCCAATGCGGATGAAGCCGTCTGCGGGGAGTCGTTGCGCTGGGAGAGGGCGCGGCACGCCACGAAGCGCCCAGCCCGATGGGAATGATGGCCGCTTCAATACCCCCTGCAACAATAATGTCCGCCTCGCCCCTGTCAATATGGAAAGGGGGAGAGGAGTGGCGCAGAGGGGAGAGAAAAAAAAGGCAATATGGTAGCCGTTGTGACAAAGCCAGCCTGACTTGTTGCATTTCAGGCCTAAACCCTGAAACCTTGTGAAATAAACAGGCCTGACTTCTTGCGGGTTACTGCACGCACCTGCGGATGTGATTCGCGGCGGCGTAGAAGCAGTAGTTGGCGGTGGCGCAGGCAGTGGCAATCGAGTAATTCGGCGCCATGGCCATGAGACCCAACTCGATGGCGAGCAGCACGGAGCCCATGTTGGTGATGGCGTAGGGGATGAAGAAGGGCGTGATGCGCTTCCGTCCGCATGCAAACCGCACTGCACCGCTGGTTACCGGCTACTGCACCTACCTACCTGGTTAGCGGTCACGACTCCCACCTGCGGATGTGGTTAGCAGCGGCGTAGAAGCAGTAGTTGGCGGTGGCGCAGGCAGTGGCAATCAAGTAATTCGGCCCCATGAGACACAACTCGATGGCGAGCAGCACGGAGCCCATGTTGGTGATGGCGTAGGCAGTGGAGATAATCCATGATATCGGTTTCCAGTGTAACCGCACTGTACCCCTGGTTACACAGGTTACCAGTTACTGCACGCACCTGCGGATGTGGTTGGCAGCGGCGTAGAAGCAGTAGTTAGCCGTCGCACAGGCGGTAGAAATGGAATAATTCGGCCCCATGAGGCCGAGCTCGATGGCGAGCAGCGCGGAGCCCATGTTGGTGATGGCGTAGGGGATGAAGAAGGGCGTGATGCGCTTGTACCCCTTCTCCAGCAGCGCCTTCACGCCGTCCGAATACACGGTGAGGCCACCCATGCCTGAGCCAATAATCACGCCCACCTTCTGCTTGTCCACCTGCGGGGGAAAGGGGGGGAGAACGCAGAAGACGCACGAATAATTCGTGCAGAGATAGGGATGAAGAGGGGAATAGAGATAAGAGCAGTATAAGAGCAGTTGTTGATTGGTAGAAGCGCAAATCAGGTAGAGTACACCGTCAGCCCTGATAATCACCCCCACCCTGATATTGTCCACTTACAGGTGATTCAGCTAAGGCAACGTGCTCCGTATGGCAAGCTGATGTTAACGTCACAATGAAAGGCAAAATTTGAACAAATACGTTACCAAGCTTCCCCTGCATGGTCGTAACCAGGGACTTCGCAATTTGAGGGTCAAATCTAGTTTCGATCATGTTCCCTTCCAGACTCAATCTCCGTAACGGTCGTCCATAGAATGCCAGCTCATGATGGAACATGACGGAAAATGGCAGCTCACGCAAGAACATGGCCCTCACGAATCAGTCAGCACATCATACAGTACCTTGATCATAGCATACCTTATCCGTATCGAGTGCACATCATTCACTAAATTACGTTCATCTTATCAATAAGAACGTCCACGCCATTCCTTGCTAGCAACGTACCTTGTTCAAGTCGTCCCCTCCGAGGCCGGCGTCGATCAGAGCCTTCTTCCCGCCGACGATGGCGTACCGCAGGCAGTCGTCGAGGCGGCGGTCGTTCTTCCCGTCGATCAGGCCCTCGTTGGAGAAGTTCCGGATTTGCGCGGCGAACTGCGTGGGGAACTTGGTGGCGTCGAAGCGGTCGATATAGTCCACCCCGCTAACGCCGGCAAGAAGCTTATCGTAGTAGGTGTTCACGTCGTTGCCGAAGACCGAGCACAGGCCCATTCCCGTGATCACGACGCGCTTCTTCGGGTCGGTTTCCCGCTTCGGCGCTGTCGCAGCAGCGCGAACGGCGGTGCTGGCTCTTCTTGCTGGAAAGGGGGGAACAGCGGTTGTTAATATGCGTGAAAAGGTTTCTGGCTAAGAAGCAAATCAAGAAAAAAGAAACGCAAGCAGGTTCGAAACCAGTAGACACTGAACGAGGTAAAACGGAATGAACTCTGGCATGGTGGCCACTTTGATTTGGAATACTGAAGTGGAGAGATACGAATATGTAGCAGTACACCCCTGCTACAATCCACTGTTACCTTTCCGGTTACGATCATCACACGCTCCTAGATGCTAACCTAAAGTCGCTAAGCTCCACCGGAACCAAATCTTTCGACGATAACCTACCATGCCTTTTGACGGAGACAACATCCTTCTGACGGAGCGCGCATCCCAAAAGGTCGGATTGCCTCAAGCTGGCTGACGTCTCTGCTGCCAGGGAGCAGCTCTGGACGGAGGTGCTTAACCCTGAACCAAGGCAAGTGGCCATGTCTGCGTGGTATATTTCACAAACTTAGTTGTATTTAGCAGACACCTGACCAGAGGAGAGTGGATCAGGAATCTAGGTAAGGAAGGCTCCTCAATTTGGCAAGAGAGAAGAGGGCATCTGGAAGAGCGGAGGATTCTTGTTTTGCTTGATCAGGAAGAGCAAGTCCCCATGTGTGATGAATCCAACAGTTGGACAATACGGTGAATTTCAGTTAACCCTGAAACATCAAAATTTATATTATTAAAAGGGGGACTTCTACCACTTCAAACTCAAGCCCCAATCGGGAAGGGGTTGTCGAATCTGTTGTTGCGTCGGATTCACGCTTCCGTTTCGCCATCTAGTCCCGCATCCGAATCGAGGTCGTTGTCGTCGAAACTGCCCTGATTCTCAACTCTCACTCCCAGTCGCAACTCCCGGTGCGGAACGACAATCCCAAGAAATGCGAATCGCGGGCAGAGAGTTTCTCCAACTTCTGGTTGACGGACTGCTGTGGTGGTGGGCTATCACTTCGCGAGGGAGGCTGCTGTTGCCCGCGATTGAAGGTGGATGGTTGACGAGGGTGATACATTATCGCAAGACCTGCTGGTTACCGACCTCGACTCTCTCCCAAAGCCTTGGAAGCTCATCCACTTCGTGGGGTAATTGTCGCAAATGCTGATGGAAGCGAAAGGGAGGCCAAACACGTCAGGGGATGTCTGATCGCGGACACGTCAGGATCAGCTCAAGACTTTCCGTTGGGACAGGTGTCAAAAGGGATACACCAGGTGACAGACGGGAGTTGAGATGACAGCCCATCGACGCGAGCAAGGAAATACGGAAATGACCAAATTATTTGGAAGAAATTATATGTGAAACAAAAAGTGTTATTCGTGTATGCCATGAATCCCTTTTTTATATGCAGACACGAGCACCGTTTTAGTGCGGATAACAAGTGTGGAAAGAAGGTTGGATGGAACATGTGCGTGGAAACCAGGATTGTGCACAACCGCAACGGCAAGATGTGTGAGGAACAAAACGGGCAGATTCAAAAAGCGATTATTATGCATCATTGAAGAGCACTCTTTAAGCAAGGTTCCTTATGCATGAAGTGCATGAGGTGAAAACATCGTCAGGGCAGTTGAATATGTTCAGTAGAATACTGACCAGGGGTCACCTGACATGGCGTGCAATCCACGTGCCATAGGGCCCTGCGACTCCGCAAACCCGCAGGTGTATAGATCTCACCTACAGTAATTTGCACATTAACCTGCGGCTTGGAATCTCTGTCCTGTCGAACTAATGTCCCCAGACATGGGAAGGCAGGAGCCGCACCAGACACGACACGAGCCGCGGGTTGCAAACCAAACCGCTACATAACCTCTCCCCTTGGCCCCAAGCAATCATCAGAAGTCAGAAGCAGAGTTCACAGGCTTTTACCATCTTCACCCGTTTCGCAAAGCGTCGTACAGAGATTTTTCGGTTCCTGATTCACTTGATATCACATCGCGTCAGAATGGCTCGAGCTGCGCTTTTCGCGCTGTCCCTCGCGCTGCTTCTCGTGGCGGCGCGCGCAGGCAGCCCCATCACAAGCTCCACTGCGAACGAGAAGCCCGACCCGAGCAGCAAGAAGGACGACGGGCTCATGACGGAACTCCCCCCGGATATCGCGAAGCAGGCGGCATCGGGCAACGCGGCTGGACTCACCTATGTGGACACGTCGCAGGATTCTTTCTTCATGGCGGACGTGAAGAAGGCCGGGTGGAACGCGCAGAAATGCCCGCCGGGTCTGAACAAGGAGCTTTCCGGTGCATGCACTCCCAAGAATTGCTCCAAGGGCGGCATCGCCGCCAAGTGGAAGACGGCGTACCTGCAGAAGAACAAGCTCGGGTACGAGCTGTACGTTCCGGGTAACCCGCTCACGCTGCTCAAGGCGAACCCCGCGTCGTGCTGCAACACGTGCGCCGCGACGCCGGCGTGCACGTACTGGCAGTACATTCCCGATATCACGATCGACGGCAAGAAGGGCAAGGGCGCGTGCTACCTGATCCACGATCAGATCGACTTCACGTGCGGCGAGATGACGGCGCAGTACAACACGGAGACGAAGCCCGTGCCGCTGCAGGTGCGCATCGGCGGCGAGTGCAACCCGAGCGCCAAGATTCTCAACGACCCGCATCTGGTGGGCGCGTACGGCACGCACTTCGACTTCAACGGCCGGCCGGATAAGGCGTTCTGCCTGCTGACGGACCGCGACCTGCACGTGAACATGCTGCTGCGCGGGTACTACTCGGACGACGAGCGCACCGACAACGCGGCGCTCGTCGTGGACGGTAAGGCCGTGCACACGTGGATTAAGGAGCTCGGCATCGTGTGGACCGCCAAGGGCGTCGACCACAAGGTGCGCATCGCGGCGCGCGGCGGCAAGCAGCAGGAGCGCGGCGAGGGGTTCGTGAAGAGCATCGAGATTGACGGCGAGGAAATTCCGCGCATGCAGGTGGGCGACAGCGTGACGAGCGACGGCGGGTTGACAATCCAGTTCCGCGGGCTGGAGAAGGAGGGGCCGTTCGATGTGGATTACTACCTGCTGACGATCGACGGCCTGATTTCGCTCGACCTCCGCCTGCGCGTGGCGCACCCGAAGCTGCAGACGCCGAGCGACGCCGAGGCGCACATCAACGTGGGGATTGTCGAGCTGGAGCACACCGACGCGATTCACGGCGTGCTCGGGCAGACGTACCGCGACGACCACGCGCAGCGCGCCGCGGACTTCCAGAAGCTGATCGCGAGCCTGCACCGTCCGATCTCCGCCGACAGCGCGGAGGGTCAAGGATTCCTGGATGGGACCCCGCGGTCGTACGAGGCGAGCGACGTGCTTGCTGTGGACTGCGCTTACACGGCGTATGCGCGCGCCAGGCAGGTGATGCCTGTGCAGGAGTTCCCGTAAAGCGCTGATTGCAGGTGTATCGTACGGTGGGCTGGATTGCAATTTTCACAACTAATAGCACACCTCTAGGATACCAATTTTGTACCATAAAAGCATTGTTTAATTTATTGAAGCAAATATATTATTTCTCATCTAAACTTGGGCTTTTGCGGCTGCAGAAAAAATGACGGAGCCTGTCGGATTAGTGCTGGTCCTTTCCCTAACGTCAGTAAATACTTTTGGCCATCATGTAAAGAAGTACCGTATCTTTTTTATTTTGGTTCGTACACGTTAGCATCTGGTGTAAGCTCTGCAAGTCCTCTATCGTCTTCGCGATTCCGTACTCTTATCGGGTACTGCGCTTTCTGACACCCGCTGCTGCACTCACCCCGCAGGCGATTCTGCGCTGCGGTCAAGTAAATCCACGTGCTTGCGTCTGTGCCGCTAGTACTCCGGTTCTTTCGGTCCGCTTCAAATATTTCGTACATGTTCTAGGTATTTCGGGATTTCCGGCGCAGGATAACGCTTCGAGACTAGCGCCCATCCAGAATTCGAGCAGTACCGGTAGCTCGGCTTGAGGAGTGGATGAACGAGAGAATCTATAACTGCGTACAGGTTGGTTGACTCAAACAGTGATGAGACTGTTGATTGGTTGACCCACCCTAAAGACTGTTCGACTTCGCGTTGACGTTTTGTCGCACTATGCGACAGCATCCCAGACGATTGCTACCTTCACAGATGCCACGACGACGTTCAGCACGACAAATTCAGCATCAGATGCGCTCCGGTCGCTTCCCTCGCGTTTCCCCGCTCTTTCTCGTCCTCGCTATAGTATTCCTCGCGTCGCCCTTTCCCAACGGTCCGGTGCGCGCCGTTTCAGCGCGCCGGACCTCGTGGGCGAAGAAGTTCCGGCCGGTTCGCGTGCGCTTGCCGCTGCCGAAGCTGATTGGCGGCCTGCGAGACAAGAAGAATCGACTGGCCAAGACGACCCGTCGGTACATCATGTTCTTAAAATCCTCACCTGAACTTGGCTGGTCGTAGTTTGCTTTCCGGACTTCTCAAAAGCAATCCCAACATAGATGAGCTTGGCTGGCGTTGGTTTGTGCTGCCCAGTATCTTAGTTTGTCACAGGTTAGACGAATTATCAAAGATGCGTACCCCTCGATCCCCTCCCGCCTACCTTCCCCCTCCCTTCCCATCTCTCCTTCAAATGACCAGGTACGTGGGTCAGGCCACAGGGCCTGAGAGCTTAGCATGGGACCCCAGTGGGCGCGGGCCGTACGCAAGTGTGAGCGATGGGCGGATTGCATTGCAACGCATACCATCTTTCCCCATCTTGCCGCAACCAGCCCCTCCCTTTCCCATCTCTTTCCCCTCCCAACCCAACCCCCTTCTTTTCTTTCCCTCTCGAGTCGCCAGGTACGTGGGTCAGGCCACAGGGCCTGAGAGCTTAGCATGGGACCCGAGTGGGTGAGGGCCGTACGTGAGTGTGGGCGACGGGCATGTTATAACGCGTGCCACCCCCTGTATCCCTTTCGTACTGCAACAACCTCCACCTTTCCCTCTCCTCCCCCTTTCTCGAGTCACCAGGTACGTGGGTCAGGCCACTGGACCCGAGAGCTTAGCATGGGACCCGAGTGGGCGAGGGCCGTACGCGAGTGTGAGCGACGGGCGCATACTCAGGAGGAAGGCGGACGACAGTGACTGGGAGGAATTCACTTATGCTTCGCCTCACAGGTACTGGGAAGGTTGTTTGGTTCGACATGTTGTAAGTTTTTGTGGGAACTCGCGATTCAAATGGGGAAGGGCCGTACGCTAGTGTGAGCGACGGGCGCATACTCAGGAGGAAGGCGGACGACAGTGACTGGGAGGAATTCACTTATGCTTCGCCTCACAGGTACTGGGAAGGTTGTTTGGTTCGACATGTTGTAAGTTTTTGTGGGAACTCGCGATTCAAATGGGGAAGGGCCGTACGCTAGTGTGAGCGACGGGCGCATACTCAGGAGGAAGGCGGACGACAGTGACTGGGAGGAATTCACTTATGCTTCGCCTCACAGGTACTGGGAAGGTTGTTTGGTTCGACATGTTGTAAGTTTTTGTGGGAACTCGCGATTCAAATGGGGAAGGGCCGTACGCTAGTGTGAGCGACGGGCGCATACTCAGGAGGAAGGCGGACGACAGTGACTGGGAGGAATTCACTTATGCTTCGCCTCACAGGTACTGGGAAGGTTGTTTGGTTCGACATGTTGTAAGTTTTTGTGGGAACTCGCGATTCAAATGGGGAAGGGCCGTACGCTAGTGTGAGCGACGGGCGCATACTCAGGAGGAAGGCGGACGACAGTGACTGGGAGGAATTCACTTATGCTTCGCCTCACAGGTACTGGGAAGGTTGTTTGGTTCGACATGTTGTAAGTTTTTGTGGGAACTCGCGATTCAAATGGGGAAGGGCCGTACGCTAGTGTGAGCGACGGGCGCATACTCAGGAGGAAGGCGGACGACAGTGACTGGGAGGAATTCACTTATGCTTCGCCTCACAGGTACTGGGAAGGTTGTTTGGTTCGACATGTTGTAAGTTTTTGTGGGAACTCGCGATTCAAATGGGGAAGGGCCGTACGCTAGTGTGAGCGACGGGCGCATACTCAGGAGGAAGGCGGACGACAGTGACTGGGAGGAATTCACTTATGCTTCGCCTCACAGGTACTGGGAAGGTTGTTTGGTTCGACATGTTGTAAGTTTTTGTGGGAACTCGCGATTCAAATGGGGAAGGGCCGTACGCTAGTGTGAGCGACGGGCGCATACTCAGGAGGAAGGCGGACGACAGTGACTGGGAGGAATTCACTTATGCTTCGCCTCACAGGTACTGGGAAGGTTGTTTGGTTCGACATGTTGTAAGTTTTTGTGGGAACTCGCGATTCAAATGGGGAAGGGCCGTACGCTAGTGTGAGCGACGGGCGCATACTCAGGAGGAAGGCGGACGACAGTGACTGGGAGGAATTCACTTATGCTTCGCCTCACAGGTACTGGGAAGGTTGTTTGGTTCGACATGTTGTAAGTTTTTGTGGGAACTCGCGATTCAAATGGGGAAGGGCCGTACGCTAGTGTGAGCGACGGGCGCATACTCAGGAGGAAGGCGGACGACAGTGACTGGGAGGAATTCACTTATGCTTCGCCTCACAGGTACTGGGAAGGTTGTTTGGTTCGACATGTTGTAAGTTTTTGTGGGAACTCGCGATTCAAATGGGGAAGGGCCGTACGCTAGTGTGAGCGACGGGCGCATACTCAGGAGGAAGGCGGACGACAGTGACTGGGAGGAATTCACTTATGCTTCGCCTCACAGGTACTGGGAAGGTTGTTTGGTTCGACATGTTGTAAGTTTTTGTGGGAACTCGCGATTCAAATGGGGAAGGGCCGTACGCTAGTGTGAGCGACGGGCGCATACTCAGGAGGAAGGCGGACGACAGTGACTGGGAGGAATTCACTTATGCTTCGCCTCACAGGTACTGGGAAGGTTGTTTGGTTCGACATGTTGTAAGTTTTTGTGGGAACTCGCGATTCAAATGGGGAAGGGCCGTACGCTAGTGTGAGCGACGGGCGCATACTCAGGAGGAAGGCGGACGACAGTGACTGGGAGGAATTCACTTATGCTTCGCCTCACAGGTACTGGGAAGGTTGTTTGGTTCGACATGTTGTAAGTTTTTGTGGGAACTCGCGATTCAAATGGGGAAGGGCCGTACGCTAGTGTGAGCGACGGGCGCATACTCAGGAGGAAGGCGGACGACAGTGACTGGGAGGAATTCACTTATGCTTCGCCTCACAGGTACTGGGAAGGTTGTTTGGTTCGACATGTTGTAAGTTTTTGTGGGAACTCGCGATTCAAATGGGGAAGGGCCGTACGCTAGTGTGAGCGACGGGCGCATACTCAGGAGGAAGGCGGACGACAGTGACTGGGAGGAATTCACTTATGCTTCGCCTCACAGGTACTGGGAAGGTTGTTTGGTTCGACATGTTGTAAGTTTTTGTGGGAACTCGCGATTCAAATGGGGAAGGGCCGTACGCTAGTGTGAGCGACGGGCGCATACTCAGGAGGAAGGCGGACGACAGTGACTGGGAGGAATTCACTTATGCTTCGCCTCACAGGTACTGGGAAGGTTGTTTGGTTCGACATGTTGTAAGTTTTTGTGGGAACTCGCGATTCAAATGGGGAAGGGCCGTACGCTAGTGTGAGCGACGGGCGCATACTCAGGAGGAAGGCGGACGACAGTGACTGGGAGGAATTCACTTATGCTTCGCCTCACAGGTACTGGGAAGGTTGTTTGGTTCGACATGTTGTAAGTTTTTGTGGGAACTCGCGATTCAAATGGGGAAGGGCCGTACGCTAGTGTGAGCGACGGGCGCATACTCAGGAGGAAGGCGGACGACAGTGACTGGGAGGAATTCACTTATGCTTCGCCTCACAGGTACTGGGAAGGTTGTTTGGTTCGACATGTTGTAAGTTTTTGTGGGAACTCGCGATTCAAATGGGGAAGGGCCGTACGCTAGTGTGAGCGACGGGCGCATACTCAGGAGGAAGGCGGACGACAGTGACTGGGAGGAATTCACTTATGCTTCGCCTCACAGGTACTGGGAAGGTTGTTTGGTTCGACATGTTGTAAGTTTTTGTGGGAACTCGCGATTCAAATGGGGAAGGGCCGTACGCTAGTGTGAGCGACGGGCGCATACTCAGGAGGAAGGCGGACGACAGTGACTGGGAGGAATTCACTTATGCTTCGCCTCACAGGTACTGGGAAGGTTGTTTGGTTCGACATGTTGTAAGTTTTTGTGGGAACTCGCGATTCAAATGGGGAAGGGCCGTACGCTAGTGTGAGCGACGGGCGCATACTCAGGAGGAAGGCGGACGACAGTGACTGGGAGGAATTCACTTATGCTTCGCCTCACAGGTACTGGGAAGGTTGTTTGGTTCGACATGTTGTAAGTTTTTGTGGGAACTCGCGATTCAAATGGGGAAGGGCCGTACGCTAGTGTGAGCGACGGGCGCATACTCAGGAGGAAGGCGGACGACAGTGACTGGGAGGAATTCACTTATGCTTCGCCTCACAGGTACTGGGAAGGTTGTTTGGTTCGACATGTTGTAAGTTTTTGTGGGAACTCGCGATTCAAATGGGGAAGGGCCGTACGCTAGTGTGAGCGACGGGCGCATACTCAGGAGAAAGGCGGACGACAGCGACTGGGAGGAATTCACCTATGCCTCGCCGCACAGGTACTGGGAAGGTTGTTTGGTTCGACATGTTGTAAGTTTTTGTGGGAACTCGCGATTCAAATGGGGAAGGGCCGTACGCTAGTGTGAGCGACGGGCGCATACTCAGGAGGAAGGCGGACGACAGTGACTGGGAGGAATTCACTTATGCTTCGCCTCACAGGTACTGGGAAGGTTGTTTGGTTCGACATGTTGTAAGTTTTTGTGGGAACTCGCGATTCAAATGGGGAAGGGCCGTACGCTAGTGTGAGCGACGGGCGCATACTCAGGAGGAAGGCGGACGACAGTGACTGGGAGGAATTCACTTATGCTTCGCCTCACAGGTACTGGGAAGGTTGTTTGGTTCGACATGTTGTAAGTTTTTGTGGGAACTCGCGATTCAAATGGGGAAGGGCCGTACGCTAGTGTGAGCGACGGGCGCATACTCAGGAGGAAGGCGGACGACAGTGACTGGGAGGAATTCACTTATGCTTCGCCTCACAGGTACTGGGAAGGTTGTTTGGTTCGACATGTTGTAAGTTTTTGTGGGAACTCGCGATTCAAATGGGGAAGGGCCGTACGCTAGTGTGAGCGACGGGCGCATACTCAGGAGGAAGGCGGACGACAGTGACTGGGAGGAATTCACTTATGCTTCGCCTCACAGGTACTGGGAAGGTTGTTTGGTTCGACATGTTGTAAGTTTTTGTGGGAACTCGCGATTCAAATGGGGAAGGGCCGTACGCTAGTGTGAGCGACGGGCGCATACTCAGGAGGAAGGCGGACGACAGTGACTGGGAGGAATTCACTTATGCTTCGCCTCACAGGTACTGGGAAGGTTGTTTGGTTCGACATGTTGTAAGTTTTTGTGGGAACTCGCGATTCAAATGGGGAAGGGCCGTACGCTAGTGTGAGCGACGGGCGCATACTCAGGAGAAAGGCGGACGACAGCGACTGGGAGGAATTCACCTATGCCTCGCCGCACAGGTACTGAGAGGCTTTTCTGGTTTGACATAATATGAATTTGTGAGGAATCTCAGGGTACGAGTGGAGAAAGGGGGAGCGGGGAGGGGCGGGGGCCGTACGCTAGTGTGAGCGACGGGCGCATACTCAGGAGGAAGGCGGACGACAGCGACTGGGAGGAATTCACCTATGCCTCGCCGCACAGGTACTGAGAGGCTTTTCTGGTTTGACATAATATGAATTTGTGAGGAATCTCAGGGTGCGGGTGGGGAAAGGGGGCGGAGAGGGGCGAGGGCCGTACGTGAGTAGGAAGGCGGAGTGACGGGCGCATACTTAGAAGGAAGGCGGACGACAGCGACTGGTAAGAGTTCTCCTATGCCTCGCCGCACAGGTACTGGGAAGTATCCGTGGTCTAGTTCTGAGTTCTGACGCGCCTCAGAATTATCCGTGGGACGATCTGGGATGATGTGTTATGGGAGTCTCTGAGGAGCCTCAAGATGCGAGTGGGGGAGAGTGGGGAGCAACTGTGAGTGTGATGTTTGAGTGTGAGTGATGTTTGCTGTGGAAGCAACTGTGTGACTGTGACGTCAGCATAGATCAAGCTCAACGCAACGGCTATGTCCTCCCTGCCTCTCCATTTTTCCCACCCTCGTTACTGTCACACTCTTCTGCAAGAACTTCGGCGTTGTGCAATTCACGCACCGCAAAGCTCGCACTAGAGGACAAATGCGGCCGGCCGGTGGGAATGGCTTTCCACCCTACCACCGGGGACCTCTATTTTGCTGACGCCTACTACGGGCTCTTCAAGGTGAAAAACACTCTGTGCTCGATATAAAAGATTTCATGAGCCTCAGTGGGCCTGCGCATGTCAGTTGGGGGAGGATGAGCTGGTATGTCACTAGGGGTGTAGTGAAGTTATGGCACATAGTGTTGTGCATGCATGCATGCATGTGCGTTGGAGCATGAATTTTTGTCGGTTCCACCTTTCCTAATGCCTGTTGTTCGGTCACCTTTACAACCATGTGTCAGGCTCACTGTTCATGTGCTTGTGATCCCACTGCACTGTTCATGCATGTCAGGTGAGCAGCAGTGGCGGGCCTGCGACAAAGCTGGTGGATGTGGTGGATGGGGCGCGCATGATGATGTGCAATTGTGTGCCCGGCTCACTATTTATGTCTGCCCTGTGTTGTTCACGTGTGTGATCTCGGCAGGTGAGCAGCAGTGGCGGGCAGGCGACGAAGCTGGTGGATGTGGTGGATGGGACGCGCATGATGATGTGCAACGACCTGGATATTGACGCTGACGCTAATGTGGTCTACTTCAGTGACTCCAGCTCCAGATGGGCCCGCAGGTGAGGGGCTCACATGCGGAGGGGTCGCATGATGATGTGCAACGACCTTGATATTGACGCCGACGCCAACGTGGTTTACTTCACCGACTCCAGCTCCAGATGGGCGCGCAGGTATAGTGGGGAACAGATGGGCTTGCAGGTAAGGGGCTCACATGCGGAGGGGCCGCATGATGATGTGTAACGACCTTGACATTGATGCTGACGCTAATGTGGTCTACTTCACTGACTCGAGCTCCAGATGGGCGCGCAGGTGAGGGGGTGACTGGTGGTGAGGGGTAACAGATGGGCTTGCAGGTAAGGGGTTCATACGTGGTGGGGACTCGCACCCAGGGAACGCACATGATGATGTGCAACGACCTGGGTATTGAGGCTGATGCTAATGTGGTTTACTTCACTGACTCGAGCTCGCGATGGGCGCGCAGGTGGATAGAGCATAGCATGGGACTCGAGAAGGGTGTATACGTTCATATGAACACGGTAATTTGCCTCGTGAATCTGGTTCCAGGGACTTCCTCGCTCTGCTACTGCAATGAGGGTGTTTTTGAGACGTCTCAAAAACACCCTCATTTCACGTGTATACGTTCATATGAACACGGTAATTTGCCTTGTGAATCTGGTTCCAGGGACTTCCTCGCTCTGCTACTGCAATGAGGGTGTTTTTGAGACGTCTCAAAAACACCCTCATTTCACGTGTATACGTTCATATGAACACGGTAATTCGCCTTGTGAATCTGGTTTCAGGGACTTCCTCGCTCTGCTACTGCGGTTCATATAAGCGTCTACACAAGGACGGGCGGTTCATGAAGTATGACGTTGGCACGGGCAAGACGAGAGTTTGTGTTGACGCGGTCATCCTGTACACACACATATACATCCACTTATATCCACATCTCGGCCCACAGGGACTTCCTCTCCCTGCTGCTGGAAGGTCGAAAAGATGGGCGCTTCATGAAGTATGACGTTGCCACGGGCACGACGACTGTGCTGGTGGACAAGGGAGTCATACACATACTCATATTTGCACATGTTCTGTACGTCTTGTGAATATGCTCGCAGGGACTTCCTCCCTCTGCTGCTGGAGGGTTGAAAGGACGGGTGGTTCATGAAGTATGACATTGCCACAGACACAACCACTGTGCTGGTGGACAAGAGTCATGATACACGTAGTCATATCATATGTGCGTATGGTGTGTACATCATGTGAATACTGTGCCAGGGACTTCCTCCCTCTGCTGCTGGAGGGTCGAAAGGACGGGCGATTCATGAAGTATGACATCGCCACAGGCACGACCACTGTGCTGGTGGACGAGGTCGTCATGTGTACACACACATACATCCTTTTATATCCACATTTTGAGTCGACTCAAAAGTCACCTCATTTTGAGTCGACTCAAAAGTCACCTCATTTTGAGTCGACTCAAAAGTCACCTCATTTTGAGTCGACTCAAAAGTCACCACGACCACTGTGCTGGTGGACAAGGTCGTCATGTGTACACACACATATACATCCATTTATATCCACATCTCTGCTCCCAGGGACTTCCTCCCTTTGCTACTGGAAGGGCGGAAAGACGGGCGACTCATGAAGTACGACATCGCCACAGGCACGACCACTGTGCTGGTGGACAAGGTCGTCTTGTGTACACACACATACATCCATTTATATCCACATTTTGAGTCGACTCAAAAGTCACCTCATTTTGAGTCGACTCAAAAGTCACCTCATTTTGAGTCGACTCAAAAGTCACCTCATTTTGAGTCGACTCAAAAGTCACCTCATTTTGAGTCGACTCAAAAGTCACCTCATTTTGAGTCGACTCAAAAGTCACCTCATTTTGAGTCGACTCAAAAGTCACCTCATTTTGAGTCGACTCAAAAGTCACCTCATTTTGAGTCGACTCAAAAGTCACCTCATTTTGTGTCGACTCAAAAGTCACCACGACCACTGTGCTGGTGGACAAGGTCGTCATGTGTACACACACATATACATCCATTTATATCCACATCTCTGCTCGCAGGGACTTCCTCCCCCTGCTGCTGGAGGGGCGCAAGGACGGGCGGTTCATGAAGTATGATATCAGCGCGGGCACGACCACTGTGCTGGTGGACAAGGTCGCGTTCGCAAACGGCGTTGCGCTTTCGCAGGACAAGAAGTTTGTCGTCTTCTGTGAAACGACGTACCTCAGGTGAAAAACAACGGCCGTCTTCTTTTATCAGCTCCTGTTTTGAACGAATTCTGCGTTTTGGTCAGATTCTGGTCATATCTGCTCCTGTTTGCAATTGCTCGTTCTCCTTGATTTGCTGGATCCGAGGCCCCAGGACTGGGAAGAAGGAGCTTCTGTCATGTTCATGCCATGCTTCTCTTTCCACCCCCTCCTCCCTCCCTTGCTTCCTCTACTCTCTCTCTCCTCTATGATTAGGTGTCATCGGTACTGGATCCGAGGTCCTAAGGCTGGAAAGAAGGAGCTTTTTGTGAAGCTGCCAGGCTACCCTGACAACCTTAGCCTCAACCCCAGAGGAAGGTTCTGGATCGCACTCAACTCGTGCTTCCTCTACTCTCTCTCTCCTCTATGATCAGGTGTCACCGGTACTGGATCCGAGGCCCCAAGACAGGGAAGAAGGAGCTGTTTGTGAAGCTGCCAGGCTACCCTGACAACCTTAGCCTCAACCCCCGAGGAAGGTTCTGGATCGCACTCAACTCGTGCTTCCTCTACTCTCTCTCTCCTCTATGATCAGGTGTCACCGGTACTGGATCCGAGGCCCCAAGACAGGGAAGAAGGAGCTGTTTGTGAAGCTGCCAGGCTACCCTGACAACCTTAGCCTCAACCCCCGAGGAAGGTTCTGGATCGCACTCAACTCGTGCTTCCTCTACTCTCTCTCTCCTCTATGATCGGGTGTCACCGGTACTGGATCCGAGGCCCCAAGACAGGGAAGAAGGAGCTGTTTGTGAAGCTGCCAGGCTACCCTGACAACCTTAGCCTCAACCCCCGAGGAAGGTTCTGGATCGCACTCAACTCGTGCTTCCTCTACTCTCTCTCTCCTCTATGATCAGGTGTCACCGGTACTGGATCCGAGGCCCCAAGACAGGGAAGAAGGAGCTGTTTGTGAAGCTGCCAGGCTACCCTGACAACCTTAGCCTCAACCCCCGAGGAAGGTTCTGGATCGCACTCAACTCGTGCTTCCTCTACTCTCTCTCTCCTCTATGATCAGGTGTCACCGGTACTGGATCCGAGGCCCCAAGACAGGGAAGAAGGAGCTGTTTGTGAAGCTGCCAGGCTATCCTGACAACCTTAGCCTCAACCCCCGAGGAAGGTTCTGGATCGCACTCAACTCGCGCAACTCGCTTGTAACAGGTGAGTCCTTGGGGCCTAATATTCGAGTCGACTCAAAATCCCCTCAGCCTCAACCCCAGAGGAAGGTTCTGGATCGCACTCAACTCGCGCAACTCGCTTGTAACAGGTGAGTCCTTGGGGCCTAATATTCTAGTCGACTCAAAATCCCCTCAGCCTCAACCCCAGAGGAAGGTTCTGGATCGCACTCAACTCGCGTAACTCGCTTGTAACAGGTGAGTCCTTGGGGCCTAGTATTCTTTCGACTCAAAATCCCCTCAGCTTTAACCCCAGAGGAAGGTTCTGGATCGCACTCAACTCGCGCAACTCGCTTGTAACATGTGAAGCCTCTGCAGAACCCCAACATTCTCGGTCCTTTTTGTGTGGCCATCTGTATTTTTGTGGGTGTCACATGGTTTGCTGGAAGCTGATTGGCTGTTATGGGTGCTTCCGGGTTGGGCTTAGAATTTGCATTGATTCTGCAAGGAGGTGAATTAGATGTTATCACATGCATGCATAGAGGTGGTACATGTTACTACATGTATCTGGCATTGGTAGTCCCTTTATTTCACATCCCTTCATTTCACAAACCTGGATTGTTGGTGGCTACATTCAGCGTATGATCCCTTGATTTTCTTGAAGGTTCGCGTGTCATCGCTCTGCACCGCATTACAACGTACTGGGATGCACAACGCCGTTTATAACCTTACTTAGTTGTGAACTTTGAGATGCCTTCGCTGGATGTGCCATGCCCCTATGTTCATTGTACCCTTGCCACCCAACCCTTGGTCCCTCGCTCCGTTTCTCAACCCCATGTGCTTTGGCTCTGGCAGCATTACTTATGCGGACTCCAATAATTCGAGGTGCAGTGCTGAAACAACAGGCTGGGTACAACTTTGCGGTTGGAACTTCAGAACGCTTAGCAAGTGGAATATTGGTTGAGGTGGATACAAATGGTAAGATAACTGATATTCTAGAGGACAAGAAGGGCAAGAGATTAAAGCAGCTAAGTGAGGTTGTGGAAAGAGAGGGCAAGCTATGGCTAGGATCTGTTGTCAATGACTTTGTTGGAACAGTGAACTATAATGCAAGGTAACTTCCCGACAAGGGCAATAAATGATATTCAACTCCATACTTCGATCTCGTAGCAGGAAAGTTTGTATTCTGGGTAACGACTCACTTTGTGTAGCGGTAAGCTGAAGGGTCTCTCACCGACATCTCTGCCGACCAATTCGTAAATTCGATACGGACCGCTCGCGACTCGATGTCACGGAACACACCAATCAACCCAGCGTCCTCCCAATCCCCCTGCCCAAAAAGTGCGCACCGTTCGAATACCCCATCCTCCCCGCCAAAGTTCACTCGCAGCTTTCCCAAAGCTGAAATTTGATGAATGTCGGAGGTGAGGCGGAACAGACCAGCCTTCACATCACAACCACCATCGGAAACTGGGAACGGAAACTTTGGAGGAAACGTTGGGACCATCAATTTTATGCCAGTATTTCGTCGCTGCCTCTCGTCGGCTCCGTAGACGGAAGCGCACTTAATATTGTCCATTTGCCGCACTGCCAACTGGAGCTGTATGTAGACCGACACTGAAGGCCGGTGTAAATTGCTAGTGAAGCATCGTGACCTGTCCACGAGAGTTGAGACATTGTAAACGACAGAAATAAGGACGTCGCTGCTTTTCACATATCTAGTGATAACGTCACGAACTTATCTGGAGCTTTCAGCCTCCGCTTCGCTTGGTATCCTCAAAGCTAGACATACCCCCTTCCTACGTGACTCTCGATCTTTATACGGCGCCTATAAAACCAAGTAGACGCACCACCTTTCTACTGAATATCTCATGGCGAGCCGTGTTCGCGGGCCGCTGCTTCTAGCATGCCTGATCGCTGCGCTAGTGGCATTAGGCAGTCTTGGGAATGCCGAGGCGGGGCTGACAATGCGGTGGTCTAAGAAGTTCAAGGCCGTGCGAGAGAACCTTCCTCCTGCTAAGCTCTTCCCAAGGACGGACAGGAAGAATCGACTCGCAAAAGCCACCAAGAGGTAAGCGACAGTCAGTCTGTTTCCGTAGATCCAAGACTTAATATCCCTTGTGGAAATGCACAATAAGAACAGGATTGCACGAGCTCCTTAACCTTTGCGCTCCTCTTGTTCTGGCTTGAGGTTATTACGCGGTGAGTTGCCCCTCTGGCTTCTTGTATGGGTTACCCATCATTGCAAGGGTCACAAGAAACTGTATAATACACCTGCATAAGCCCCTGCGTGTCCTTCCCGCCACCACCACCTCCCATCTATTCACCTGACCACCCTTTCCCACCAATCTGATTCTCTCATTCCAGCGCCAAATTTCGAGAACACGTGACAGATTCTGCGGCACTTATAAGCTAGTTTCATTCTCCACCATTTATTCGCCCCGTGTACCCTTTCCCTCACCCTTACGAGGTGGGTGTAAATCTAAGACCTCCATTCACCACCTTTCGCCCCCCGGTCCCCCTCACTCCCCACATAGGAGCCTCGTGCTCGCTGGCCCAGATAGTATAGCGTGGGACCTTTGAGGCGCCTCAGAATCTTTGCCATGTGACAATGCCACGAGGTGATGAAATAAGTGGACTGAGAAACAACTCTTTTCGTCCCGCGCTCTCCCCAGGTACGAGGGTGAGATGACCGGCCCGGAGAGCATTGCGTGGGACCCTAACGGCAAGGGCCCGTACGTGAGCTTCAGCGACGGGCGAATCATGCGACGCACGGACGACGACAGCGCCTGGGAGGAGTTCACGTATGCTTCGCCGCTGCGAACTGACGCGAAATGTAACTCGAGGAAAACCAGACCGGAGCTGGAAACCACCTGCGGGCGGCCGCTCGGCCTGGCATTTCACCCCACTACCGGGGACCTCTATTTCGCGGATGGATATTTCGGCCTGTACAAAGTCAGCGCCGCGGGAGGGCAGGCGACGAAGCTCGTATCCGAAGTCGACGGGAGGAAATTCATGATGACAAATGACCTAGATATTGACGTGGACGCAAATGTCGTGTATTTCACGGACGGCAGCTCCCGCTGGTACCGGCGAGATTTTCTGCCGCTGACGCTGGAAGGCCGGAAGGACGGACGGTTCATGAAGTACGACATCGCGAGCGGCGTGACGACGGTGATTGACGAAAAGGTGGCGTTCGCTAACGGCGTGGCAATTTCGCAGGATAAGACGTTCGTGGTGTACTGCGAAACGACCTACCTCAGGTGCGCTGCTGGCTGGTGATGTGTGTGTGATTCTCGTTTGCTCCTTACAACCGTGCTTGAGTCTTGCAAAATGTAAAGGTCACGTCACGTACACCCTCGTATTTCATTCCCAACTCTCTTTCAGGTGCCACCGTTATTGGATTCGTGGACCAAACACCGGGAAAAAGGAGGTGTTTGTGAATTTGCCCGGGTACCCTGACAACCTCAGTCTCAACCCCAGAGGAAGGTTCTGGATCGCACTCAACTCGAGAAGGTCACCAACAGCAAGTATGTCCTGGATGTTGACCATTGTGGAACCTGAATTCACCCCTCAGCACCCATTAATCGGTCATTAGTCTCATCTCATCCTATTGCTCCTCAATGTCACCAGTGTGGCTCAGTTTGTTCCTGCTCATTTGTGTGTCCCTATGCAAGAAAATTGCATCTAGCTCGTCCCAGTAATGCAATCCGGTTACTCTCACTCCCACCCTTCACCCCGCCACTCCCACAGCTGTTGCATCCCAAACCCCTCTCCTCCGGGAGACATTTGTGGAAAACAAGCTCGGATACAAGATTGTGAAGGCCACACAGGACCAGAGGGCCAGTGGCATTGTGGTGGAGGTAGATGCGGATGGCAAAATCACCAACCTGCTGGAGGACAAGAACTGCAAGGTGGTGAAGGATGTGAGCGAGATCGTGGAGCACGATGGGAAACTGTGGTTGGGCTCAGTTATTGAGGACTACATTGCTACCCTTCCATGGCCGCAGTAGATTATTTGCGAGGAATAACAAACGCTTCATAGTGTTGCACAATCTAGGACTAGTAATAGCATTATTGCAAATACGGTAGGCTTTCGGTACATGGGTTTCATGTTATGGTTTTCTGTCAACCATATACGAAGCAGATGTGAAACGCTTTTGACAATTTAGAGGGCATGCAAATTATGATATCTGTATGGAGTTCAAGATCATAACCGTATTCGCTGCACACACGCTGGTATGATGCTGAGAATATGTCTGCAGCGAAACATGCCGTTGATGCCAAAATTGACCAAAACTCTCGCGCCGCTTCATACTGAACCAGCCAGGCAACGCGCGAAGCATGCTGCCTCGCATTTTGAGAATGCGGTTCGAAACAACTTGTTTAGGGTCAGAAACATTTCGGGGATGAAATTGGACACAGTCGAGTGAGGAAATGACAGACCGCCGTGTTTTCTAGTTTCCAATTCCAATGGGCAGTGGCTTTGACAGCGCATCGCTCCGCGCTCGCGTCCAATACCTTGGGGCATATTTTTTCTCCGTTTCCCCATTTGAGTCCACAAATACATGTTTTTTTATGTTATGGGATATTCGTCGAGTCCGTTAAAAAAAACAAACGCGCAGCTCGGGACAAAAAAAATAAAACCCTCATGGATGGTATGCCACGTAGGGGGCATCAACCCTAAGGGTGTTTAGGGTTGATGCCTTCCAAATGGCTTGTCATCCGAGTGGGTTTTAGTTTTTCCACTGGCCTCATACTGAAACCAGGTAGACTTAGTATTTGCCCTTCTGTTCGTTTGGTCACGAAAAATGGGAAATTGCAATAAAAACTGCCCGCAGGAATTGGGCGCGAGCGCGGTCGGGGTCGCTGTCAAAGCCACTGCCGAAAGGAATCGAAAACGCGCAAACACGGCGGTCCGTCATTTCCTCCAGTCGAGTCTGATTCGCCTCAAGGCCAGGCAAAGGGCTGGTGATGCCGCCGACAAATCGAAACCATCAGTCTCCACCCTGTGACGCGCGTGGCCGTTGGATGAACTACAGGCGCCATCCTTGATCTCACCATCCTTCCTCTCTTGGTTTTGCTGGGCTGGGATGGGACCTGCCACGGAGCATCTCGGCCTCCAGCCTATCTGCGCTTCTGCCTTTTCCAAGTCATGGAAAGCAGCATCAGATCTTTCAACGAGCTGTGAGCAAGGGAACGCTAAGCTTTTTGTCGCCTTATCGAGAGCTTTGCACAAAGAAGATTACGGTTCAAGCAGCTGTACGACTCCGAAACAGAATGTGGCGACGTTCATCTGTTATCGTTATCCTCGCTCTAGGTTTAGTAGTAACTATCCCGCTCATCATTCATGGCGTCGTCGCGACTACAATGGTAGAGCTTCCCACAGTTGACCCTTCGAAATTCAAGCCGGCACCCATCCCGTTAGCCCCGCTAACCCTAAAGTTCGACAGCGAGAATCGTCTAGCTCTTGCGGAACGAAGGTGCGCATGCTTATTATGAAGCAGCTAATTCCAAGAATTTCTATACCAACGTATTTTGCAGCAACGTTCAGCTGTCAAAGGAACAATTCCTGTTTGTTTCTGTACTTGTGCCCAGGACAGACGTTGAAAGAACCGTGCTTTGGGGGGTCTCACAGCCTTGCCGTTGTACCTGAGCTAAAAAATCGTTTATTCGCCGTTACTCAAAGCAAGCTTGCCGGCATGCTTTCGCTGGGATGGGACACAATTACTTTTCTAAATACTTCATGAAACCACCCGTGCATGCTCCTATGCGTTTCTCAGGTACACTGGTCAAGAAACTAGACCCGAGAGTTTGGCATGGGACGGAACAACTGGGTTTTGAGTCACCTCGTAAAGCCAGTTCATCTGGAATCACCTCGTACTTACACCCGAACATAATGGTTATTCCTTTGCGTCTCGCAAGTACATAGGGCAAGCATCAGGACCGGAGAGTCTGGAATGGGACGGAACTGGCTTTTCAGTAACCTCATTTGGATTCGCCTCATTATGTGCCCTGCGTTTGCGTTTCTCAGGTACACAGGGCAAGCATCAGGACCGGAGAGTCTGGAATGGGACGGATCTGGGCGCGGCCCGTACGCGTCAGTGAGCGACGGCCGGGTCGTGAGGCGATCCAAAGACAACATGCGATGGGAGACGTTCGCGTGGGCTTCCCCCAACTGGTGAGCCCAGCAGAGACTCTCAAGGACTTCTGAAGAAAAGAACCCAGCAGGCTTATTGGGAGAATCGCAAAGATACGACAAGTTTGACAGGCTTTTCACATGAAGTGACCATAGCAGAGACTCTGAAGGGCATCCTACAAGCGGTAAGTCGATCTGTTGTGTACGCGTCAGTGAGCGACGGCCGGGTTGTGAGGCGATCCAAAGACAACATGCGATGGGAGACGTTCGCGTGGGCTTCCCCCAACTGGTGAGCCCATCTGCGGTGGTTTCTGAGGCGTCTAAAAGGCACACTCCCCTCACTCACCTCGAACCAACCCCCTTTCCCCCCAGGTCCAAGGAGCGGTGTCAGAGCAACAGCAGCAGCGTGGGGGGCCATCTGCGGGCGTCTAAAAGGCATTCCCCCTCTCTCTCAGAACGCGTCCCTCGCAGGTTCAAAGAGCGGTGCCAGGGCAAGACCACTACCAACAGCAGCATGGAGCCCCTGTGGGAACCCCTTGGTACTGCGCTTCCACCCCACCACAGGCGACCTGTTCCCATCACGCATCCCTCTCATCCCTCTCACCACTCAACTTTCCCACCCCAGGTCCAAGGAGCGATGCCAGGGCAACAACAGTAGCAGCACCACCACCAGCAGCACCAACAGTAGCATGGAGCCCATCTGTGGGCGGCCTTTGGGTCTGCGCCTCCACCCAACCACGGGCGACCTGTTCCCATCACGCATCCCTCTCATCCCTCATAACACGCAACTTCCCCACCCCAGGACCAAGGAGCGATGTCAGACTAACACCACCGGCAGCACCGGCAGCACCAACAGTAGCATGGAGCCCATCTGTGGGCGGCCTTTGGGTCTGCGCTTCCACCCAATCACGGGCGACCTGTATTTCGCTGACGCATACTTCGGGCTGCATATAGTGGGGCCTGGCGGGGGCAAGGCGGAGAAGCTGGTTGATACGGTGGAGGGGAAGCGCATGCTGATGACCAACGACCTCGATATTGACGCGGATGGGAAGAATGGCGTGGTTTATTTCACCGATGGGAGCACCCGGTGGCAAAGAAAGTGAGTTTCGTACCAATGGTTTGGAATGAGATGGAGGGGAAGCGCATGCTGGTGACCAACGGCCTCGATTTTGACGCGGATGGGAAGAATGGCGTGGTCTATTTCACTGACGGGAGCACCCGCTGGCAAAGAAAGTGAGTGCCACTGGTTTGGGATGTGTTTGGATTTGGTGAGAGCAAAGGATGCTGATGACTACCGACCCTGATATTGTCGCGGACTTTTGATTCGACTCAAAAAACGACCTTGATAATGACGCGGATGGGTGCAACGGGGTTGTTTATTTTACTGATGGGGTTGTTTCTGTGTTTCTGTTGCTGCTGCTGCGCACAACTCCCTCTTATAACCCCTCCACCACACTGTACCCCTCTCTTCAATAAACCCCCACCCTGTGCCCTACTCTCTGCAGGGATTTCTTCCTGGCAACGCTGGAAGGGCAGCCGGACGGGCGGTTCATGCAGTACGACATTGCAACGGGCCAGACAAAAGTGCTGGTGAAGGGAGTGGCATTCGCCAATGGCGTTGCTCTCTCCCGCGACCGCACGTTTGTTGTCTTCTGCGAAACCAGCTACATGCGGTGAGCTGATCGACTTTCTTTCTTCTTGTTTGCCATAGTACTGCTACATGCGGTGAGTGGTGCTTTCTTCTCCTCCTGTAATGCTTGCTCCATGGCCTGGCCTGCTCTGCTCAAGGAGGGAAGAATGCTACAAGTTGCATGATCTCCTGCTATGTCACTTCACCTTCCAATGCCCCACTGATCCTCCCTCACTTCACCTTCCAATGCCCCACTGATCCTCCCTCACTTCACCTTCCAATGCCCCACTGATCCTCCCTCACTTCATCTCTACATTGAATTCAAATGCTGTGCCATTCATGGCAGGTGTCATCGGTACTTTATCCGAGGGCCGAAGACGGGCAAGGCGGAACAGTTTGTGAACCTGCCCGGATATCCTGACAACGTGAGCCTCAACCCCAGGGGGAGGTTCTGGATTGCAATCAACTCGAGACGAACTCCCATGTCTGGTACGTACCAGCTAGCCTGCTTGTGGCATGAGCCTGTCCTGTGAGAGGGCTTATGAGGCACCTCAAAAGGCACTCGTGCTGTGAGTCTGTCCTGACAAAGTGAGCCTCAACCCCAGGGGGAGGTTTTGGATTGCAATCAACTCGAGACGAACTCCCATGTCTGGTAAGTACCAGCTAGCCTGCTTGTGGCATGAGCCTGTCCTGTGAGGGGGCTTATGAAACGCCTCAGGCACGTGCTGTGAGTCAATCCTGACAACGTGAGCCTCAGCCCCAGAGGCAGATTTTGGATCACAATCTACACGAAAAGCACTCCAATGTCCGGTACGTAGCAGCCAGCCTTCTTTCGCAATTGAAGTTTTTGAGCCAACTCACAAGTCAACCAACCGATTGCACTCTAGACGCACTCCTGTATTGGGTGCAGTGTGCACTGCAGCAAGCCTCCTTCTGCCATGCACCTGTGCTGCTGGTTTAGGAGTTTAGGGAAGCAGCACTGGTGGGCCTTATGGTGGGTGTTTACCATGAAAATGTGCAGGTAAACAGTCGCAAGACAGCACATGAATGGTGGTCCCAACTCAAGATGCTCTCGGCAGCTGCTCCTTTAAACCTCCTGATGCTCTTTCTTTGTTTAATTATCCTGGCATGTGCCCCCATTGCCAGAACGTGGCAGCAGGCGCCTAGATGTTACCTTGCATACAATCCACTATCAATGACTTTAATTGCCAGTCCTCATCCCATTGCTCCTACACATTTTCTCCCGTTGTATTTCCCTCGGGGGTCCTAGCAAGGAGGCCACATGTGCGGTACAGGCTTCTGAATGGCCCGGCGGGGCTGCAGGCTGTCTACGTGTGGTTCCCTGAATAAAAACATCTTGTTTGCCGTCCGTTTGTTTTTTCCTCCCACAGCGGTCCTAGCAAGGAGCCCCTATGCCCGATCCATGCTTCTCAACGACCCGGTGGGGCTGCAGGCTGCCTATGTGGCCGCAGTGGGGCTGTCGAGCGGGATTACAGTGGAGGTTGATAATAACGGGGTGATCACCGACGTGCTGGAGGATAAGCTGGGGCGGACCGTGGCGGCTGTGAGTGAGGTGGTGGAGAGGAAGGGGAAGCTGTGGATCGGGTCTGTTATGGTCGATGACGTGGCAGTGTTGAAATACTCCCCTCCCAACACTACCGTTTCGAACAAAAGTACCGTAAGAGGAGGTATGTTATGAGTTTAAAGGAGATAGTGGAGGGGAAGGGGAAGCTATGGACAGCAAATCGGGACTTGACTCTAGATTGTTTTAGTCAGTAAAATGCTGACGATAGAGCAGATAGGTCTGATCTGATTGTGAGTTTGTCTTGAACTTGTTAGAGTAACAACGAATTACAGTGTCCACAGTGTACATCTACAATGAAGTCGCAAGATCGATGCCTGCTAGCGAGGATGTTGAGGTGCAACTACCATACAAACCAAGTTCAGGTGGACAAATGTCAACAGCCAAGGGCATTAATGCGTTCCCGAGTCGCAACGGGTTGTTTTTTTGGGTCAGGTGGGGTGGAGTATATTTTATCGAAGAAGTGCAAGCCTGGATGAAGAATAACATATTTGTATAATTAAATTAAACAATGCATTTATGGTACAAAATTGGCAGCCTCAAGTCGTGGTGTGCAAATCCAGCCCACCGTACGATACACCTGCAATCAGCGCTTTACGGGAACTCCTGCACGGGCATCACCTGCCTGGCGCGCGCATAGGCGGTGTAAGCGCAGTCCACAGCGAGCACATCGCTGGCCTCGTACGACCGCGGGGTGCCATCCAGGAACCCTTGCCCCTCCGAGCTGTCGGCGGAGATCGGACGGTGCAGGCTCGCGATCAGCTTCTGGAAATCCGCGGCGCGCTGCGCGTGGTCGTCGCGGTACGTCTGCCCGAGCACGCCGTGAATCGCGTCTGTGTGCTCAAGCTCGGCAATTCCCACGTTGATGTGCGCCTCGGCGTCGCTCGGCGTCTGCAGCTTCGGGTGCGCCACGCGCAGGCGGAGGTCGAGCGAAATCAGGCCGTCGATCGTCAGCAGGTAGTAATCCACATCGAACGGCCCCTCCTTCTCCAGCCCGCGGAACTGGATCGTCAGCCCGCCGTCGCTCGTCACGCTGTCGCCCACCTGCATGCGCGGGATCTCCTCGCCATCAATCTCGATGCTCTTCACGAACCCCTCGCCGCGCTCCTGCTGCTTGCCGCCGCGCGCCGCGATGCGCACCTTGTGGTCGACGCCCTTGGCGGTCCACACGATGCCGAGCTCCTTAATCCACGTGTGCACGGCCTTGCCGTCGACGACGAGCGCCGCGTTGTCGGTGCGCTCGTCGTAGTAGCCGCGCAGCAGCATGTTCACGTGCAGGTCGCGGTCCGTCAGCAGGCAGAAGGCCTTGTCGGGGCGGCCGTTGAAGTCGAAGTGCGTGCCGTACGCGCCCACCAGATGCGGGTCGTTGAGAATCTTGGCGCTCGGGTTGCACTCGCCGCCGATGCGCACCTGCAGCGGCACGGGCTTCGTCTCCGTGTTGTACTGCGCGGTCATCTCGCCGCACGTGAAGTCGATCTGATCGTGGATCAGGTAGCACGCGCCCTTGCCCTTCTTGCCGTCGATCGTGATATCGGGAATGTACTGCCAGTACGTGCACGCCGGCGTCGCGGCGCACGTGTTGCAGCACGACGCGGGGTTCGCCTTGAGCAGCGTGAGCGGGTTACCCGGCACGTACAGCTCGTACCCGAGCTTGTTCTTCTGCAGGTACGCCGTCTTCCACTTGGCGGCGATGCCGCCCTTGGAGCAATTCTTAGGAGTGCAAGCACCGGAAAGCTCCTTGTTCAAACCTGGCGGGCATTTCTGCGCGTTCCACCCGGCCTTCTTCACATCAGCCATGAAGAAAGAATCCTGCGACGTGTCCACGTAGGTCAGTCCAGCCGCGTTGCCCGACGCCGCCTGCTTCGCGATGTCCGGGGGGAGTTCCGTCATGAGCCCGTCGTCCTTCTTGCTGCTCGGGTCGGGCTTCTCGTTCGCCGTCGAGCTTGTGATGGGGCTGCCTGCGCGCGCCGCCACGAGCAGCAGCGCGAGGGAGAGCGCGAAAATCGCAGCTCGAGCCATTCTCACGGCCGTGAAAGTCGAATTGAATCGGGGAACGAGACTATCTATATAATGATGTGTGAAATGGGTAAATGATTTGGAGATTCTGAGGGTGTAAATACTCAAATCTGTGTCCTATGCTGCTGCGTTGCTGAGTTGATGGTAAGCTTGGATGGGCCGACTTTTTATGTGCAGGACGGATTGGTTCGAGTTGGTGCGTCTCCTCCAAATCGTCCTTATTGCTGCGCTGCGCGCCTTCCCAAACCTTGCTGCTGTAGCGAAATGGTTCGACATTGCAAAAATCACGAAGCGCAGGGTAAATTCGGAATGCATCAGACATCTGGCAATACCTGCGAGTCCGTTGAATGGAGACGCAGATACTTTATGTGGCACGTGGATTCCACCAGCTAATAACTGTATCAGGTAACCATGTTCTGATTGCTTGTGTGGGGCTGAAGTTTTTCATCTTCAACAGCCCCAATGCGTCAGTTGCTGGTGATTCGTCCCCGCCCCCCTTGCCTACCCAATACGAAAATCATTTGGCTTCCTACTAACTCCCCAAATCGAGTACCTAGATACACGACTAAGCACACTAACCCACATTTTTTTGTGGACTGCCCAGAATTCGACATATCTGAATAGCCCTTGTCTGGAGAGTTGGTTCTATCGACGGTACAGTTGCACGATGCAATACCTGGCCTGGACATGGGTTGTCCACCAGTCAAACCTTCACTTGTTCCTCGCTAAAAAGAATGTGTAATGTTTTGATGGCAGTGGTTCATGGTGAGATTTATTAGAACTTCTCGATATTTATTCGAACTTCTCGATATCTAACCATGCATACTTTTCTAGTTTTACCTTTGTATTAAATTCAGAACAGTATGTTCAGTATAATGCAGAGCTAGACCTACCCACATGCTTTGTTGAACAGTGCCAGCAGCGGTACTATAAAATTGACCCTGTACTTCTTTGTACAGTTATGCTGCTCTACACAAAACAATACATGAAATCAATGCACCTTTTAAAATCCACAACTCTCTCTACACCAACCATCATCAACCCAGTCTAAGCCGGCGGCATGGCCCCATAACTGAACACCCCACTGCGATCAAACCCGCTAGAATCAAACGACGCATCCATCATTCCCTCCTCATACCCCTCTCCACCCCTCTGACCTCCATCTCCTCCTCCCTCACCTAATCTCTCTCCCATTTTAAATTCTTGACCAGGAGGAGCAGCAACACCGCTGCCACCACCAATTCCACCCGCATTTCCACCAGCCACACCTGTTACAGTAACACCTCCTCCAGTTGAGCCCCCCCCAGCAGCTGCCGATGCCCCTCGAAAGGCAGCAACTGGTGCAGGTTTCATCTGCATGCCTACATCGTGACTCACAACATAAGCTCCGCCAGTGCTCCTAGGATCATTTTGACCCGTTGGAGCATAGGCACCATCATGCTCTGTATCCCTCACACCCCGAATATCCCCTCCAGTAGCTTCTGCAGCACCTGCTGCTGCTCCTGCTACCCCTGCTGCCCCTGCAGCTCGGCCCTTGTATGCAAGGGGTCCCGGTGTTCTTCTCGAGGACGGATGAGGGAGTGGCGCATCAGAAGGAACGAAGGGTTGCGGTTGAAAGTGGTTGGGAGGGGTAGGAGGTTCTGGAGTGTGAGTGGGGCCACCAGCATCAGCACGGGAGGGAGAGGCGAAATCAATCGCTGCAGCCAATGCTGCACCTGCCGCACCTCCCACTGCCAAACCTGCTACTCCCGAGCCTGCCGCCGCCGAACCTGCCCCACCTTCTACCCCACCCTCGACCACCTGCTTCCCAGCTCCAGCAAACCGCGTCAGCCCCGCCCCACCCGGACCAGCTCCGGAGCCTGACGGCGCGGTACGGAAGTCCGCCGAGCCGTGAGATGGAGGTCCGGAGGAAACGAACCGGGAAATCGCCTCAGGCTCGAGAACAGCTTCTAGCTCAGCCACAACTCGGGTCATGGAGGGGCGGGCAGCAGGATTCTGAATGTCAGTGCAGCGGAGAGCGAGGTCAAACACGTGATGCAGCTCGTCTGCAGGGTACAGACCCATGGTGGGATCGACTATGGCTTGTAATCCCCCTCTGTCAAACCTCTCCTTCACCTGGGGGAGGAGACGGGCAGTTTGCAGAAGGGAAAGGGCGGTTCAAGGGTATTTGAAGTGGTTCACTGCGGTTCAGTGCAAGCTCAGTGCAAGAACGGCCTCTAGCTCAGCCACAACACGGGACATGGAGGGGCGGGCAGCGGGATTCTGAATGTCAGTGCATCGGAGAGCGAGGTCAAACACGTGATGCAGCTCGTCTGCAGGGTACAGACCCATGGTGGGATCGACTATGGCTTGTAATCCCCCTCTGTCAAACCTCTCCTTCACCTGGGGGAGGAGACGGGCAGTTTGCAGAAGGGAAAAGGCGGTTCAAGGGTTATTGAAGTGGTTCACTGCGGTTCAGTGCACGCTCAGTGCGAGAACAGCCTCTAGCTCAGCCACAACTCGGGGCATGGAGGGGCGGGCGGCGGGATTCTGAATGTCAGTGCAGCGGAGGGCGAGGTCAAACACGTGATGCAGCTCGTCTGCAGGGTAAAGGCCCATGGTGGGATCCACGATGGCTGGTAATCCCCCTCTGCCAAACCGATCCTTCACCTGGAGGGGTTCAACCAATGGAGAGAGAGGGGAAGGGGGAAAAGGAGGCTTGAGGGCGTTTGAAGCGGTTGACTGCGGTACAGCACAAGGCGGTGGGGTTCTGAATGTCGGTGCATCGGAGAGCGAGGTCAAACACATGGTGCAGCTCGTCTGCAGGGTAAAGGCCCATGGTGGGATCCACGATGGCCGGCAGGCCCCCTCTGTCAAACCTCTCCTTCACCTGGGTGAGGGAGACGGGCAGTTTGCAGGGGGGAAAAGGCGGTTCAAGGGTATTTGAAGTGGTTCACTGCGGGTACAGGCCCATGGTGGGGTCCACTATGGCTGGCAGGCCTCATTTGTCAAACCTTTCCTTCACCTAGTAAGGGTGGGTGGGGAAGAGCACTTCACAGGTGTTTAAAGCGGTTGACTGCAGTGCAGCTCGTCTGCAGGGTACAGGCCCATGGTGGGATCGACGATGGCTGGCAGGCCTCCTTTGTCAGCGGTTGGCTGGAGGGAGGGAGGGAGGAAGGGAGGAAGAGGTGAATGCGGTGAATCGGTAGGGGCGGTTGACTTTTTGAGGGCCCTTGCCAGTGAGCAGTTCCAGCAGCACGATGCCCAGCGAGTACATGCCATGCGGTGTGATGTGGTGAAGTGCGGTGTGGTGTGGTGTGGTGTGGTGGTGAGGTGTGGTGTGGTGTGGCCTTGTCTCTCACATCAAAGCGGTAGGGGCGGTTGACTTTGTGAGGCCCCTTGCCAGTGAGCAGTTCCAGCAGCACGATGCCCAGACAAACGGATAAATGCCATGTGGTGTGGTGTGGTGGGGTGGGATGTGGCCCAGCTCACATCGAAGCGGTAGGGGCGGTTGACTTTGTGAGGCCCCTTGCCAGTGAGCAGTTCCAGCAGCACAATGCCCAGCAAGTGCACGCCATGTGGTGTGGTGCGGTGTGGTGTGGTGTGGTGTGGTGTCGGAGGTTTGGCCCCTTATCTCCACATAACCGACTCTCCCTGATTCCCCCAACCATCCTTGGTCTCACGTCGAAGCGGTAGGGGCGGTTGACTTTGTGTGGCCCCTTGCCGGTGAGCAGTTCCAGCAGCACAATGCCGAGCGAGTACACGTCGATGCGTGGTGATGTGGTGAAGTGTGGTGTGGTGTGGTGTGGTGTGGTGTGGTGTGGTGTGGCCTTGGCTTACATCAAATCGGTAGGGGCGGTTGACTTTGTGTGGGCCCTTGCCGGTGAGCAGTTCCAGCAGCACAATGCCCAGCGAGTACACGTCGATGCGCTTGGAGGAGTGCCCCGTGCGCAGATAGTCCGGGTCACAGTAGCCCTGGTAAAAGGGAGAGAGGGGGTGGGAGTATGAGCAGCGGGGTACAGAGTCTGAGGTTGCCCCGCACACTGGCAACACGCCAATGCGCTTGGAGGAGTGCCCCGTGCGCAGATAGTCCGGGTCGCAGTAGCCCTGGGGGAGTGTTGGGGGGGGTGGTGTGGGGGAAGGGGGAAGGAGAGTATGAGTGGTGGGAGTATGGGCAGCGGGGTACAGAGTCAGAGGTTGCCCCGCACACTGGTGACACGTCGATGAGAGTATGGGAGAATACCCAGCGAGGTTGGGAGTATGGGATAACTGATAGCTTCCGCAGCTCCTCATGCCGGTCGATCATGATGTTGCTGGGCTTCACGTCCCAGTGGATGGGCGGTGGAGGAAAGGTGGGGGAAAGGTGGGGGAAAGGTGGGACAAAGGTAGGGGAAAGCTAAAGGAAGAGGTGGGAGCTACCTAGGGAAGGAAAGAGCACTCACAGCAGTGCCTTGAATCGTAACCGATAGCTTCCTTAATTCTTCCGGAGTCATGGGCTTGGTGGTGCCGAAGTCAGCAATCTTGGCCACCACATGGCGGTCGATCATGATGTTGCTGGGCTTCAAAGGGGCGGAGAAGGATGTCGCTACACAAGAATCGAGCACTCACAGCGGTGCCTTGGATGGTAACCGATAGTTTCCGCAATTCCTCCAGGATCATGGGCTTGGACGGAGGGTGGGGCAAGGAGGGGGGCATGTAGGGGAAAGCTAAAGGAAGAGGTGAGAAGCACCCAGGGAAGGAAAGAGCACTCACAGCGGTGCCTTGGATGGTGACTGATAGTTTCCTTAATTCCTCCGGAGTCATGGGCTTGGTGGTGCCAAAGTCAGCTATCTTGGCCACCACGTGGCGGTCGATCATGATGTTGCTGGGCTTCACATCCCGATGGATGAACGGCACGTTGATCTCCTCGTGCAGATAAGCCAGGCCTCTCGCCGTCCCTGCTGCTATGAGGAGGCGCTCTGTCCAGTTCAGAGGAGGGCGGCTGTGGCCTGAGGCGTTGGGAGAGGGGGCGAAGGGGGGGCAGAGCAGAGGGGATGAAGGGGGAGAAATGGGGTAAGGGGGAGGGGACGGAGTGGGGGATACAGGGTCCGGCAAGCCACCGCCACCACGTGGCGGTCGATCAAGATGTTGCTGGGCTTCACGTTCCGATGGATGAACGGCACGTATATCTCCTCGAGCAGATAAGCCAGGCCTCGCGCCGTGCCCTGCTGCTATGAGCAGGCGTTCCGTCCAATTGAGAGGAGGGCGGCTGTGGCCTGAAGAGAATGGGGAGAGGGAAGAGGGTGGTATGATAGGCATGTTGATCTCCTCGTGAAAATAGGCCAAGCCACGTGCCATACCCGCTGCTATCAGTTCAGTTCAGTTCAGTTCTCTCCATCCAGTTCAGAGGGGGGCGGCTGTGGCCTGTGGGTTGGGGGAAAGGAAAATGATGGATGGGAGAGGGTTGCGGAGAGGGAGCAGGGCAATTAGTGAGCATGGAGGGAGAGGGAAAGGGCCCACATTCTCTGCCATATGAGCAAAACCAGCACCCAGTACCCTGAAGCCGTACTCACGTTCTCTCCCGGCATTACCCCACCAGAAACACACACATCTGCCTAGCACCCAGCAGGTAGCCATGTCATACTCACGTTCTCTCCAGGTCGGGTTGAGGTTTTGAGATAGATTCCCTCCCGCCACATACTCATAAACCAACAGCTGCTCGCCTCCCTCCCGGCAGTACCCCACCAGCCGCACCAAATTCTTATGGCTGACCCGCGACAGCAGCTCAATCTCCTTTTGAGTCGGCTCAACACGCATCTACTCAGCACACATAGCACCCACCAGACACCTGAAACTCACCTGCACGACGGGAACCAAAGTCTTACGAACACCCTGAAGCCACACTCACGTTCTCTCCAGGTGGGGTTGAGGTTCTGAGATAAGTTCCCTCCCGCCACATACTCATACACCAGCAGCTGCTCGCCTCCCTCCCTGCAGTACCCCACCAGCCGCACCAAATTCTTATGGCTGACCCGAGATAATAACTCAATCTCCTTTCGGAATTTCCCCGCGTCCTGCTTCCTGTCCGCCTTGGCTCGTTTCACCGCTACCACGTCCCCCGAGGGTAATTTCGCCTTGTACACCATTCCGTAGGTACCCTGCCCGAGATGGTTGCCCGAGGAGAAAGTATTTGTGGCGTCTACGAGGACGTTCAGGGGAAAGCTGACCACCTTTTGGATGTCAAACGTCCCCGTGCCTCCGCCCGAACCTGGATCGTCAGGCTCGGGCCGAACCTGCTGTGGCAGCTGCTGGTCTGACTTTGCACGCACCACCTCCTCCTGCTGCTGCTGCTGCCTCTGCTGCTCCTCCTTTTTCAGCCGCCGCAGCTGCTGTCGTCTATCCTCCTCCTCCTCCTCTTCCTCCTCTTCCCCCCTCCTCTCGTCTTCTTCCCCCACCCCATCCCCCTCCCCAACCTCTCCACTCCCCACCCTCCCCCTCTCGCTCTTCTTCTACCCGCCTCGCTAGTTGACGCTGCCTCCTTCCCCTTCCCCTTCCCCTTCCCCCCGTTTTCTCCGCCCCCTCCCCCGCCCCCTCCGCTTTCCCCCTGCGCCCTCTGGCCCATCTCCTCCTCCGGAGCCACAGAGGAGGTCACAGCAGCACCTGAAGAGCCTGGGGTGATGGGAATGAAGGATGGGGGAAGGCAGGAAGGGCGGGAGGGGATTGAGGATGGTAAAGGGTGGAAGTTCTAGTCTGCGCCCTCAGCACCCTCTGTGCCCTCAGCACCCTCTGCGCCCTCAGCACCCTCTGTGCCCTCAGCGCCGTCTCCTCCTCCGGAGCAGCAGAGGGGATGGGGGACACGCGGAAATGGGCGGGAAGAGGGGAGACGGGGAAGCCAGAGCGGCGGATTATGGGATGGGGGAATGGGGGAGCGAGGATGGGGGAAACGCGGGATGGGGGATGGGGGATGGGGGATGGGGGAATGGGGGGACAGCGTTGTAAATAATGGGAAAAGGGTGGCGGGAAAAAGGCCATGTAAGGGGAACCTGGATTGCAACCTTTTTATTCCCTACGCTCGTCCTCCTTCAGAGGGGGGGAGGAAGGGGAGGAGAACGGGAGGAAAGCGGACATTTACATATTTTCTAGAACCACCGCCGTTGCATTTTCCCAGCACACCTGAAGATTCTCCTGGCCGTCTGGGCGGCAGTCGCTTCCACAGCATGCACGCGACCACTGTAGCACCCATCGATACAAGCACGGACACCACAAGAGCCACCACCAGCGCTACAACCACAACCGTGTCGCTGCTGCTGCTTCCGCTGCTGCTGTTCCCGCTGCTATTTCCGCTACCGCTGCTGCTGCTCCCGCCATTGCTCGAGCTGCTACTGTTCCCGCTGGAGTCAGCAAGCAGCGTTCTACGTGGCCACCGTGGTGAGCTTGTAACGGGGACGGCGGGCAAGCCGCGGCCACACGCTTCCGCCGACGGCGCTTGCGCGCAGGAGCGGGCGGCGGAGCTGGCCACTATAACGGCGACGAGGACCACGTTGATGGATACTAAGAAGAGCGCGGGTAGAGGGCGCGTCCGCATGCATAAAGCGCGGCTCCAGGACATAATTATGGCGGGAACACGTGCAGAAAGCTGACACTTTTGAGAACTCTCACAAGTGACTCCAACACGTGCAGAAAGCTGACACGCTGAATGTAGTTGTGCCTCCTGAGACCTTATAGCAGGTAATACCTCCTTTAAGAGCTAAGAATTTCGTTAGTCTCAATTGTCTTAGCATTCCTCAAATGCCGACATCCTGAAACAACCTGTATTCATACGAGGTGTTGCAGCTTGCACCATTTTTAAATGTCTATGGCACTTATCAAATGTCGACGCACTAAAAGTATCTGTACTCGCTAAAAAGTGTTGCACCTAACACTTGGCTGGTGCCTTGCGAAAGTGAGAATCCTGACCGCATTGCCGGTTCGTCGATTACGATGCGGGACTCTGGCGTCGCGATGCTTCTGTCGCTTTTGATACACCCAACCCAACAGGTGAATCAAGGGGTCCTATGTTACAGCGAGCCGCAGATAAATACAAGGCCGATATAGAAGCTAGGAGACGCGAATTACGATAAATGTCTGACACGAACTAAGGACTGATAGCATGAATAAATAGAATCTTATGATGCACTTCTCTCTGGTAGAATCTTTGGAAGCACTTCTTTCTGGTAGTAATCACCAGTTCTCAAGTTTACAATCCCTACTGAACCTGTCCATCTATAGAACGTACCGCCCTAGATCGCAAACCGCCGTAAAAGGCCACACACAACCGAAATAAGGGGCTCGCACGCCAGAAGCCAGCAGCGACGTCGTGGAGCAGCAGGTTTGCCGCGCTTTCCACCGAGCTTCCATTTTGAGCGGCGAAATCTTTTCGGGGTTGCTTGCCTGCCCTGCCAGTGACTGACAAAACCTTGGGAACGTCACGGTGCAGCCCGAGATTTTGCCTGCGCCAGACTCTTCAAACTTTCAATGTTGCTTGATGTTCTGCCCGCCCACGTGGTTGCGGCAGTGTAGCCCACTTTCAGGAGTCGTCGTTTACTGTGCAGCCTGAATTTTTCAAAGTAACGTTCGAAAATGCCCCACTCACACCAACACCTCCACCACACCACAATCTCCCGTAAGGTGCATTGGCCTGGGAAAGCTTAAAGCCCGAGTCCCAAATTGCGGGCCGCGCGGGTCAAGCTTTTAAAACTTGACGAACTAGTGTTTTCAAGGTTTGAAGAAAAGCGTGCCTGCAATTTGGGACTTTTGGGAACTGAACCAACCCCCAGGGCGAAATACGAGGGCGGGCTGGGTTTGGCGAAAAAAACGAAAAAAGCGAAATCGGAATCTTTCGCCAAAACCCTCACCACAAAAACCCCCTCGCGTCAACCTTTTAAAACTTGTGCAATTTGGGCTGCCGGCTTTAACCTGTAGTTGATTCTACATGCTCTGAAGTTTGCCAGTTCATCAAATATAGACACAAGAGGCTCTCACATTTGGTTGTGCAAACATCAGTGGTCTAAATGCCTCTACCACGCTTCTTGCTCCTCCACATGCGCAGGTAAAGGCATCACTGGCAAGGAAGCTCGCCTTCTATGCGGCAGAGACCTGCTTTTACCCGACAACCCAAACATCGGAGCCTCATCCTCCTCCTCACCCTCCTCTTCCACATTAAATAGCCCTCCCACTCCCACTCTCATGCTCCCACTCATCCCCTCACTTACACGGCCTGAATTCGCAGCGCCTCTATCATTCAATCCTGCACCACACTCCTTGTTCCGGGTCACGGCTACGTATTTCTTGTCTGGCTCGGCGGCGAGGGGACCAATGCTAGAGGGCTGGTTCGGAACCGGTACCGGGGCTTTCCGTCTTGCAGAAACGGCAGACGGTGACTTCAGCAGGCGCGGCGACGGGGAAACGCGGGTCGCTGCGGCAACGGAGTTAGACGACTGGGAGCGCGACAGCTTACGAGCCGATGGCTGTGGTTGCCAGGAAGGGGATGTACCGGCGAGTGATGGAGCCGGGGGTTTCAGAGATGATTGGGAACGGGAAAGGGAAGAGGAGAGGGAACATTGTGAAGAGGACATGATCGCGGCGAGAAACGGGGAGGGCTGCAATGGTGGAGGCGAAACATCTTCTCCCACACACGAATCTTCAGATGGGGTCATCAAGCCATCGTGTGTGAATTTTTGGAAGATCCCAGCGCCAGCTGCAGAGTGAGTGGAAGGCGACTCAAGGGACATTCTAACAGCCTTGCTTGAGACTGCTGAGCCGGTCTCATAACTAGAGCTCTTGCCCAACGCCCTCTTGGGGTCACGGCTGCTTGCCGCACCGCCATGGTCTGCAAGCATGGTGGTGACAGGTGATTCTTTCATGCTCAAGCTCTTGTGGGAGCCGAAGCTAAGTGCCCGCGTGTGGGCTGATAACGGCCGCGTGTGGGCAGCTGAAGGGTCTGATACAGCTGATGGGCTCATGTGGACTGCTGCTGCTGAACCAGAGTTTTGAGACGTCTCAAAACTAGTCACTGCCCGCGTGTGAGCTGATAATGGCCGCGTGTGAGCTGTTGATGGGGCTGATAGAGCCGATGGGCTCATATGGACTGCTGCTGCTGAACTAGTCACCGTGCCGGCAGCAGCGGGAGCAGCAGTGGCAGCAGCACTAGCATCATCAGCAGCAGGGACATCAGATGCGGTTGCAGCATCACTATCACCAGCAACAGCAGCTGCAGCATCGGTGATCAAATCTAAGGTATCGCGGCGGGAGGTGTGGGAAATAGAAAGCCCCATAGAGAAACACCGAACCATTCCCGTCTCCCTCCTTTGCTGCTGCTGCTGCTGCACCTGCGGCTGCTCTTCACTCTCCACCTGCAGCATTGCCTGAACACCCTCAACCTGTGCATGCTCCCGAGCATTCCTTCCCTCCTCCCCCCACAGCACGCCTTCCTTCACCCCCTCGCCACCCCCCTGACTGCCGTCCACCCGAGAAGGTGACAGGTGGGCAGGGGGAGTGAGGCTTGGGAATTGCAGGGCAGACTTGGTTGCTGCTCTAGGAGAAGCAGGAGCGGATGCAGAGCCAACAGAAGGAGACGCTTTCCTCTCAACAGGATTGGAAAGCGCCTTGTGTTCCTGGTTCTGCCAGCTCCCCCCGTCATCCCTCTCCGTACCTGAGTGCCTCTCAGCTGGCCCTTGCCCAACGCAGGTAGCACCTTCCCCAGATGCATCCGCACGGAGATTGTGTGGCAGGGAAGACCTGGAGGAATGAGGCACATCTGCTGCTGCTGCTGCTGCTGCTGCTCCTGCTGCTCCCGCCCCTGCTCTTCCTGCTCCTAGTCCTGTTCCTGCTCCTGAATCTGCTACTCCTACCCCTGCTGCTGCGCCTGCCGCTGCGGTGGTAATCCACGCACCGCCCTCTTTTGGCACGGTGGCTGTGAGCCGTGGATCACCAAGGAAATCAAACAGATCCGGAGGCTCTTGCAATGTCTGCGCCTCCAGGGGCAACTGAGAAGCCGGAATATCCTGCGGTTTTTGTGGCCCTCCGTCCACCCGTGCTGCTGCTGTAATCTCTTCAACTCGAGAATGCAAATCAGACTCGTCAGAATCGTCCTTTGACCAACTGCCTGTCACACAGTCCTGGCTCCAGCCTCCAAAGCATGCAGCAGCACCCTGTTCCCTGCTCCCTGCACCCTGTTTCCTGTTGCCTTTCACTGCACCCTGCTCTGCCGCTCCCCCATCTTTCGCCCGCGAAGAGAAGCATGATGAGTTCAGCACAAGCCGGAGAATGCCGCCCAGTGGCGACCGAGATCTCCGTGGGCTTGGATCAGCCGGATTTCTTCCAACTTCTGCCACACGCACAGGCAAAGGCAGAAGCTCGTTCAAGTTTCGCGGATCAGATTGTTTCGAGTCTGTCAGCCGCCCACTTTCTGGAACTTCTACCACCCTTCCATCCCCACTCGGCCGGCCACTCACGATTGGTCCCTGTTTCCCCGCTTCTGGCGCCTCATCATTGCTATTCATCCGCCCTCCCGTCCTCGCCACCTCCTTTGCTTCCATGTCGCCTTCGGCATCTTTCAGACTGATAAACACTCCACTTTTGCTGTTTTTGTCTTTGTAACGACTGCTGTAACCAGCTCTTCCAGTCCCCTCGTCGCGAAACCCGCTACAGTTCGTAACACTGCTTGTAGAGCTATCGTCGGAACTCCCAGTGGGTGTACTGCTTGTGCCACAAACGGTGGTTCCGCTGCTGTTACTGCGCTTGCCGCCGCTGCTTAAGCTTGTTCTACTATCGAGCCTTCCCAAACTAGACGGAAGCTCCTTCGTGCTTGCCCTCCGCCCTTCATCTACAGTCACATTGATACCCCCGCCAATATCACTCGCTATTTCGCCGCTCCCCCAACCCATGCTCTGATTTTCGCTACATCTGCTCGCTGTTTCTCCTGTCGTATTGTCTCGATCGACCCTTTCTTTACCGCTCCCGTTCCTCTCTTTTTCGCTGCCCGTGTTTCCGCGCAAACGTCTGCTGCCAGTCGCGGAGATAATCCGGTGAAGATCCGTCGCACCAAGCGTCGCAGAGCGCCTGTACGACTTCGCACGCGACGACCGAACGTCGTCCCGCGCGGAGACCAAGGGACCCGAGCGATCGGAATCGTAGGAGAGAAGCGAAGACGCCTTTGGCGAGTCTAGTGGGGGAATGCAGTCAGATCGAATCGCGCTTCGTTCCGCGGATGGGGAGACTTCCGTGGCTGCCAATCCGCCAGCCTCTGGCGCGGAAGAAAAGGAGCGGCCGGAGCGGCTGGATACAGACGCCGGAATCGCTCCGCGTTGCTCCGCGGAACCCGCTATGCCCGCCGCCGCGCCCTCCCGTTCGTCCCCCGTCGCGGAGCGCCTCGCCATGCCGCTGCCCCTTTCCCCGGATTCTGACACCCGCGCTGCTTCCGCCACGAGGCAGTCATCCAGCGCTGTGTCGGCGGCGGCTGCGGCGCAGCGGCAGATGGCGTAATCGATGGCGTACTGTAGCATCCAGGAGAAGTGCGCGCTCGACACTAAGTTGCGCGCCGCGTCGCGCTCCTGCGGCCCGATCGTCATGCCGTGCAGCCGCAGCGGCGCGCCCCGACGGCCTGCTGAGGAGCGCGGAACGGCATGTTGGAAAGGCGAGAATCTATGAAAAAGGGGAAAGGGAAAGCGTTTTTGGAAAATGGTCACGAGAAACATAGGGGCGTTCGTGGAAAAAGAAACGAGGGTATTAACGACGGACATGCCGGTTCATTCCCCCTGCCGGGCCGCCATACTGCGGATAGTCGAAAACGCAATGGCGAGATCTGCCGGTGCTAACTCAATCTGCAGATACGCGGAAATCGCATCGCCTGAGGCCCCTCGTAACCACAAGATACCATTACCTTGACCTTCCTGTAACTTTAACCTCCCCGTAACCTTGACCTGCCCGTAACAACGAAGTCCGGAGCAACCTTGACCAGCGCGTACCCTCCACCTGCGCGTTCCCCTGACCTGCGCGTACCCGCGTGAACCGCGCGCGTACCCTTTTGCAGATACGCAGAGAGCGCCCTCGTGTTACCGCTGACGTTGAACCAATCGCACAGCAGCGCGGGGTCCGCCGCCATGTCATCATCCGCCGCCACCACCGCCACCCGCCATTGCTGCGCCTGCGGGCGCGAATCCGCAACCGCAACTCCGCCATCGGCTCCGGTCTCCGCTCCGCCATTCTGCTTCCGCCCTCCCCACTTCCCCCCGCCACCGCTCGGCAGCGACCGCGTGCTGAGCGCGCCGTATTCCGCCTCGTCTTCCTCGTCGTCGTCTGCCCACGCTTTCCGCGTAATCCCCAACGGCGCCGCTAAAGTTTCGTCGTTTTCAAGATTCGAACTTGGACCGTTTGTTGCGCCGCCCATCGGGATCGCGAATAACGGCACCACGTCGTACACGTCGCCTATTCGCCGATTGTGCGACTCGAGCCCGATATCGATCGCTTCAAGCGGAACGTTGGTGCGCACTTCGACCTCCAGCACGTCGTCCCGCGCGCACCCCGCCAAAACCGCCGTTTGCGGAAAAAACCCGCGCGCCACTGGGCATCCCGCGGGGACGGGGTCAGTGAGCGGAGAGAGCGCTTCTGGGTCGCTCGCAACAAGTTCGCGAATGCGCGTGCGACGTTCCCGTTGCGCCGCCATTTCCTCGCGCACAGACAGCGCTTGGAAGAATGCGGCGTCGCGCTTCTTGAATGGTACCGCGCGTGCGGAGCGACCTGCGTATCCACTAGTGGGAGTACCATTGGCGGCTTCCCCTCCGCGCAATGCCGCGGCCTCGCGTGAACAGGCGGAGGCGGGCGATGTTGGGGGCTGCGGCGGTGCAGTGCAGACAATCCGACAAAGCCCGAGATCCGATCGTGCGGTTTCGTCGAAGAGCGGAGGGTGGTGCCATGGATGGGTCATATCGCGTGGCTTGGAGCAGCTTTCACATGTAGAAGACGAGAACGTGGAAGGGTTTAGATTTACACTGGAGTGAGTAGCCATAGTAGAGTCGCGTGTGGGGAGTGTACGATGCTGGATCGAAGAATCCATGTGAGGGACGCACGTCCCTGCATCTACGAAATCCATCCCTGCTCGAGCCGCGGCTAACAGAAGTCTATTCTGATTCGCTCCATCAATGTTTGGAATGTCAAAGCTAAGCTGGAGGATGGATGCAGGATGCAGCCTTTTCAACGAAACCGAAGCTTGCTTATTCGGCTTGTGTTGCGAAAGTCAGGCGTTAGTTTTGCTGCTTAGCCTATCTTACCACAGTGTACGTATGTCAATGGCCATAAGATGCTATGTGACCATAAACATCGCGCACTTACACAAGTCATGGAGGACCATCTGACTATTCCCCGACACGACGGAACCTCCCCAACATTCTGCAGACTACTGTACAGCCAATCCCGCCCGGCTTTGGAGTTCCATGTCCAATCCACCCAGCTTCAAGAAGCTCCAAACCAATCCAGCAAACCAAAGAAGCGGATGAAAGTGAACCATACACCTGGTCCGCGGTATTTTAACCGCGCGAAAATGGGTAGCAGGATTTTGGATTTTCTGGCCGTGGTGAAGATAAAGGCGCAAAAATTCAAACGCTCCAATCTCAAAATCTGGTGGTTAATTTACCGCGGACCAGGTGTAGCAGCAACACTGTAGGACCAATCATACGTGTATCTACATCTTTCTTTACAGATACAGACAAATACAGTAACACACATTTCACGACGTGTGTCCGATTGCGGTCCTCCAAGCCTCGTGCTAAGTGCGTGGGCCCAATCGGGTTTGATCGCGACTGATCTGATCGGGTCGGATCCGATCGGGTTGCTTGTGATCCTAATGCCCGAGCCGCCCGATCAGCTGTAGTTTTCGTAGAGCATTCGCGTCGGCTGCACAGCAGGCGGTGTCTAATTACCTGGCATTTTCTGCCCAATATTGGCGAGACTTGCGAGCAAACGGAACCTGGCGAACTTTTTGTATCCCTGTAATATCGTCAATCCCACTCCGCACGACTTGTTTTTTGTGGAGTCTCCACCAATTCGTGAGGGGTTGACGAGACTTTGAATACAGAGTAACTAATCGCAAGCATCGTTGTGGCCCCGATCAGTAGTGATCAATTGATCGTGGGTGATCGAGGAAAATCGACTATGATCGGGGTGTAAATCGGGTCTGATCGAGTTGGGGCGATCAGTTGATCGCGATCAGCTGATTGCCCCTGATTGCCTGAATTTGGCTTCCAGGCTTCCTGGAAATTAATGATTGCGGCCGATCGAGGCGATCAACCCAATTGGGCCCACGCCCTTAACAAGAGAATTTCAACGCGAAAAAAACGGCTGAGCAGGGTAAAGAAAGATACAGAGCGGTAATAGTAGGGTACCTCTTCCCTTAGCTTGGGTAACCTGCTACTGAGGCATTATGGTTGACATTTTGCCTCCTGGGACAAACGTCGCCATACCTAACAGCGGTCCCGCCCAATCGACAGTCGACAATAGTGACAACAGCTGGTTGGAATTATCATATATTACCATATAACGTGTAGCAAATCTGTCGACTTTTTCGAGTCGATCGACAGTTGCACACAAATGTTTGACGAAAACGACGGTTGTTGCAGTTCCGATGAACAAATTTTGCGAGCCAGCTTACGGTATGGGGCGCGCCGCAGGTGAGTCTTGTCGCCATTGATCTTGGGGACCCCTCCACCCACAACAATCTTGACCTTCTCAATTGTGTAATTCTACACCGTCGACGGATACCAAATACGTACCTTAAATGTACCTGATATGGTAGTGAAAATCATAGAGAGGGTCATCCTTGTTTGAGCATTGGAAGTTGTAGAGAATACCATGTTTTTTGTAAGCGGCTTTAGGTTTCCACCACTTCAGGCCATTACGCATCAGCATAAAGTATGACCAGGCCTAAGGACATATTGAGCAAGCTTCCAGACATTGACAATTTGGCCTACCCTTCTTGAATGCTACCTTCATCGTACGGGCTGCCTAGCCTCGCTCGAAACTAATCTAGGCTGTATACGGGATGCCTTCTCCGCACCAAGCCCGCTCCTTACCACTCCCGAATCGGAAAGCTCACGCGCAACAAAATCCCCCCGAGCCTCCGTAACAGGCTTGGCGATGGGGATCAATGGGGGTACAGGAGGGCTATTAGGCCCGGTGCTGGAGCCATTACTAGCCCAGCTGGCTCCTCTTGTATGGGAACCTTTTTTCCTCGGGCCTTGCTCTTCGTTCCTCGGGCCGTGCTCGTCCTTCCTCGGGCCTTGCTCGTCCTTGCTCTTTTTCTTTGCACCACTGGTAACCTTTTCTTTGCTCGGATGGTCCTTCACGCCGCCGTCCTTCTTGCTGCCTTTCGTGCTGCTGCTGGTGCTCCCACTCTCTTTGCTGTTCCCACTCGCTTTGCTGTTCCCCCTCGCTTTGCTGTCCCCACCCGTTTTGCTGCTCACACTCGCTTTGCTGTCCCCACCCGCTTTGCCGCTCACACCCACTTTGCTACTCTTCCCTGGCTTGAAGGAAGAGGATGAGGCTGCTTCGTTGCCAGCAGAAACGGTGGTGGTCCCCTTGGAACTAGAAGACGGGGAAAGCGGGGGAGTGTAGGCCTGGTGCTGACCCTGGGTGGAGGAGTTTAAAGACGTGTCAGGACTTGTAAGATTGCCCTGGGGACCTGTAAGCGGGGGAGTGTGAGAATGCTGCTGTTGACCCTGGGTGGAGGGCGTCTGAGAAGTCTCAAGACTTGTGATAATGCGGTGAGCAGAAGAGGGTGGGGAGCGAGGGGGAGTACGGAGCTGATGTTGACCGTGGGTGGGGTATTGTGGAGCACTGGGGGAGTGGGGAGAAGGGAGAGCAGTAGAGGAGCGAGGAGAGCGGAGGCTGGTGGTAGTGTGGAGTGAGGTAGGGTGTGGGGATTGGTGATTGGTCGACTCATGAGTCAACTCGTTAGGGCCAAAGGACTGCTGGGATTGGATGGCAGGAGCGGCTGTGAGCACAGGAGCACCTGCAAGCTTCTTTGCGATGGTTTTCCGCCGGAATACTGCTGCTGTGTGGCCGGTGTTCGTCGTCTCGTAGTCGTCGGTGGGCGGCTGGTGGTAGGCGTTGGTATTGGTATCGTTGCTGTTAGTGGAATTGACATTGGTGATATTGCTGGTATAGATGTTGCTGGTATAGGTGGTGCTGCTGCTGGTGCTGCTGCCCGTGTAGCCAAAGCCATTGCTGCCAAATCCAGTGGTACTGGCGTCAGCATCGGTGCTTACAGTGCCATTGCCCCACTCCCCTCTTCCAAACCAGTCCCCACCCTCAGAACCAGCAGAAACAGCAGCAGCAGCAGCAGCAGCAGGGGCAGCAGCAGTGGCGGCGGCGGCACCAACACCACCATTACCGTTACCACCAGCACCAGTAGCACCGGCAGCACCGGCACCAGCACCACCGTACCGCCGCTGACACACAGTCCCCTTCTGCATCGTTGCAGCAGCACGGGCAACAAACGGGGATGGCCCCATACCCACGCCCCCGCCCCTGCTTCTACCCCGCAACCCCCCACTGCCAGCCGCAGCAGCAGCCACCGCAGCAGCGAGATCTGACGAGCCGAATGTAGGGCCGAGATCGCTCGACAGCCGGCCAATCCCGGAGATTGTGGGGGTCAGGGATGCGGGTGTGCGGAGGACAGGGGAGCAGTAGGCTGATCGGGAAACGGTCAGGTGAGAGGAGGAGGCGGAGGAAAGGAAAGAAGAGGAGGGATTGAAGGAAGACGAGGAAAGTAAGGAAGAGGAGGGAGAACCAGTTGCGGTGGTGGTGGCTGTAGGAAAGGCAAAGGAGGAGGAAGAGGAGGTAAAGGTAGAGGAGGGCTGTAAGGAGGAGGATGAGGAGGAGAATTTGCTATTTCTGGCGTTCATAAGGCTCTGGCGCTGCTGCTTCTGTAGCTCCAGGGTTGCTGATGCTTGCATCGCAGCTGCTAATATGGGGGATGGGGACCGATGCGAGGCCCATGCACCAGCAGCGGCTGTGGCTGCTGCTGCTACTGCTCCCCCTCTTCCTATTGCTGCTGCAGTGGCAGAAACTGAGGAAGAAGTAGCAGGACGGGCAGCAGTATCAGGAGCGGCAAGAGCAGCAGCAGCATTAGCAGCAACACTCACACTCCGTCCAAGCCCCACCCCTTCCACTCCCCCCCGCATCAGCCCAACCACCCTTCCCGTACCTTCCAGGACCCTCCCTTCCGAGGCTTGCCGCGCTAGCACCCTGTTTTCCGGGACAGAATCACCGCCGTTCGAATCCCGCTCTATGCGTATGTTCAGTTCGGATAAAGCTGGAGAGGAGGGCAGGGTGCGTGCTTTGTGGACAGAGAGTGAGGAGGGTGAGAAGGGTGAGGAGGGTGAGCAGGGTGAGCAGGGTGAGCAGGGTGAGGAGGGTGAGGAGGGTGAGGAGGGTGAGGAGGGTGAAGGTGGTGAGGAGAGAGAGGAGGGTAGATCTGTGCGTATGGCCTTTTCTGAGCCTTCCTTGTGTGAGCCTTCCCTGGGGTCGTGAGAGGATCCTTCTCTGTGTTGCTCTGCACCGGTTCTTGCTGCTGTGACTGTTGGAGTGGCTGCAGCATAACCACCCTCCTCCTCCTCATTCTCATCGTCTTCACCCTTTAGCAGCACCCAGTACCTCATTACAGGCGGCTGCTTTTCATCACCCCCTGACACGCCCCCTGACACGCCCCCTGACACGCCCCCTGACACGTCCACTGCTTCTGCTGCTGCTAATTCAGTGAACCCCTCCTCTCCTGCTCGCTCGCCTGCCCTCGATTCTCCTCCTGCTGCTTCTTCTCCTGCTCCTCCTGCTCCTCCCACTCTTCTTCCTCCTGCTTCTGCTCCTTCTCCTGCTGCTGCTGCTTCTCCTATAGCCTGCGCTGATTTTTCAGCCTGCTTCAGTGCGTTCGCATGCTTTGCTGCCCGCCGGGCAGCCTGGAGAATTTCAGATGTCCGGTGCCTCCCACTCCTCGACCCCTCACCTTTATCCAAGCCCCTTCGATAGACAGCGCTTTTGCTTCTGCCCGAAACCGCCAGGCTAACTTCCCCTTCCATTTCAACCGCACCAGACCCTATCTCACCGCCTTGGCTAGACCCATCTTCTCCCTCTTCCCTTTCCTTACCTGAAGCCCCTTCTCCCCTCTCACCTAGAGTCACCACTCTGCACCCCTCTGAGCTGCTCTTGCTTCTGCCTCCTTTCTTGATCTTCACAACCCTTGGGCCAGAAGCAGCGCCATTCGCACCAGCAGCAGCATCAGAGAGAACAGAAGCTGATGAAGGG